TCTGCTTCCTAATTTTCATATTCTTTGTTGTCACAAAGAGAAATATGACATTATGGGAAAATTTTCCGACTGAAGCATTTCAAATTAATCAAGAAATGTGTAAACTTTCGTAAAGTTTTCTCTGAGCGAACAGCTTCTGCGCTCTTCTGTTTCAATGAGTACGTGATGTGGTATCGTGTTGGTTGAGAGATGAACAATCAATATTCACAGAATGCAGACACAATTATTTCGGTTGAAAACTTCACTTAGTCCGTAACCCACGCGACAGCTCTAGAAAAAAGGGGGGTCATTCGACTAAAGAAATATAACTCTTATGATCTAGACATGAACACTCCCAAATGATGATCATACTTAATCTTGATATGACGTTTGAAGAATTTGGGAAATGATCAAAGACAAGGAACAGGAGCAATCAATTTTTTTTTGAAAAGCAAGGAGAACAAAAATTTATGTTCTGTATTTTGTGATCAGTACTTTATCAAATTTATCGTCGAAGGCAGGTTATTACTTAAAAGAATTGGAAAGATGATTGCCTACAAGACTGAACACAACTGCACTGGATTACCTCCAAGAAAAAATTTGAGTTTTACTTTTCTTCGTCTGTTAAATTAATTTCTTGCGTGATTGAATGAAAGTTTGAAACAAACAGTTTTATCTCAAAAGCTTTGCAGCTTACAATATCTAAAGGAAACCATCTAGAGCTCCAAACTTTACGAACAAATGACCGTAATTAATAGTGTAGCTGTTAATAAAACATACAATGAAAGAAGTTTTCAAGCATAGATTTGCGGATACTCTTAGGACTCCACAAATAATGAATACGCTTCGCACCTTTGTGAAAGCATATAGAACGGTGAAAGTTTGACACATCGTCTTAAATTTCTCAAGGTTTAAATTCTCAAGGGTTTAGTTGCCGTATTGTGACACAAAAGAGAAAAAATGCCTTAAAAAAATGAACCGGAAACTGATCTATACATTCGGAGGGGTGTATTGAGGTTCCAAACAAAACGTCGCAGCTTTGTTCCCAGTGCATTATATCAACATGCTCTTGAATAAGGAAGGTGATTAAACTCTGATTATTTCGTCTTAAAAGCAAGAGAACACATCAGACAATTCAGGATATGTAAGTATAACTTTTCAGGTAAAAATTCTGTCATTTCCTCATATTTTGCTCTCTCTTCCTCGTTCCCCAGAGTCTCAGTCTGCGCTCTCTAAAGTCAAAAATTCGGTCTGACATAGATTTAAATTCGTTGCGAGCGCTAAGTGGTTTCACTGGTATGAACCGATAGTATTTAAGAATCTCTGAGTCACTCTGTGAAAGCTTTTGAACTACTGTCGTAAGAAAATGCTCTTTGTTAATTTTAACATTCAATTCTAAAAGCTCACTTTCAACATTGTAAGGAAATCGACTCATGAAGACTCACCCAGACCAAGGTGCACTTTCAACGAGCACTCTTATTCAAATACTTTCGAGACAAATACATTTGATCTTTCAATACTCAACATTGTGTTCGGTTAACATAACACAGTAAATTAAGTTTTATCTGGCAGGTCAAAACTGGGCCCAGAAAGAAGTCGCCATACACACGTTTCCGAATTTACGATTGTGCACGGGAACGAATTCTAACCAGTGAACACTTCAAAACATTGCGAAGTCTCTTGAATGTTTTGGAAGCACTCAGCTTACGCTACGTTGCCTATCGATTTCAATGCACGTCGATGTATACCGAAATTAAAGGCTTGTCACTCAATATCAGGGTTAATGAATGTAAAGAAGTCACGTTTGTTCGTTTTATTAGTTTGGTTCCCAACTCGTGTGTGTCTTTCGATATTTCCCAATTTCCGTCTCGAAAAAGAAATTTAATACTTAGAAAAACAATGATTCATTTTTTATAATTAGGTACTTTAGCATTATCAACCTAGTTGACGATGTAAATTGACCACCATAAAGAGTTCCAAACCTGAAGTTTCGAGAGTCAGCTCTTCGTCATTCGCTCTGACGCTAATACTAAATTACCCTGCTATTCTCTCCATCGACGTAGCACTACAGTTACTTTAGAAACTTACCCCCTTTATTCAATTTTATAATAAGTTTTTGTTTGTATATGCGGAAGGTTTCCAGGTGACTGACGCAGTTGTATAACCTTCGGTTTCTCCACAGTGACTCGCGGCTGATCCCAAACTTTAAACCTGCCAAATATTTTTGGTTTTCACAATTTCAGCCACAAGTTTCAATATCCAAGAATAGCGCGCTAGTTATTTTAAGCCGGTAGCGTTAGAATTATCTTCAAATTTCCATCCGTGCTTTCGTAAACGTCTTTTCCTCGAAACATGGACGTATGTCTGCAATTTTGTTTTTCATGACGGTCCGTTCAGTGTTTTTTTTTGGACAGCTTATTTACATGAATTAAAGTCATGGAGAGTTCCAGATTGCTGATCTAACCAAATACTTTCTCATATTCATTTTTTAACAGACAAATTCAAACAAAGAAAAAGGTGGAAAGTCCAGCATGGTGAAGGTTAATAGCCGTGAGGAGAGTTCTACTGATACACTAGGTATGTACCAAACAAATATAGTTCTGAGAAGGAATGCTATCTGATTTAGAAATATTTCTGTGACCTTTAATTGTGGTCTGATAGGCTTTATCCTGTAAGTTAAAAAAAAAAATAATAATTGTTTTATCCAGAGAAGGTTCCTTTATTCTTCAGTAAAAAAGTCCTTCTGCTTAATTTTGCCACAATTTATTCTCGATCGGCTTTTCTCGCACGGTATCATGGTGAGTAATGGTAAATAATCAGTTGATTCTTTCGAATAAAAACATAACTTAGTAGAGACAATCTTACTCACTCACAGGGAACGGAATATCACCAGATCACATCTTTTAATCTCGTGTTCGTACGCTCTCCTTGCTGCATGAATTAAAGAGAATTTGTCGAAGAGTTCTGCCATTTGTGGAGCACTGACAAGTTTCCTCACCGCTATCAATTTGAATTACTCTGCATATGGTGGGCGCAAAAATTCTCCATCGAAGGGAAAAGCAAAGTGAGCCTGTCTCAAGCGTTTAGAAAAATTTCTTCAATTTTGTCGAAAAGCTCAATTTGGTTTCGCGAGGAAAATTATTCACCATGAGCGTGACGACAACAAACAAATAATGAAATTATAGACACATGACACAAAAATGTTTAAGAAATTATGGAAAGTATGATCAAAATGACGCGAGAAAGCCAACAAATTCGTGTCTCCGACGAAAACGAAATTTCAAGAAATTTCAATTTCGGAAACTTCCGAATGCATACTCGGTCATAATCGGATCATACCGAGACACCTTCAACACGATAATTCTTGCTTTCACGGTTATTCAGATTAATAAAGCCAACCCACAAAAGGATTTTATATATTCTTTTATTGTGAATGTAAACTAAACCCTTCGCTATAAGACTGCTCTCTTCGGGTATTGCGTATAAGGATAACATAGTGTCTACAGTGAGAAATGTAAATTGAACATGCTTCTACTCCCCTTAACTGCCTCGATTCGCAGATACAAAGACACTGATGAAAACATCAGCTCGCACTTCATTAACATAATTCTAAAACGTTTATTGTGTTTGGTACAAAGAGGACGAGATCGTAATAAATCGAGAACTAATTAATCGGACCGTAATGACTTATTGTTATATTTTCTAAAGAGTCTTCCCAAGGCTTACCCCCAGTGTCGCAAGTAATCCTTCCAAGTCAAATAACCGTGAAAATGTCATTCGTGTAAAATCCTTGTATAGAACCTCGTTGAGACAATCAAAGCTTGGAAAACCACTGAAAGGAACAATTCTACAGAATTCTACAACCTTCGAAACTACCTCCAACGTTCAATAGTGACAGGATCGAAATTTGGCGATAATTAGTCAATAGTACTATCCCGATAGATTATCAGGATTTTCGAAGGAATAGTCGTTGTATTCACTTGGTTTACGATGGCGCAGACATATTTAAGGCACCGAATCTTTGATTTCTGAGTTGGTAAGTTGAAAATTTTGCATCAGCATTTTATCAAATGCAATTATCTAATTTTAAACTCCTTTACACGTTATCATCTGCATTTATCATGGAATAAAGGATTAGTGGTCTCGCGCAAAAGGTTTGATGGCGGAGAGTAGACCACAGTAATTGTGCTCAGCCAATTCGACTAGTTCAAACGAAAACAAAATAATATTTATTCTTCTCTTCGAGGTTTGAATACTAGTGAGGTCAGTTTTATAACACAATCACAAAAAACCAAAGCTGTTTCTGTGATTTCAAGTAACATGTACACTTGCTTCAGAAACACTGCACACACTCTACACAAGTTATAAAGAGTTATAAAGCTCTAAGTGGTGTATGAGATGTAATCCACACTATAACTCGCATAATAAACGGGCGCAAAGATCTCAGATCCTTGTTGAATCAGACGGGAATAATAGTCATATTACAACAGCTTTTAACAATAAAACGCTTTGGATATCAAGGGGAATAATACACAAACTAATTCGTGATTCATGAAACTGTCTGCCATTTCTCTATGTTTGTGTCGAGTCATAAAAACAATGAAAGAATTTCACTGTTTTTAAGCATCGGGATATCGGTTAAAGTACAGTTTCAGACTCCTATGATGACTTCCGCACACGTTGTCTAAATGTCAGTCAACACTACCGACAACAATCCTTTTCCAGACTACCCTCGCCGCACGATCAGACAGCACCGGCGATCAACCTGGCTTCAATTCACGACCCAAGAGGTCAAAGAAGGGCAAATTTGGCAAAGAGTTGAAAAAGAATGCAAAATACCTAAACAATGAAATATAGAGCGAATCAAAACACTCCGTAAGGGAAGATATTACTCCATGTGAACGTGACTGATTCAAAAGAAAATTTTGTCGCCCATTTGAACGTGACTAATGCCAAAACAATGTCAACAATGGTCACGTCTCGCTTTTCAAATCCTCTTCAAGAATTTTTTCTCTGCTGCCATCTAGAGAGCGCCCAGCTTGACTCGTTCTCTTTCTCCTTTATTCTTCATTTTGTTAATTCAGTAGCCTGTGTACATTTGATTTTCTTTTGACATTATGAGGAAACAACGCTGACAATAGCTACTGTCAATAGCTACTGCCTTTGTGTCATCGCTCTGTGGAATTGTTGACAGCAAATTTTTCCATTTACACAACGAAACCAAAACAATACCAAGGGACGTGCGAGAGTCAAACACTTCAACTTCTGTTTCTTTCCGGACATCAAATGATCAGTTAATAACTCATCAGTGAAATCATGTGGTCGCTTGTGCTTGAAAAGATGAGATTTCACCACATGATAGGTGTGAAACGGGGCGATAATGAGCTTTATCATGATCGTGAGGGCTTCAGCGACGAGGGAAACAATGCAATTTCTGGTGAGAGGCGATGGCTTTTGTGAATTTTAATATTTGATGTTGTTGGTTATCAGTTCAATTTGAGCTTCCGTTAAGCATCATGAAATGCTTAAATGTTAACCATATACTTGAAAAAATCAAGCAAAGATGTTATCTGAACTGTGCAAGCAAAAATATCGAAAATTATTTCCTGTTGGATTGACACGTACCTCCGCGCGAGACATCTTTTACAGCCCGCATACTTTGGTTACCACATACGGCTCGAAAACAAAAGTAGCTATTTTTTTAATCACAAAGGAGACATAATTCTCTGAGATTTTGCTTTTATGAGTGCTGCAACTATTGAAACTTGCGCAGTGGATTTCCTTTAAATTGTTCCTGTCCTTTATCAGTCGATGAAACAAAGTTATTGATCTTTCTAACAAATCACTTATCGAATTAGCGGATTAACAGCTAATATCCTTGTTTCTCTCATTTGTAATGTATGCAACACAAAAGACGTAGAATGAAGAACGTTCCCTCTTTAATAATTCAGAGACCAACTCAACGTTTACCCATGAACTTAAAGCAGAACCTTTTTTAACCACTTGATGTCGGTTCTGGGTCACAGAACTTCGGCCCCGGCAATGGAACAAAAGGAAAAAAAAGCTTATTCAAAATATGCGTCAAAGCTAAATAATCCTATCCTATGGATGTTTACAATTTTTCGCACTGCATACGAAAGAGATAGGTTTTTTATGACGCGAGCATAATTCTTTAAAAACGCATTAGACTTCCTGAGACTCATCAGTCTATAAACATTTAATTTTACCAAAATTTATGGCACGCAGATATTCTCAGTTATGTAAGCGAGTAGAAAAGCAAAACGCACAATTGAGCCTATGTAGTTTTCAGTGAGGCCAAGTGCAGTTATCTTAACATACAAAAAAATTAATATTATAAAATTAAAAAAATTGTATACCTCTTTATTCGACTTACACTGCCCACACATCATGTTTATAACAGGACAACCGAAGTGGTTCAACCATATAAATAATTTCTTGTGTCTCCCGTTGTAAGCTATTATCTATCGGCGAATTACGTCACACGATTCAGCAGGTGTCAATGCTACTTATCAAAACACTACTTGAAATTCATCAAGGCATTGGTTTGCTAAAAAAACTCAATATGTATACTCGAATAGCGCCATATTTCACTCCATACTAGCCCTTCAAAGACTTGATATCTTCAACATTACCTCATGACGTTTCTGCGCAGCGGTGCAATAACTTTCGTATTACGCAATTTGAGCGAAAGATATGGATGGCAACAAATTGCGCGTTCCAAGTAAGTAACACTGTCCATCACAAAAGTTTCTTTCCTTCTACGCTTATACGCCATGAGGGGTAAAACAATTGTCACAGATCTTGCAGAATCTCTTAGACATTTGAATGTTTCTGTTATCAACTGTCTTTAAGTTATGTTTTGCAGTTTTACTTTGCCGCAAGGTTAGTTTGACCGCAAAGATATTGAATTTGTAAGAAATGTTGCAAACCTTTCAGTTTGTTTATTTCCCGGCAGCTCTTTTTGTTTTGTAATATTTCACGTTAGCAGTGATTTAAAAACGAATCCTTCGTGTTTTTCGTACGAGGGAATAATGTTTTCATTCTTTTCTAGCCTTGTTAGACTTGCAGATTTTTTTCATATCTGGTTCAATTAACAATTTGAAAGACGATGATTCAATTATCTTAATCACTTTGTCAACAAGTAAACACAGGAAGCCTTCTTCCAAACATTTGCCTTGAGATAAAAAGCCGGAAAAAATGTATTTGTATTCTTTTTGGCTGAAAAGTGAGACATTACAGCAGTGTTGGCGAATTATTTATCATTATACTGTCAGGTGTGATACATGAGCAGATTTTTTTCAAGAAACTTAAGGAGACTACTTGATTAAATATTCTTCTTTCCTTGAAACTATTATCCTTTTCAACATTTTTGTTGACTTGACAATCAACTATTTAACGAGCCAATTGTTAAAACAGCGTGGGCGTACTTTCACCTTTCGTGTATCTACCTGTAGACGCGGTTTGAAACAAATTTTTACTAAAGTTTCAGTATTGTGCACCAGAATTTTCACTCTTGAGGCTTTTTGTTTTCTTTTACCCACAAAAAAATAAAAATAGTCGTTGATCCAGCTAATTGTAATACTGCTTATGGGCACTTACAATTAAGAAATCTTCGTAAAAGCCGTGTAAACGTTGAAACCATAATTCATACCACCGGGGCAAAATATTCAAAGGCAGTTAAAGAGTAAAATTAAAAAGAATTTGTTTAATTACTTGGTAAAAGATGACACAGTTCAAGAAGCCTGAGCAATATTTTTCAGCCACTAGATTTAGATTTAATCAAACATTAGCTTCTAGGATGGAGGACTTTATATATTGAGTCCACAAAGTTAGTTTTCAATACACACATTTACATATTCTTTTGGCAAGAGGAATTAGCTAATTTATTAGTTGGTCTACTTTCTTGCAATAATGAATCAACGACGATCACGAAAGAACATTTCGCAATAATGGTTCGCACCCGTGGAGCAAAACAGGAAATGCATTTACAAGAACAATTTACGTTGACTGAAAAACCATGAATCACATTCAACTCACACACAAGCACATACGTAAAGCTAAAAAATTAAGCTTCTCATGATATCCCCAAATATAAACGAAACATGTCAGTGAAAAATCTAAATTAACATCATAAATTCATATATTTTTAACCCGAACTAACCTGCAACTGACCAATCTATAGGAAAACCACTAGTATAAAGAATCATTTTTATTTTTCTTTCTCATTTTTACAGAGATCCCGTCTCCTACAGTCCCTCAAGGTGGAAAACAAATGGCACTGCCGTCAGGAATGGATCCCAAGCGTGCCGCCGCCATGTTGGAAAGGCGCCGCGTATCTGCATCTGTCAATGAAATACGGGATTTATACAGCGCTTTGCAAGAACTTGTCCCGGGCAATACATCATCTTCACCTCAACATCGGGCAATTTCAACAGATATTAATTTTGAAAGTGTTTCATCGAATCCCACCTCTCCTAACTTGAGGAGAAGAAATGCTGAAAATGGTGCAAAAGACGCGCCTCGATCCCCGACAAGCGAGGATGAATCAACACGAGTTAGAAGGCTTCTTCCGGTGACCCCTGACTCACCAGCCAATCAACGCAAGTTAAAACCTAAGGTCATTCAAGCTCTTGACGTAAATGCTAATCATGGTTTAACCAAAGGAAAACGTTCCCCTAATATGGGCAGGCGAGGGTCCAGTGGTGAGGTACTATTGAGCATACAAACCAGTAGACTGGGAAAACCATCGCCTAATATGGGAAGGCGAGGATCAAGTGGTGAAGTCCTTCTAGGCGTGCGAGCCAATCAGGTTAAGGCACCCAAAAGTCCTTTAGCAATGACAAGATGGTCTTCACACCTTGATATCGCTGATGTCTGTGAAACCAGGTCAACGGTTCCAGACTCACCAAATCCACTCAGATTGGACAGACTTGTCAGTCCAGAACGGCTTGGTAGGCGTGGATCAGAGGGAGGCATTTTGACCCCAAATATGGACAAAAGCGATAAAAAGTTTAGTCCCCTTAAAATCAAGAGAAGGGGCTCAAGTGGTGATATCCTCAGCACGGAAAACATAGAGAATATATCCAACGGCCTTACGAGTAGTACTGTTACGTCACCACGAAGTGGCGCTGCGTTGGACATTGACTCGTACCCAAGACGAGGCTCCCTGATGAATGCACTTACTAAGTTTTCGCATTCCTTTAAAAGAAAAACCCCGCCAGCAAGTCCACAGCGTAAAGAGGCTGCAGATGCAATCGCAGCTCACCAGACAGTCGTTGATGGGCCTGTGCCGACCAAAAAGTTACCCAGACTGGAGAGTCAAATGGATATGTTGTTGAATTCCCTGCAAGATTTGCAAGGAACAGAAGAGGTGCATACGAATGCAATTGACACAGAGACCCCAAGGAAACACGATCAACGTCGAGGAAGCCTGGGCACTGAGATGCAGGAACTCCTTGGAGCCCTACATGAACTTTCTAACATGGCAACAAGCTCAGACTCAGACTCTATCGGTGAAAACGAGTCGAGGTCGAGGCGTGGGTCTGAGTTACAAGATCGAGTGCCGGTCCAAAGGGAATCACTTGATCAACTGGAGGCTTATTTCACAGAAAAGTTACGAGACGCAACTCGGGCTAATGCTTCAAAATCACCTTCTGAGCGGTCTTCTGAAAGTGAAGCCCCGCACTCGGATAGAGAAGATGCTGAATTGAGCCAAGTATCGTCCGAAATGTCCAGCAAGAAAATTTCTCTAGAAATAGGGATGGCCGATGAGGGAGTCGACATCGTTGATGGCCCCTCCGAAGTTCTACCGATGGAGTCCGAAGTTAAACGGAGTCCTCTGATGGAGGACCGTGAAGAATTTGCTAGCCAGGTAAACAGAAAACTCCAGGATTGGCTAGCAAAGGCAACTGCATTATCAGAAAGAGAAAAAACGGAACCAAGCGACAACTTAACGACGTATGATAGTGAAGGGGCAAAGTATGATTCCCCCGATTCCGACGAAAGTGACTACAACAAAGACAAAGAACCAAAGCGAATGCGACGGAACCTCTTCTCTAAGTTGTCACTTCTTCGCCGTGGTGACAAAGCCAAGTTCAAGCATCGCAGGACAAAATCTATGCATGATGTTACCTTTTTAGGTGAAAACGACTGTTCCCTTCAAGCTGAAAATTCTCAAAAGGCGATCACACAGACTGAAAAAAAGTCTCGGCGTCCAAGTGTGACCCGTTCACTGTCCATGTACAATGTTACGCTTCCGCGAAGTAAAAGCACTAAAACCCGACAAGTCAAAGAAGCTGAAGACTTATCACAGGCTACTCTTAATGCTGAAAAACCGCTCAAGCCACAGAGTACGCACGTTGTGGAAACACATACACCCGTAATATTGCCAAACAAAGGAAGCATTGTAACGTCGCAAGTGATTTCAACCTCCAGTAAAGATTATTGCAGTGCCCTTGATGCTAAAAATCTTTCGGTGGCTTCGGCAAAACGTGAACTTAATAAAACCAGACATAGTGCAGGGGATACAAATGTAAAACTGTTTGTACAAAAAAAACGATTGCGTCGATTGCCTACTAACTTGCCATTCTTTTATACGCCAGAGGCGGCTGATACTCGTTCCTGTAACACTGACACAAAGAAGCCTCCGAGAAAAACTGACGCTCAAATTAAAACTAAACAGTTAGCAAACAATCCTCCAATGGAAGAAATTTTCTACAATGAGAAGAAAAGTGACTCAAGAAAATTGAAAAAGGCCTGCAGCAATACACTGTCCTGTCCGCGTATTCTCGTAAACGAGAGCACACATTATTTTTTTGGAACGACTCAAGAAAATGGACATGGTGATAGCGACAAAGGTACACTGTTTTATCAAGGCTCATCCCAGTCTCCTTTGCGACGCTTTCCATCAGTTGACAGTTTCTTAAACTATACCAAAGATCTGCAAGGATGCGAGGAGCCTCGGGCGAATGGGTCTTGTAATTATGGACACGAGTTAGGAGCCGATGATGCAACAAGGAAGAATCTTTTCAGAGGTAAGAATTCTCAGTCATTTTATGTCTAAATTTTTGCAAAACCTCACCAAGTTTGTCATGGACCACCAACAAGCAAAGTGCTTTTCGAAAGTCACAACTTTCGGGGGTTCTTCAGAACCTTGATTTTTTTCCTACATATTCGTTGTAGTGTAATATCCTAATGATAAATTTTTCAGTCATATTTTAACCCTTTTGACCTTCGAGAGTAACTAGCAGCTAATTTCTCCTTACAGTGTAACCCCTGAATCAAACATTATGATCACAAGAATAAAGGAAATGATCACTAACTAGGGAAGCTCTAGATTGTCAAGCAAATTCTCCTTGTCAGCACCTTAGGAAATGGATTTAGAACAGTATAGAGAATCTGCATTTTGATGTTAGGGTGAAAAAAAAGTTCATATGAAATTTCATTGATCGTTACTCATTGGAAAGTAAAAGAAACAAGGGTTTGCATTAATGAATTCACTTCTAAGAAGGAATGTACCACATATGCCATACCAGTTGCTTAGCAAACATCTATCTTTGACCAATATACTATGTGCTGATATGGTCATATTTGAATAGCACTTAGATCAAGACACCTAAAAATAATGACATGATGATTCATTTTCAAGCATCTGAAAGATTCTGCACATTGTTGTGCTTTGTGTTCAGCAGATAACTTTCATGTTTTAGATCACACCTCTACCAGTTTTCAACTTAAGATAAAAGAAGCTATTCATATTCAAAGAGAACAACCATCCTTGAATCAACAATTACACCATGTAAATCTAAAACTATTCCTTTAATTTTCACACTTTCATGCTTTACCTCTTTTCTTGTTGTCACTATTTATCATAATTAGCGTTGTTCCACTTACTATATAATTCAACTTCCAACACTTTGTAAATTAATTAACTGAAAATGACAGAAGTTTCTGTCAAAACATGTATTACAGACTTGAAAGTTTTGTTGCTTTCTTTAAATAGTTAATATAAAAATTAAGATAAATGTCTCACCTGGTTTTCATTCCTTCTGTTTGCAGGTCAGTCACCATGCCCTTCTTCACCATCTCAAGTCTGGGGAATAGAATTCACCATCTAAAAATTGAAAGAACTCTACACAACACATTTATAGGAACGTTACTGCTTCTAAAGCACAAAAGATTTATTTTAGTCCTTATTTCATACAACCGATCACTTCTACATAAATGTTTTGCTCCTGTTTTGTTATCAAAAGGTTTTATTCATTTTTACCATGCAAATCATAGTTCAGTTATTGAATTTCAGTCATTTATCTCATTTGTTTTCATTTCATTCTGCAAGTATACAGTATGATATGGAAATTATTACATTTACTACGTATTAAATACTCAAAACCAAAGAATAAATATTAATTTTTATTTAGAATTTAGTAAAACAAATTACCCTAGCTCTCTAAAGATTAATTGAATTGCCATGCAGTTATGGTGTTTCTGTTCATTGAGAAAGGAGAATTTATCCTCAAAAATTAAATTGCTTTCTTATGAAGCTTGGATTGACATTTGAAAAGACTGTTATACAGGTATAATGTAGTAAGAAATGCAAAATATCTCAATTCTACAATAAAAAATATACTCTCTATTGATTGTCACTGTTGCTATAGAGATGGATCACTCAAATGATTGACTTCCTGATGAATAAGCAGAATGGACCAAAAGACAAACTCTCTCACTGATATATCTTAACCCTTTACACCCTAACATCAGTATGCATATTCTCCACACTGTTCTTAATACATTTCCCAAGGTACTGATAAGGAGAATTTGTTTACCAATCAAAAGCCTCTTTCATTGGTGATCATTTCCTTTATTCTCATGACCTTAATGTGTGATTCAGGGATGATATTGTAAGGAGAAATTTGATGCTAGTCACTCTTAGGGTTAAAAGGTTAATGACTTACTGCCTGAATAAATGATTGACCAGCAAACACACTCAATGATACACACACTGACTGACTGATGAATAAAGGGGGTAAGTTTCTGCAGGAACTGTAGCGCTGTGTCTATGAAGGAGGGGGATAACAAGATAATTTGGTTTTATCAATTGAGTTGATAATGTGAATTTGCCACTGTGAAGAGTTTTTTAAAGCTGATGTTTTGAGTGTTAGCCCAGATTGAAAAGGACTGACTGATTGTCTCTCTTGCTTACTCCCTCCCTGATATACCTTATTGACCGACTGCCTGTTTGACTGATGGTCTGACTGACGGACTGACTGATTGACTGACTGTCTGAATGACTGATTGGCTGACTGACTGACTGACTGAATGACTGACTGTCTGCCTGACTAATTGGCTGACAGACTGATTGACTAATTGGCTGACCGTCTGCACACTTGGTAAGTAGCTGGGTATATGGCCACATAAACGTGTGTCGGCATTATCTGCCTCACAGATAAACAAAACATAGCTTGATGGACAAGTGAAGAAAAAAAGGTCAAATCTACACTTAACATGTACTCACTTTCCTCTTTATCATTCTATGTACATAGCTGGTTCGAGCCAGAGATATTTCGGACCCTGAAGCTCCTGAATAATTGCATCCACTCACCATATTTCTCCTTTAATCAGCGTTGAGTTCTTATAACACATTCGGATTTCGGAGTCACAAATATGATCTGCACACTACACAACTTCATCCTACAAATTCTTCTACCATTTTAAAACCAGCACACAAACTTTATATTACATGACACAAGTAGCATGTTAGGAGATATCCGCTGTTCAAAAATATTTCAGACCATCCACCTTAAGCAAAATGAAGCGGATCAATAGTCATGAGAACCTACTAAAGATTGTGGCTCTACACTGACATCCACTTTTTTGTTGCAGAATGAAACTTTCAGGCCACCGTACTTTATAACTACAGTAGTTATTTGTTATTACAATTTAGGGAAACTCTTTGTTTTTAATTAAATTTTCAGATTTTTACGAGATTTCTTCTCATAATAGAATATACGTCATGCTGAACCAAATAGAGAAGCCTTGACAGTGCTCTGTTCTGTTGCAAAGCACGCAGGAGGCGGCTAGAGCACGAAAGAAGTGTAAGGAGAAACACGAGACGTAGCCTCAGAGATTATTTTCGGTTCTCCACATTTCCTTTACGCACCATTAAGTGGAACTTTTCAAATTTAATCCCGATCTCTAGAAACATTTTGTGGAAGATGGGGCAGTGATAAGGTTACAAAAATTCTTCGATCCTTGTTCTGTTCGATCCATGGTTTACGCCCAGTTTTTTTACATTGTGGTGCAATACGTATGATAACAACAACTTGGAGAAATAAAATTCCAAGAGGTCGGCCACAAAGCCGTGGAATAGTAGACCCCAGTTTGGAGGGGAGGGGTAGTGACAACCTTAAGGAGAGAGAAATGAAGGTGTAAGGCTTAATCATGCTGGCTGCGGTAGTTTAAAGGGTAGATAACGCTAACCACTGAATGAATCTCTATCCGTTGGATAGTGCAGTACGTTTTGTCAACGCACATATGCTGGATAGCGATTTATCCATTGGATAGAGTTATCCGTCCCTCGAGCAACCAGGCCTTAATGATTTGCACGTGGGAAAACACCAGATAAATAGTGCTAAAAAAAGTAAACAATACAAGATTCATATACAAGGTTCATAAACTTGTTATCAACTCAAGATTGTGTTTCAACCGAAAGACAAAGAAAATTTTTCATTATCATATTTTCCGCCTAGACATCAACCAACAGTGAGATTTTTGTTAATAAAATATGTGCAATAAATTCCACCGGTTCCCATCTATATCAGTAAATTATCTAAAAGATTTGTGGTCTACTCCCCGAAATAATATGGTCTCATATAGTTCCGTCTTCATTCTGGAAAAAAAATTAAAGATCATCATATGAATATAAAATGCACGTCCGTCGCATTCTAATTCTACGATTATAAACTGAAAATTCAAATTCCTTAGGATATTCGCACGCAATTGATTATAGATGGCTTCTTTCCAAGCGGATATGGTAAATATGTATGTAATTAGACTGTTTAGCTTTTCAGAATCGACCGAACGTGTGCATGCATGGTAATTGAAAAACAGATTGCATTTATGTTGGTGGTTTCTTTCTTAAAATCTCCGTCTTAAAGCACTCACGCACTTTCCTTTTTTGAACCTCACAATTCTTATTTTCTGTGCTGCATTCTTTAATTTCTACGCTCCTGCCTTAGTTTGGTACAAAGTAGACTCAGAGACTTGTGGTATGAGTCCAAACGAGGTTGTTGCAGTGATGAGAAAGCTCGCCTTACATACCTAAGAACCATATTTGATTCCCTTAATAATCTATTGGCTTAACATACTCCAAGGAGAAACTACCGGCGGGTCTTCCAGCTAACCTCCCTGCGCGAAAAGTAATATCCCACTTCCACCTGGTGCACTTTGTTATGACAAAATTTCGCCTTTTAATTCAATTGAATAATTATCTTTATGTATACAAGCCTCATAAAAGTTGTTGTTTCGGCCAATTCCTTCATATTTAAACAAAATACAAATTATTGTGTCTCCTCAATGCAAACAAAAGATAAAAAATTAAAAAAAAAAAAAAAACTTGAAGACATCCTGTACTGAAAAGTTTTTGAATGGCGCAGTGCAAATCTTTGAAGACGCTATCAAAATTATGGATTTGAAAAATAATTACAAATATAGGTTGTGTGGTTTTTAATCACCATGCCAGCAGGGCCGGATGATTCCCAAAAGCTGTTATTAAAGGAGTTGATTAGAGTGTCACCATGGCATCTTTTGGTTAAAAAAAGGTTGGGCATAAACAGAGTTCTCTATTTCTCTTGGTTACATGCACGTCAGTAAAGTATCCAGGAACTGAGCAATATTAAACTGAATTTGTGTGATTAAACGTATCACCTTGTGTTAAGGACCTCAAAGCTGAGTTCATGAGCCAACAAGAGCGTATCAGAGCATTTAAGTCAATCTTTGTCAACAAGTACGTTGTTTTTTAAACCAATCAGAATCAACATCGAACAGGGGAAGTATGAAAGCGTGTTTTCCTTTTTAAGGGGAAAAAAAATTTAGTTCTTGGCTTAACTGAGGTAGGCCAGAGTTTAACCATCATCATCTTGTATTTGAATTTTAAACTTTTAAACAAACATCACGTCATTTCTTCATAAAGTATTTAGAAGCAAAGTTCTGACTTCGTTATTTTGTTACTTCGTGCAGTTCTTCAATAATTTTCTTAATTCATATTGTTAAGTCAAGTCTACCTATGGAGTTTAATAACAATGGCAATGCACGCGCTAATAATCAGACAGTGCACGCAATAACTTCAAAACAGGTGCAGTAACCATATTCAAAACTATCACAGAGTAAATTGCGGTCTTGAAACATCCACTTCCCTTCAACTAAATCTCGAGACCAGCGCCCAACATGATTTGATTCGTTTAGTTCAGATGGGCAAGTAAACAGAACACTGGAATTAGCTGTTGTTTGGAGGACAATTCTGTGAGTCAGAACAATCCCCTCTATTTCTCATCTGACTGACTGGAAAGCTGAACTAAGTATTTTAGTCCAAGCCTTACTTCGCAGAACCGACTGTGTTAGACAAAAATATATAGGTAAGGAATTCCTTTTATCAACGACACTTAACAGCAATCGACTCGGTTATTTTTTATGAAACCATATTGTACCTCATTCTCTCTTGTCTGAAATCAGCACAAGAGGTGCAGAGAATGATAAGATATTTACAATAAACAGGTTCTTGATAGCGATTATTAGAAATGTATGTCTCTCCTTCGATTTCACTTTTGTCATTTTTAATTTTTTTTAATTTTTAACTGTATTTTTACCCCGTATTTTTGCTATTTGAATTTGAAGTTTTAGTGGACCGCAATGAGAACTACTGGTTCTACCAGTAATTGTGTTATCCAATATTATTTATTTTTTTATTTTTTATTTATTTATTTTTATTCAGCAGAGAAGTGTCTTCATCGACAACTCACATCTTGGTGAAAGATCATGGTATTTCTTTCAGCACTATCTCTGTTGTCGTTAATGTTCCTCAAAGTTAGCACTCAGCAATGCGGCATAGACAGTTACTCAGTCTATCAAAGGATGCTCAAGGGCCATACGTTTAAGACAGTAAAGGCCAGACCACTGTTACTCGACTGTAAAGAGGCCTGCACAACTGACTACAGGTGTCAAAGCTACAACTACGATTGGTCTCAGAGCATATGCGAATTAAATAACCGAACCAGGGAGGCAAGACCTAATGACTTTGTTAGAAATGAAAACAGATATTACGTGCGAGAACCACATAAAGGTACAAACCAGATAACGTTGACATAAATAATTTACGAAGTAGGCGCTCGAAGAGAAAGCGAACAACACGCGTGTAAGGAAGAGACAAGCAGTGAGAGACCTTCAAGCACGACCTATCGTTCGTACTTGCTAGTCTGAAACGATCGAGCTTGGTTAAATCTAGATTACGGGTAGTGCCGCCTTTTCGGTAAATCCCGTCGCACGAGTTCGTCGGCGAAGTCCGTCGCGCAAGGCGCCTCTCCCCCAGAGTTCCGCGCAGCGCGTTAACATCAATTTTTTCAACTGATTTTTTTCCTTTTTATTCACGCGAATACCGAGTAAAGTCGAGAGTGATGGAGTCTCCATTCTCGAATAGAGTTGTCAGCGATGTTAGCACTCAAACATTGAGAGTGAGCTTGTGTTTCTTTGACCGCAAATTTTGTGTTTTTAGTTTCTCTCGGTTCCATTCCTGAGTTACCAGCTGACTCATGTGCAGAGATTAAAGCGGACGAAGGAGGTCACGCAGTCAGTGGTAGCTACTGGCTGGATCTCACAAAATCTGGAAACTCTACTTTGGTACTCTGTGACATGACAACTGGAGGTTAGTACTTCAAATCCTTAATCCTTACACTCCCAGAACAGGTTGAAAAATAACTTCTCCCTGAGATCCATACATTATCTAGCAGGACAGAATATAACAGTTGTTTATTATGATGTGACACAAAATTCTCTCATCCGTCTTACAATGAATCCTATAGCAACTAGATAGGAGACTCTGATAAGTAATAGGCCAGAAGCAATTATTGCAATAAAAAAAAAAAACCATCAATTTTTCCCAAGTCAAACACAACCAAGATAGAAAGCAATTTTTCAATAGAGTTTCGTGAGCAATCGGGGATTTCTTCATATATATGCTCAACTACGTTATGTGATTGGTTCAAAATACCAGCGCCACTTTCTGAACCAATCAGATTCAAAGCTGAAGCAGGTCGCCACTTGGCAATTTGGTTTGTTTTTTCTTTGAGTTCTCGGTGTCTCTTTTTGTTTTTTAACCTTTTCTGACTGACAGTGGTGATTATTTTGGTTTTGGTTTAACGACACTTAAGTGAAATGGGCTCCAAAAAGACGAGAATTGCGTTACAGAACACTTCCCCGGGAGGTTTACCGATAAACCTCGCTTTGGTATGCTCGACCCAGTTTCCTCGATTAACGGCCAAACATCTCTGATTAGCAACTATTCACCGAAGTGGAGGTGGGTAGTGGAGGTTATTTACCGAGTTGCGACGTAGCGAGGTTAATATCCATTGCTAGTCACCAACCCTGAGGTAAATAGTTGTTTTAGCATATACTAAAACAGTGAGACTATAGCACAAAAAGATGATTTTTGATCAAATAATCTGAATTGCTGTCGACTATGGCCTTTGTATCCTAACGTAACGGTTAAATTTTTTAACTGTTTATTTTTCAGTTGCTGACTTCTGCAGCGATAATCGGTGTGTTAACAGTGCAACCTGTGTCAACCGTAAAATGAACTACACGTGCTCGTGTAAAACGGGGTGGACTGGTAGCTACTGTGAACGAGGTAATTAATGAATGGTACAGACCATGTCGAAAAATACCATAACACTCTTTTATACACAATTACGGTTTCATTGCCTTCGGGATAGGAAGGGCTATTTAAGCATCCATTTCAGAAATGGCAAAATGAAATTCGGAGCTCATGTAGAATTGTAGAGCATAGAACTGCCCGTACATTTTTAGCAAATGTTTTGAAGAGGCAAGGGCCTGCTCCGATCATATACGTCAATTAGCATTTAATTTAACTACTCGTGAATACGTACGCGAAGAAGTAAATTCCAAATGCTAAGGGAATAAACGAGACACGAAACACTCATAGGAAAAAGGTTTACATCAACGTAATTATAAGACACACTGCTAAAAGGAAGTGAAATGTAACAAAAATTTTAATTAAAGCTTCAGATTTTTTTCCCATTGTTCCATGCTTGTGACAAATAAATTCAAGATCGTTCTACTTAAGTTATTTCATCTTCCACTTAACATTTGACGTTAATGGTGACGTCATCTAAGCATCTGCCCTCCATAGATCATAAGTGAGAACCAATCAAAATTCGTGTATAATGCAGCTTATCATATAAATCCCCATAGATGTGGACGAGTGTACTGAGATACCTGGTGCCTGTCCGGTTCAGTCGGCGTGTGAGAACTCATTGGGTTCTTACCATTGCATCTGTCAGTCTGGTTGGAGGAATGTAGGCCCCCATAATTGCTCGGAAATTCACGAGTGTCCTGAGGAATTCAATCACAGCTGCCCACCAAAGTCCGACTGTATCATCAAGGGTGGAAACAATTCTTACGAATGCCTGTGTCACTTCTGCCACTACATGTCTAATGATACAAGAACATGCCTTCGTAAGTATGGAAATGAAGTCCAACTCAGGACCTAAAAATCACCGCAATTGCTAAAATAAAATGGCTTGTTTTACAGGATTCGATTCGCTTGGGATCCTCATTTTTGGTTTGCTTCCGGTTAATACAGTGGGTCGAGAGGTATAGGTTCAAGACTTAGCCGAGGCAATGTGTTGAGTTTTTAAGCGCATTACTTAATTCTAGTTCACAGTGCCTCTCTCTACGCAGGAGTATACATGAATACAGGTGAATTGTCATAGAGGCTTGACAAATTGCTAAGGAGAGGGGGAGGGGGGGTAACGGTAACCTGGAATGAGTAGCATCCATCTAGGGGGTAGTACTTATCTCCTACCCAGACCTCCACGACAAAGCCTACATTTCAGTTAGAGTTATGCGGAAGGATTTGGTTACGAGATCAAGTGGTAGCAATACTCTTGGTCGCTTCATGCAAGAGAAACAGGAGATAAGTTCCGGCAGGGTGGGCCGTTTGGCTATAGCGCAGACTCAGCCTTACCCTTACCTTCTTCGCTTAATGCAGCACTGATTTAATTGTGGGTGGAGAAAACCAAGCTAAAAGATTAATTCCTCCATGAAAGTCTTAATCGACCGAGCAGTTTTCAACTGACTGCCGTTAAATTTAAACCAAACTAATAACACCTATCAAGTGTTTGCGTCATCATTAGCCAATGAAGACTCAAAGTAAAAAACAGGCAATTACTTGCAAGCGCGCGATAACACGGGCGATCAAGTCACGATTGGTTTTCGTTTGGCGTCTGATTGGTTAAGAGCAAGGCTCAAGTTTTCTTGACTAATTAAAGACTGAAGTAAAGCAAAAACAGGGCAATCCTGTATTACTTTCGAAACTCAATCGAAAATTATTCTAAAAATTAAAAAAGCAATCTATGATATACGCTTTAGGTTGAGGCAACGTGTTATAGCAAGTGTTATTTTCTCAGAGTAGCCAATCGAACGATTAGTAATCGAACACAATCGTACGATTATTAATCGAACACAATCGCACGATTAGTAATCGAACACGATCGAACTCGATCAATGGATTGAGTTCGATTGAGTTTCATCAATTATCTGCTCAACTTTTCTTAATTTTCATTCATCTATTCGTTCATTTGTTCCCCCACCACAAATGACCTGTACTACCTTAGAGCAGTCTTCAATAGGCCATTTTACAGTTGTGTACTTGGTTGCCAAGCCTTTGATTCGGAGTAAAGCTGAAGGTGACCATGTTTTGATACAGGCCAGTATCTAGTTAGCATGATAACAAAGTAATTTACATTGGAAAGCAGCAACGTTTGTATCATTACAAGGTTAACCTTAGCCTTAATCCTGTTCAAAAGCTCGGTGACCAAGCACACCACTGTAAAATGGACTACTGAGTGTCGAAAAATCAAAACCAAAGTAATCCCAGCGCCCAATCGGCAGATAGGTTTACATCATCAGTAGCCAATGAGAACTCATAGTGTAAACAAACAAGCTGCCGGTAGGGCGGGAAAACGCAAATGACCAAGTCACAATTGTCCCTAGTTTTGCATCTGATTGGTTGAGAGGATGGTGCAAGTTTTCTGTACCAATCACAGAGCAAAGTTGGGTACGTAAGACCAAAGAAACGCAGGATTACTTTCGACACTCGGTTGAAATTACTTTGATATCAATGTAACCCTACTTACCATGATGATAAATTCATGTGCGGTTCGATTGCTTATCTCGTTTGTTCTGGCTTTTGCTGTTTCTGAGCTCTTCGAATACGATATACAGCTCGTAAACTGTCATCATTGATTTTATCGTATATGCTAAAAACTGACCGAAATGATCTCTTGGTCACTTTTCCAGCTGATTGTCGGGAGGAAACCACATTTTACTACGTAACAGGGTACACCAAAATCAAGACATTCTACACTGAGAAATGTGGTTGGTGGGGATGGTTCAGATGCATAAAATTAAAGTGAGTTTAATATCTTAATATTGAAATTTCCAAAATGTGTCGAAAGTGCGTCTAAACACGAGCAGGAGTTGGAGCGTCTCATTGCCAGGGTCTCTCCGCTTTTTCCCAACATTTGAGACATTTTCAAGCAAAGAGATGATGAGAAGAATGAAAATAATCATTTGATTAATCCTTCTACCTCCAAGATCTGATTATTAGTTCTCCCCACAAACTTCTACACCTTTCCTTGCAAATAGTTACGAGAATTTGGCGTGAGATCACAATATCAACTTCTTCCTGATAAGTTTGAGTATTTACGATAAATGTTTTATAGAGTTAATAGACTTGATATCCCTTCCATTTCCAGGATCTAATTGTTAATTCTCCTCTCTAGCTGCTGCACATTTCCTTCTTAATAGTTACGAGAATTCGGCGTTAGATCAAGATAATGTATGGATAGCTTATGGAGAAGTTGAATGTAAATCATTTCTGGAAGAGAGGGCTGAGCAAAATTCTCAGAGCTAAATCTATAGAAAAATGTTTGGCGGCCGGACAGTGTGGAGAATTGATATCCAAAATCTTGGAAGTGAAAGAGTTTATCGATGCTTTCTTCATGAGTACAACTCGTAAAATATTGCATGATGTCAACAGCCATTGGCAAATTGTTAACCGCACAATGATATTTCTTTTAGGTTCAAGACAGTTTCAAAAAAGTTGAAAATATCTCAGCAGAACTGGGTTCCCAACCGCGATGGCGCAAAATGTCCTTGCCCCTGATAGGTGTTGGCTGGTGAAGACTTCTGCTATCAGACAACACTATCGCATGGAAAGGAACTTAGCAATCATTTTCTTTTTTTCTTTTTTTTTTACAACAGACTTTTCAAAAAAAATTACCACTTAAGATCGAACTTAAAAGCTATTACATTTTACTGGAATTTCATACCATCACCTGCAAAGGCGTCTCATGGCTGGCCATCTTAAAAAGTTTCGGACGAAGTAACCGGCAACTTGAAAAGATTTGGGACACTTATGTGACTAAGGGTGCATGCCTTAACTCAAAAAATGAACTTGTCTGTTAGTTTTAACAATTTCAGTCTTTCGGCTGAAGCGATGTTCCGCAGTCTTTTTCCGATTTTTTTTATATATTTATTTAACTTGAATTTGGAATAGATAATTATTACTAGCTAGAATTCGAGGTCCGTAATGCAAGTTACGGACCGAGTATTTCCGCTCGGATCCCTCGCCCGCGCAATTTGTGCTTGAGCCATAAATACGTGCAGGAAAAAGCGAGGATCCATAATTTAATGCACATATCGAGAAAACGAGGTTAGAAGGATCTTTATTATATCCTGGGTTCAAATAGAGGGCAAAGATTTCAATTCAAACAAATTTTTTAATTTAGCGGGCTGTACAGTGAAATATGGCCCGCTAAATTGACTGATTATAGCACGCGCACCACGAGATATAACACGACAGACTTCCTATCCAGGTACGTAACTGCAACTGTGTATTTGGAACACACTGTTCAATTTGTTATATGACGTATCGAGTCCATTTTCTTGTAGAAAAAGTCAATTGTTTAGAATTGATTTAATTATGGGTTTGGTTCGGTTTCTCTAGATTAGTCGTCGTTTTGATTGGTTGGCAAAAAGATTCTGAGTTGCTTAATTCTTTATTTAATAATACTCGACGTGCTTAAAAAATCGGACTTCTTTTAATTTCCACGGTCGTCTGATTGTTAATCACTCATACTACTTTAAACTGAATTGAACTCAACTGAGTCCCTGTGACTGTAAAACGTTATGCGTGTGCAAGTGTGTGCGTGTGTGTGCGTGCGTGCGTGCGTGCGTGTGTGTGTGTGTGTGTGTGTGTGTGTGTGTGTGTGTGTGTGTGTGTGTGTGTGTGTGTGTGTGTGTGTGTGTGTGGGGGGGGGGGGTATTGTACTGAGCTGAAGTTCATGTCAAATTTCAGTTCTTAATTCCTCCTAGTGGAAGGAGGGTGTTGCAGAAACTTCTTGTTTACTATAAACCTCATTTAATACCTCCTTGGAAGTTGCTACATTTGTGCGTAAGTGTTAAAGAACTTTTTATTACATTTGAATGTGATTAGATCCCTTTCAGGTACCAAGAACCTACTAAAAGTACAAGACCTTTCGAATTTGCCTCACCCCCAACACAAGGCTTTGTTGCTCTGTTGGTTGTGACGCCAAACTAGTAAATGGGAGGCATGAGTTGTAATCACCTCCAAGCCTAAAATTTTTCAAACTTCCTTTTCATCATTTATTTCACTGCAGTTCACTTAAAAGGATTAATTCTCCACTACAACTGTTATAATTCAACTAATTTTGTCGTGGATTGATTTGTAACTCAGCAGACATGTAATTATACAGATAGGTCACTAAAATTTCACCGTTTAACCTCAGTTGTAGTTAAATCCTCATAATAAATTGCATTGTATGTAACCAGATGCAAGAAATTATTTGTTTGCTGCTTCAGTAATAATATACAAGCGTGTGCATAATATATAAACTGTAGAACCAGTTGTTTAAACTATCCACAGGCCTTTACAACTAAGAATAATATTGTTAGTATCAAAATGTCTGGAAATTGTCTATCCAAAAACTTACATGTTTTCTCACATCTTGCCATGCAAATATTTTCATTGTGATTAAAATACTATGTTTTCCTGTTCTTTTACCTTGATTCAAATCAAGTGTAATTTGCAACAATAACCTCTGCACTTTAAATCAACATACAACAACTTCCAATATCTTTAAAGTGCAAAAGCACAATATTTTAAATACTTACAACTCTGTTTCACGTAAAGCAACTGGCTTCAACATTTTCTAGTCAAAGGCACCTCTGAAACAAAATGCTACAACAGGTCACTATGATAAACCCTTTACAGAACTTCCACAATTATTCCTTAAAAAATCAATTTCTTAGTGCAATCAAAAGCAGGATTTCCACAAAAATTATCCACAATTCATTACTACAACTAGCCTGCAGATTATATTACTGAGACTTGCCACCAGTAGCATGCTCTAACCTTAGTGAAACTCTTGATCAATAATCTACATATAACCACCATAACTACCTTAGGATGACAACTTTTAGTGAACCAAATTTACAGTAGTTTCATCCAAGGCTATCGAGATGGAGGAAGTTTCATAAACCTTTAGACTAGCATCTAATTTCTCCTTACAATATATCACCCCTGAATCAAACTTCAAGGTCAAGGGAGTAGAGGAAATGATCATCAACTTATGAAGCTCTTGATTGTTGAACAAATTCTCCTTGTCAGTAACTTGGAAATGTATAGAGAACAGTATGGAGAATATTAATTTGGAGCAGAGATGAACTACTTGCAAAATAAGACATCAAATAACAATCAATGCCATGTCTGAAAAAGAAACTGCTATTTGGACTTAAAAGGACAGAAAACTCTGCTTGTCCCCATCAGAAGTGGTTATACTTTAGCGGGATTGCCTGCCAAATGTACTTAATCATTAAGGTTCAGCTGAAAGAATGTTCATACACGAGATAATGGTTCCAATCAGAAGAGAACCCTTGAATACTCATTTTTGCTCCCAAGGGGGTCACCTTATTGTAGGGGCTGAAACTGTGTTCAAATTGGCTTAAGAAAAGGTCAGAATTTTTATGCAGACAGCAACTAGTGTACAAGCAGGACAGAAAACAAAGAAGCACTAAACTAAAATCAGCAAAAATGGCAAAGGATTGTGCTCCCCTTTTTTCTCAGTTTTCATTGTGCCACTGTTTTCCATTTCTTTTTTCCATTAGGAAAAATATAATATTCAGAGTTGAGTGCAGTCTTATTGACCAACATTTCCATGACCCTAGGAGCAAACCAGTTCAAAGTGATATGTGTGTGAAATCCATAACTTTTGAAAAGGTGAACAGCTGCGATGATTGAAACAATTAATAATCTTTTGTGGTAATGTCTTCTGTAAAATTACACCTTGATGATTTCTAATGTCTCAGGGATGTGGATGTTGACATCTTGGAGAGCTGACGAATCTTCTGACTCAGACAATGATGTGTTTATCGGGGCTGGCTTAAGCATTTCCATAAGCTTTGACAAGGTCTTCTTCACCCTGAGTGATGGCAGACGTGCTGATGCATTTTGTTTCCAACAGTCCTTCATCAACTTTCCCATGACCTCGAGTGCCTGCAAAAGTGGTTTGCTCAAATAAAAACCCTCATTCTCATTGATTTACTATCACTCAGTCACTGTCCCAGGAAATGAAGGTTGATACAAAGAATGTAAACAACATGTTTACCTGCTAATTTTATGACAACTACTGATATATATATAAGTGAAAGAATCAAAGAGGATGCATCGATTCTCTGTTATTCTTGAGTTTCGCGCCTAAGTGCTCGTCAGACAGAACTTCTTTTCGCCTCTTTGATTCTTTCACTTATATATACCCAGCTCTGCTACCACAGCATTGAGCACTTTATGCCAAGGTAGACTCTACCCCCACATTTATATATATATATATTTTTTTTTTTTGAAACCAGTTTTATTTTCATTCACATCTTCCTTGGTCTTGAATTCATTTTCATAATTTGAACCAGAAGAAAATGTAAACCAAACTGGGTTGATAAATTCAGGAGAACTTTAATTCCATCATTCAGAGAGCCATATCAGTTACCATGATGCAAATGTCATCCTTTCCAAGGAAAAAAATTAACAGCTCTAGGCTTTCTTAAAATGATTTTGAATGATTAAAAAGCAGCTAAATGGAGAAAAGAGTTCAAAGCTACCATTTTTCCATTGCAGGCGTATTACTTTTCTACTTTTCTACCCCGCTGTCACGGGAAAATGTTACAACAAGCATTGTAAACCCCATTTTAAATTCAGTTGGCTGTTCATTAATGTTCCCCTTGACACAGACTTTGTGGAGCTTCAAACATTGGTTTGTTGTGTATAAGATTTGAATATTTGGATGTTTAAGGAGAAGAGCTAAACAGTCAGTGAGTTTGTTACAATCTGTACAATATTGTGGACACTAGAAGAAGTTTATTGACATGTTTATCAACTGATGTTGTAGCAAAAGACCTACATCAGTCTGTAACCTAATCTAGCAAAACAGCTAGAAGCTACTTATAACTATTGGAAGTTCTGAAACTTGTTGACCTTTGGAATAAAGCCTTTTTTTTCTTTCTATCAATAAATTGACAATTATGCCCAATCTGCATAAAAGAACTGATTACTTACACTGTTTTCAGTCCACTTGTTAGGAACCAGTGGCCTTTTCTGTTGTTCACTAACAACTTTCTTCATGTCATCATATGTAGGATTTGAGGGCACCATGTCATAGAATGGCAACTCATACTGCTCTGGTCTTATGCCTTAAATAAAAGAAGACACAAAAGAAAGAGTTGAATTTGATTTGCAGGCTTATAAATGCAAGATAACAATAAGAGAGGGAACAATTGTGTCTTAGGACACTTCTTTTCATGCAAGCTGAGGGACTTGCAAAAGCACTATCAGGTTCTAACAACTACAGAATACACATCTGTACATATATAAATTGTTTAGGCAAGAAAGTTTACCTTCTGTAAAGGTTCTCCTGGTTATTTCCCACAAAATAAGACCAAGTGAATACACATCAGCTCTTTTATAAGACTCAAACGATTTAAAAACTCCGCCATCCAACAGCTCAGGAGACATGTATCGTGGGGTTCCCCTTCGTTTGTTCTCTGTAATAATCTTGTCTTGAGATCTATCATGAACCACACCCAATCCTAAGCCTCCAATTGTACAAGTCAGATTTGACTTCACCATGATGTTTTTAGATTTCAGGTCGCAATGTGCAATGGAGTACTTTTCCTTCCGTCCATAAATTTCACCATGCAAATGATTCAAGCCCCTTGCAGCCGAGAGAGCTAAAGAACACATTTCTTGAGTGTTGACAGTTCTACAACTGAGGAAGTCGTACAGCGACCCATTTTCATGAAATTCCATCACAATACATCTGTATGTTGCTTTGTTCCAAGTAAATGCAGTGTGGCAATGCTGCACTCTAAGAATGTTTTCATGGTTTCCAATTTTGTTGTTCACATCCACTTCATTCTTGAAGAACTTCTCCTCACAAGGTAGGTACAGTTTTGCCACAACATCATCTCCATGCCACATTCCTCTCCATAATTTTCCATACTTGCCTTCTCCAATGACTTGAATTAAGTCCACATCCTGAGCAGCTGTGCGCTGAGCGAATTTTGATGCTCCAGACCCATTACATTTACCACACTCTCTACCATTACAGCTGCCATCTTCATGAGGTGCAGCTGAATGACGCGCATATCTAAGATTTGGGTATCTGCCACTTTTTAAGTGTCTCTTTTGTAACAGCTGATATACAACACAGACAAGTACAATGCCAACCACAAGAGCAGCTATAGGAGCAAAAATACTCAACAAGATGAAGTTGGTACGTTCATCTTTCCCAAATCTGGTAAGAGTAGATGCAGCTAAACAAAAAAAAATAGTACCATAGTTATACATAATAATCATGGGTAAATTAATTCATTAGGCTTATCAACCTTAAAAGAACTGTCTATAATTCAGTGTTGAAATTTTTACAGATAAAATAATTTATAATTAACCCTTTACACCCTTAGAGTGACTAGCATCTAATTTCTCCCTGAATTGCACATTAACGTTATGAGAATACAGGAAATGGTCACCAGGGAAGGAAGCTTTTGATTGGCAAACATATTCTCCTTGTCAGCACCTTAAGAAATGTACAAAGAACAGTGTGGAGAATATGCATACTGATGCTAGTGTGTGAAGGGTTAACAAAAAGATCCCATGTTGCCATGCGCCTGTAGTAGATCAAAGATTAAGTCGTAAAGTTGTAAGAGCCATAAAGTGGTACAAGAGGTGCACAGGACTTGAACAGACATGTGGCAACACAGAATCTATTTGTTTAATACTGTATTTACTCAAATATGGGTGCTCATTGGAAGATACTTAATCGAGGGGGGTGCTAATATTATGTTGGCCCAACAGTAGGAAAAAATATTAAAAGAGCAGATAACTAGCAGGAACTCTGCAAGCACATGAAGATAGATTGAAGTAATTTGAATGGAAAAGAAACTATTCTTTTGCACCATTGCTGCTTTAGTTGAAGCTTAAAAAGTTGTAAATAAAGTGGTAATAGAAACAGTTTTACCTTTTATCTCTATTATTTAAAAAAGTGAGGGAGGAGGGGGGGCATTTATTTCAGTGGGACACTTATTTGACATTATGGCTTAGGGGGTTGGTGCTTATTTGGGAAATGGTAATTATAAGAGTGTGAGTGCTTATTCAAGAATAGGGCATGATGAAGACACAAAACATTTTTAATGGTGACATCATCCCTGTGTCTGTCTTCTAATATGTAGGTTGTAAGTAAAAACGAATCCAAATACATGTCTAATTCGCAAGCACATTACATTACTACCTAGTCTATTTTCAAACCATTTCTGATCAGTTTCCAGTTTTTGCAATAGTTCTGCCAATTTCTAATGCATGCACAGAAAAATTCCTCCACAACTGTCAATAATGAGTAACTGACACTTACTTGATTTTTTTGTTGGAAATGTTGGGGTTACATTCCAGTTACACATATTCTCCTCACAACAGACAGCTGGAGTCACTGGATTCTCACAATTTATCTTCCTATGTAATGCATTCTCAAAACAGCCCTTTGACACAACATAATTATCATTCTCATCCTGCTTGAGCACTGAGAAACAGCCCAGTTCTGCATAGCATCTCCAATCAGAATCTTTGCAATCACTACACTTGCATTCAACTAGTTGATGGTATGGAGTTGATGAAATGGTCACATTTTTCTGGGCTGTAAGGTGAAATAAGGAAAACCTTTCAATCAAAATCAGCAGACTTCATTTAACCCTTTGGCCCTTGAAGAGCGACCAGCAACTAATTTCTCCTTACCATATAAACCCTCAAATCACAAAAAAAAGATAATGAAAATAAAGGAAATGATCATCAATTAAGGAAGCTTTTGATTGTTCAACAATTTCTCCTTGTCATCACCTTAAGAAATGTCAGTAGAACCATAAGGAGAATTTTCCAAGATTGCTCAACTGCTACCCATTTCTGAGAACTTGTCAGATCAAGATAGCCTTAAGAAATGTCCTCATTACCTGTAGAAAAATGTCCAGATATTAGGAGAATATGTATAATCACTGTTACAGGGTTAAAAGTGGTCACGGCACAGGACCAAGCGGCAACCTACACTGATCTCACTCTTACATTAATGAGTGCATTCTCATTTACATTTTCATACTGTATCAACATTTTCCCAGATTTTTTTGCCTTCTCTGGGTTCACCATAATTTAAATTCTGCTAGATATTTCTGCATTATAATTTCTCCTTGTGTAGGATCAGTTTTACATCTTGAAAGTCTCACATCGAACTTCGATTCTTGAGATTCTAAAAAATTGAGAATCAAGGATCAAGCTTCCCTTTAACTCCCAAGGTCTGATTTTCAATTCTCTCCTCTGGCAGCCACACATTTCCTCATAAATTAGTTATGAGAATGTGATGTTAGATCAAGATAACAACAGCCTGAAAAGTTTGTGTATTCTCATTACCTGTTCACTGGATCATATATGGATATTGTAAAATAAATAATAATAATAATAATAATAACTTTATTTAAGTGTCAGTGTATTTTAGCACTGCTGTGCTAATTGGGGACACTGTAAATAAGGAAACAAATATCGTAAATGAACAGAAACTCGTTAAAAACCCCAACTGGTAGGAGGCAGACCAGTTGGCTATTTACAAAGCGTGCAGGAGTTGAATTCGGGGCCACCGAAGACAAATCCATCCAGTGGCAGGGAGGAGGACTTGAACCCGGGACCTCCAGCTTACAAGTGCAGCGCCCTAACCACTAGGCCACGCTCTCCTGTAGGGGGAAGTTACATGTTAAGCACTTCTGGGAGTTAAAGGGTTAAAATACAACAGAGTGCTACTGCAGATGTAAAACATACCTAGCCACCCTGGTGAAACTGATGGAGTCACATTCCGGTTACACATGTTTTCTCTACAGCATACAATGGGAAGATTTGTCTGGTCACAGATAATCATGGAATGACTCTGATTCTCAATACAACCTCGTTTCACAACATATCCCTGGTTCTGTTTATCTGGTTTAACTGAAGAGAAACAACCAAATCCTGCCTTGCAGTGAGATTTCTCACATCCACTGCATTCACATTCTATGCCTTGATGGGGAGTACTTGGTGTCTGTGTCAAATTAGCTTCACCTGTATAACAAAATAAAGAAAAAAAATACCATCAACTTATTTAGAGAAGATCATCATTAGTCAGTCCTTGGAGATATACTACAAAATTACTGCAGAAAATTATTCTGAATAGAGAATTCATACTTTGACAGACTTCAGTGGGACCTAAATTCAATAATCAGACTTAACCTAACCCTTGAACTCCCCTGAGTGACCAAGACAGAATTTCTCCTTACAGTATAAATACAATATCAACTAGCTAAGTGATGAGAATAAAGAAAAATATCAATTTGGGGATAATTAGTTGATCCAATACTAAATTCTCTGAACTAACATTATAAGAATTATACGGTTGGCAGTGAGGAGAATTACAAATTTGATCTGGGAGTTAAAGGGTTAAACCATATGCAGTTAACTTTAATCTTTTACCTAGGTAATTAAATATTGATTTTTTTATCATTTCTGATTTGTCTTGGAAGGTTCCTTAAAGACACACTGATACCACAGAGAAAGAAAGCCATAAAACTTAAAACCAAAAATTCATTTTTTAAACTGGCGCTCTTAATCCCCATATCTATGTATGCTTTTCACCCAGAGAGTAGCTCCACTTTTTTGTATATGAACCATGCGCAACTCACAACTCCTCAACTCTCTCTGATGAAAGGCTTAACCTCAAAACATCAGCTTTAAATACTCCTTAAGGTGGCCAATTTAGATTATCAACTCAGTTGATCACACCAAATTATCTTGTTATTCTCCTCCAACACACAGCCACATGGTTTCTCTAGAACCTTAACCCCTTTCACTTAAAAGACACTTTTACCCTTTAAGGATTCTGATACAGAAGTCACTTACAAAAAAACACAAAATTCATCCCAAAAAATAATGCTGCATGACTGTATTCATTTCACAGTATAGCAAAAAGTTGACATTCAAGGTGGTTGCAACTTAATCCACGAGAACTTAAAAAGCAGCCATAAAAAAATTAACAGACAATTTCAAGTCTTTGATGCATGAACACGCAAATTAAGCAAAATGCATGAAAATTGGCAAGTATATTTTGCAATAATACAATTTCAATTTTGTTCAAAATATCACTGACAACATTCAGTGTATAATTGTCTGAATATTTGCTATACTCACACACAGTACCACTTCATATCAATTGAAGTGTGTCATTCAGGAGTGGGTGTTACTGCTGGATTTTGTGCATCGAGGGCTTGATTTATTCCTTTGGGTATTCCCTTTCGGGGGGCCACATAGAACCGCCTAGAGTGTAATGAATAAGTTTGGATTCATTTGTTCTAGGAAAGGTGAGATTTTTTGGCGGAAGACTCAAAGGAATGAAAAAAATAGTGCAATTACACGACCTCAAGCAGTAGTGTCGCCAAGTGTAACCTTTTTGTTTTGACTAGTCAATGAACTCCGAAGAATGATTAAAAACATTTTATGCCTTCAAGGTTTTTTTCTCAATGTTCTCAAGTTTGATTTGTATTTATTAAAACAGAGCATTTTCAGAGTTTTAAAAAGAGACCTTGAACGAGCATATTTGATGATTGTAGGCCAAAGTTCATATTTTACTTCTTGTTATTGACATTTTAATTTATGCACAGCTATCTTTTATCAGCTAGTGTGAAGCATGAATTCCAAAGAATGACCGCAGACATTTCATGCATTCAAGTTTTTTCTGTTTTATCTCTCCCAAGGCTCACTTGTTGTTATCAAAAGGAAAACCAATCACATTCCAGTCTGCCCTCGGTTACCATGATGCCCATATTGATAGTGTTATGCATGACCAGGCACGACAGAGTAAGATTTTAAGGAGGATTCTAAAGCATTAACTGCTAGTTTCCAATTGAAAGAGAAAAGAGAAAACTTTCGGTAAATAAACTTAGATCATTTGGAGAGAAAACAAATCAAAGTATTTTGTCTTGGAATGCTCATCCGACAGAACGACGCAGAGAGTGTGTGGAAGAAATCAACAAGATTTTAATCTAGCTTACCGCAAACGCAAATGGCAAATTTCGCCTTCTTTTCTTCTTATCCAATAGTCCAACAGAGAAATACACAAATATCTTCTAATTACAATAATAATTAGAATTATTACAATAAATGCAGATATTTTCATATTGCTGCTCTAAAAGCTGAAAGGTAGATGAAAAAGTTCAATTCTTGCCGTTTTCCATTTGCATACGCGAGGCAGTTTACTTAACTTATGTTTTAGAAATCCGACAAGAACCCCACTGATTCACAGATGAACCTAAACAATTGCATGAATATATATGAATACTTAACGACATGAAGTTGTCAAGCATGATTCATCAACCTCTAGTCAAGAGGAATTTAATAAAGACTATCAGAAGAAGAAAGTCAAAGATTGCGATATACAACTTAATGGTGCTCTTTTTAAGAGCCTGAACGTAGGACAGGTTTGCAACTGGCAAGGCATTTTAATCAGCGATGAGAAATTACAAGGAATGGTAACAAAACTATTTAATATTCATAATCTTGCCAAGAAATTATTTTTTGTAACCTGTTGTTACCTGTGACAACATCAAGAATTTTTGAATTATTGAACAAGGTTTAATGTTCATGTGAATAATTCATTAACCCTTAAATAACACTTTGACTTCTTCTCAGCAACACAGATTAAAGCATGTTGGTACCCTAGGCACATTAATGCATCATAACTAAAAAATTCTACCACAAAAATGATAAACTTAACCCTTTAACTCCCAAGATCTCATTAGTAATTCTCCTTACTGTCTAATATACAATTCTTCTGATGCTACTTCTGAGAATTTGGTATTGGATCAACTAATAATCCCCTGATTGATACTCTTCTTAGTTCTCATCATTTGCCTTCCTGATATTGTATCGATATTGTAAGGAGAAATTCTGTCTTGGTCACTTATGGGAGTTAAAGGGTTAAGGCTATTTCTGGTATATTTGGTTTCATCAATTAATAAGTGAGAAATCTGGCCTAAAGCACTGTGGAAATTAGACTTAGAGAGAACATAATGGAAAAAACTACAATTAAAATTATATTGCTGCCCTAATTACTTGACTTCTTCCACAATACTATCTAAAGACCCTTTTAGGATCCACAACCATGGTTCTGTGTGGTCTAAATTTGGCAAATAAAGCCCTGAGGAGTAATTCATATTTTTAAGATAATCCAAACAGGATACAATTTACACTAAACAATGTCAAAGCCAATAAAAATTATCAGCCACGAAGAAGGTGACTTGTAGCCTTTTATTGCGATAAAAGCATTGATGATCTGGACACAGAGCTTCAAACATTTTTAGCAGAAATTCTCATCAAGTAAGGACTTTGAGTGAAGACAAAAATTATTTTCTTTGTGCCCAAAGAGTGATCACATCTGAGGTAGTGTGAAAATTATATAACACTTAACAGGGGGTGGTACAGAAGAAAAGAAACTATGATCAATAAATTAATCCAATATTTTTGTAAGCCAATACTATCTTTTATGAAAACAAGTTTTAACTTTGCTGAAAATAGCACTCAAGGAAAGTTACTCACTCACTATAAAATCTCACAATTTTATAAACTGCTGCTGCAGTAATTTTTTTCTTTCACTCCAGGTATTTGCAATACTAATCAATAAAATGAATGACAGTCACCTTTCACTAGCATGGCAGGGGTACAGTAAAACAAAAGAGGGAGATTTCTTATTTGCTAGAGAAAGACCAAACATACCCTCGAGAGACAAATTACTTAACCAAAGCATAGAAAAAAACGTTGTGAAAATGAAGGCTTCCCTCACGAAAGGAATATCTGATGGGATTTTTTAATATTTTTCCGGCCAGAAGGGAATGCTAATGCAGAAACTGTTGATAAAAAAACACGAGTTCGCTGTCCCGTAAGAATATTTAATAGCTCTGAAGATTCCATATTGACGTTTTGATCAATGCAGACATCACTGTTTCTGGATAGTGTACGAATATTCAGGAGAGAAGAAGCAGTGAATTATACTTTCGCGTAAACTATAAAACTGTTTTGAATCATTAACTCGCATTTTTACACTACAAAAATGTCGATCGAAAAGTTTAACTAAGCAGTTATGATTGGAAGTAAACGAAGATCTGAACCGTCAGTTTGAAAATACACCCGAAAGTAAAAAATACTCTTGACAATTCGAGAGAAAGATTCGAGCTAGCGCCAACTTTATGACAATTATGATGTCAACGGAATTTCAAACACATCTCCAATTTTCTACCGAGTAACATCTAGATACCCCAACAACTAGACTAAAACAAGCGATACCGAGAGATCGAACATGACACACTGAATACACAAAGAATTTGTATACTCCAAACACAGATTACTCATATAGCACACAACTTTCAAATTCATTACGTCTGGATATCCGTCTGCCAGACAGCTGAATCGAAACATTCGGGTTTGTACAAGCTAAAAACTGAAAACCCCTTTAACAGTTCAGTATTCTCTTCGACGAAGTTATGAAATATCACCGCAGAGAGCGTACAAATCTCAGTTTCTACAAAATGATATTGGTGTCTGAAAACTTCGCTACTTACAAGAACCTTACTACGATCGCGAGGAACGTTTTTGCGGCTAGATATGCAATCAAAATTATCCAACTTTCAAAACACATCAACATGTGTAACTTAACGTCCACAGTACATGAAAATTGCTTACCTGAAGAATATTTAGCCACCTGAAGGAAAACAGAGACGAAAAGAAAGAATGCTTGGGAAGTAAACATCGTGTTTGTTAGCTTCGTTTTCCACCCCGCCAGGCTAGACGATGTGTTTAGTTTGGCTCCAGCCTCAAGTTCACGTTACGAATAATTATCGATTGCTATTTGACTCTCGGACGAAGATTTCCGACAAAGTTAACGAGTAAGTCTGGCGCAGCGAATGACTTTTTTTTCCAATCTGCTGGTTTTCAGCTAGCACTTTAATGAGAGAAGAAATTACTGTTTAGCAAAGGGAAAGAAAATATATATTACATGATGCAACAGTTGTAAGGGGCTGCTAAGTAAACGAACCAATTAAAATGATGTATTACCAGTCCAGTATTTTCAATGTATATATTGGACTACTCTTTCACCTTCTAATGGAAGTACAAGCATCATTACTTTATTGCGTGAAAATTAAAATTAACGGACAGAGAAATATACGTCGGCCTGGCTTTTGAAGTGTTCAGTACACTGATGATAAAGATCCGACCTCAAGGTCACTGAAAATGATATAGACCTCCGTCAGAAGACCCCCTTCTACTCTTATTTTTATCACTGGCCCCAGCTGAGGGCGGGCATTAAGCGCTGATTAAATTCAGTTGAGTGCAAAAACAAATTATGATGTGGTTATTGGAGAGAAAACCTCTGGCGTTGGGGAATATGGAAAAGTCGATTTTGGATGGTGCCCTCACCCAACTCCCTTAAATCTGTCAATTGACCGCTTCGTTTGAGGTTTATTGCACAAGATGAAACAATCTAAAATAGAGGACGAACTTTCCTTCACTTTCATATGGCACTAGAGAAAAGAATTTGCATTTCGTATCTGACAGGACATTCGACTGCTCTCTTAAAGTTTCATATGCTGTCATTACAGGTTTTCAAATAACTCAGTAAGCCACGAAGGTCTATTTCTTTGTAATTCGATTAATCGGACAAAGGAGCATGGTCCCTTCTCCCGCGGATGGAGGGGAGGGGGGGGGAATGACACAGACAACAAGGGTTAGGAGAGTGTTTGCCGGATTTTAAACGCGACGTACATTTCTCCAATGAGAGATCGCATGGGAATTAACAGCCTCGTTCCCGAGGTCCACACCTTGGAGCGAGGTTTTGAAATCGATTACGTCATTAACTCGGGGGCAAAATTGATCTACACGAATGCCTAGAAAATGCTCATTTTGAATTAGTATGTGGTAAACCGTCGTCACTTTGATGCTGAAATTGTAAACAAAGTCATGTCAATGTTCCAACGACATTCCGCAGCATGGAATTCCTTGAAAGAAAATAAGCCGTAAGACCGTATAACCACATTAAAATCAAAATTTCTACATTTCAATTTTTAATCAGAAGTAAAGTATGTCGTCTTCATTTCCATCGCTTTTAACTAGAAAACTCGTCGCTTTTTATTGCTCAGTATAATCTAAAGACCCTGTAAGAAAAATTTTTCTCTGAGAGCGCGGTTTGATGACGTCATAAAGCTAATGGGCCAATTAAGACAGCCGAAGTTAGGGCCGATGTCAGCTGTTAGATAAACTGAGCTCTGATGAGCCGAACTGCTGAAAAATGTAATTGCTTGGACAAAATAGTTTTGAATGCAATCTTCTGATAATGCAAAGAATTCGAAGGAATGCTTTTACTTCGGATAAGAGGGAAGAGGCCATGGCCATGCCCGAGCCTCCACCACAATTTTCACATGAAACTGTTACGTTTGGTATGGTATCTTCATCAGCTGAAGACTTCCCGCATGAATTAAGTGAAAGAGACGCACCGTGCCCATCATTAACAGAACAACAGATCACAGGTAAAGAATGAGCATCTATTCGTCGGATTTTACCTCTGATAAATTGTGGCGCGCAGTAAGAATTTATGCATTTTCAAGTTATTTTAGGACTTAAAAAAGACAACTTTGTACCAGAGATATCCAGAATTCTAGTGGTTTTGTATCACCAGATTCTTTCCATAATTGATGTTAAAAAAATTCGCACTATCTCCTCAACCAATCGGATGCAAGAGTCAAACGAGTCGCACCAAGGTCACTGGCCTTTTCCCGCGGTTAAGGTAGTGTGCTTTCTAAGCTCCAATCCTTATTGGCTCCTCGATGGTCAATTAGGGCGGAAAAGATACCTAGGTAACTTTAATTTTGGTTTTTTGCTTGATGAATGCACTTTACATTTCATCTTTTTGTCAGCGCCTTCCGCTGGAAAGTAGTTTATTCAAGAGATATGAGGCGATATTCAACGTAGCTTTGAAACTAGTGATCCGAGATTGCATTGGTTTGCTCTGTGATTGGTTCAGAAAACTCGTTTCACTTTTTCAACCAATTAGATACAAAACAAAAAACACTCACCACTTAGTCGCCCACGTTTTGCTGCGCTTTAGGCAGTTTGGGTGGTTCTACTTGGGGTTTTCGTTGGCTCATAAAGGTATTTTATTTTCCTTTGATTGACGGTTGTGATTACATATATTACATTGGTTATGGTTTTCGACATTCAATCGAAAAGCGCTTATGGCATTATCCATTAACTCTTCAACTAAGCATCCACGAGTGCAAATGAGTAGAAGGGAGGCTATGAATATTCATCTAATACAGTGATATCCTGGTAAGCCTTTAGGGAGGTGTTCGACCTCTTTGACAGCAATGGTGGAGGTACAATCGACGCCGAGGAACTGGATTTGGCGCTGAGATCAGTCGAAATCTATCTGTCGCAAGAGGACTTACTAGAAGTACTGTCCGCCATGGATAAAGACGGTAATAAAGAAAAAAATAACAAAGAAACATTATAAAAATGGCTAGGATATAGATGAGGAGACAGAAAGGACGACTTTTGATCCAAGGCTGGTGATATGTAAAATCAACATAACTCATTTTACAGATAGTCTTTCGACCAGTAGTATGTTTTCCGTCCACGCAAAAGCTAATCCAGAGATCTCTCTCCATCTGTTCTAAGTGAAAGCAATAAAAAGGCATAAAGCCAGGACCGAATCAAAGTGGGAGCATGACCCATAAACCACATGTTATTCATTTTCACCATTAAAAAGTTTCTATCGCTTTTGAGATTTGGAAGTATAACCCAAACCTTCAAAAATCGTGCTGGGTATTTGGGAGATCGATGTAAGGAATGTTCCCCAAGGATTCTCGTCTGAGAAGAAGGTGTCTCTTACATTGAATACTAGCCCCATCAGAGTTTAGATTCCTCGCAGTTGTTCTGTTCAAGGACCACATCATCAAAATAACCTCCTTTTTCTGAAAGGTGTACTCTGCTTCTTGCAGGAAATGGTGAAATTGATTTCCACGAGTTCCTTAACTTGATGACGAACACAGAGCGCTTCTTGGAGGGATTCAGTACGTTAAATTAATACTTAACGATTATAACACCGTGATTTATTTCTGTGTCATTTCCTTTCACAACCATAGGCATGGACTTTTTATCACCTTCCACTCTTATGGACTCTCTCCCAAATGGCAGGACACTTACATAAAGAGAGTTGGAAGATAAGATGTAAATTACATAGTGTGTACTTCAACGGTTTTCATTACAGTGCGAATGTAAATGTACATAAGGGCGTAGTCGGGAGAAAGGTTATGGGGCGCCGTATCCACCCTTCCCCCTTCCCCCTTCCCCCTTTCCCCTTCCCTTTACCCTCCCCCTCCCCCTTCCCCTTCCCCCCTTCCTCTGCTCCCGTTATAAAATTCCCCCTTCCCCTTTCCCCTTTCCCCTTTCCCCTTTCCCCTTTCCCCTTTCCCCTTTCCCCTTTCCCCTTTCCCCCTTCCCCCTTTTCCCTTCCCCTTCCCCTTCCCCTCCCCCTCTTCCTTCCCCTTCCCCCTTCCCCCTTTCCCCTTCCCTTTCCCCTCCCCCTCCCCCTTCCCCCTTCCCCCCTTCCCCTTCCCTTTACCCTCCCCCTCCCCCTTCCCCTTCCCCCTTCTCCCTCCTCCTCCCCCTTCCCCCCTTCCTCTGCTCCCGTTATAAAATTGTTTACGTCAATAAAGTCACAAGACTGAAAATTCAGATCAAGAAAACACGCGAATTCAATAACATGACTGGCACAAATCTCTTTTAGTTTTGGATGCTCCACATGTTCCAGTCATTCTTGTAGCGTGAAAATAAACCAAATGGTACACAAGGTAGACCAGCGGTATATGCAACGTCACTTAATTAACTTGCCCAAAAATTCGTAGTCATGATTAACTTTTCCCGCTTTGTCCCCCTTCGGTTCAAAAACTCATAGCTTTGCTACTGGTGTAAATTCGAAGCCTTTTTTCGACCATCAGTTCCGGAGTTACTTGGTTTCTAAGTTTTCTGAACCCTAACTTACGGAAAAGCCAATTTAGAGGTGAATGCCAGAATTAGACCGTGGGTAAACAAATGATAACATGCTTAGTGAAGGTCGGTGACGGTATGATTCATTTCTTTTGGAAGGCTTTGGCAAAGGGTTGAAACTTTATTTTCTGTAGCCACTGTGGACGAAAAAAGGAAGAGAGAGCATCTCCTCTTTGAGGCCTTGACACAGTTTATGAAGAGATCAGCCCTTCATTCAATTAGCGAAATTGTCGGGTAAGTCACATGCCTTATTTTCTTGCAAGTTGACTAAAGTTAAGTTAAGTGGCATTTTTTGTGTGATTTTGATATGGTCAGCTATTACTTCCAGATGCAACCCTTTTTGTTAAGAATTTGACTCATCCAATCGCTTAACTTCGTTCTTAAGACTTGCTTAGTGTAGGCGCAATCTTTCTGTTCACTTAACAACGAATACTGGGGCGACTCAAACCATTATCAAAAACGTCAAACCTCTAAATCGCAGATTTTACCATACCAAGTACAAGCGCATCCAGGCCCCCCACGTCGTGGGCCACTACGCAGCCGGGGCCCGGGTTATTGGCCTGACAGAAAACCAGCTGAGAAGGCGCATGGAGAGCCTGAAGGCGAGGCATGCTGCTGGAGATAACAAATCCCCGTATGCTGAGCCGTTGCACATAGTTTTTGGCACGGTTGGTATTTTTGCTTTGTATAGAAAAAATAATCGGGGACTTCTTTAGTCTATGAATGGTTTAGAAAATTCGCGCCGCCTCCAGTTTATCAAATGCTTAAGTTGGTCTCTTGCGTTCTCCTGGTCCTCTGACAGTTTACGATCATACTTTAATCTTATCCACAGTTCCTTCTAGCATCTTTGAATGTATGTTTTAGCTCTGTCGGGCTAATATGTTCACCTCGTTTTTGGTACTCTATCAATTTGCGCTCTATTTCCTTTACAAGGTAAATATTTGGTGCGAGGTCATGGCGAACCTCGGACCGAGCGCCACCCCGTCCGGCCCGTTAGCGGAGTTTGTATATATTAAAACAATTTGTTAGTCCCTTTTCAATCGTAACAACTGATTTTACCAGCTTTCGTAATGTAAATAGGGAATTTTCGAGCAGGTATGTGAGGTCGGCTTCAAGGCACGATGTGCCAAGGCTTACGAAAGGCACATCGACTGTCAGTTAAAGAGGCTTGTAACTTTAAAGGCTCTAGGTTTCAATTCCATAAGAATTTATAAGTGGCAAGGAAAAAGCGAGTGAAAAGGAAATTTGAAAGCAGAGATGCGAGGTCAGGCTTCAAGGCTCAGTATGCGAAAGGGCCTTTCGCAACGCTCATCGCCTGTAAATTAACTACAGAGTAAGTAACGAATATGAAAGTGATCTTAGCAGTAATGAACTCTATTTAACCAGTAGTGAAAATAAAGCTTGAAAAAAAGATTCAGGCCTGTACGAGATTTGAACCCATGACCGCTGCGATACCGGTGCAGTACTCTACCAACTGAGCTAACAAGCCAACTGTGAGCTGCTTAAATAGTGTTCAGCACTGCGAAGATCGCTTTCACTTATATTCAATTCTTAACCCGCAGTTCACATATACGATTTTCATATATTTACAGTCATTTATTCATCACTTTACGGGTTCATTACGAACCAACATAATGACCAGCGCTCAGCTGACATGTTAGCTCAGTTGATAGAGCACTGCACCGGTATTGCAGAGGTCATGGGTACAAGTTCCGTACAGGCCTACATTTTTTCAGGCCTTATTTTCACTACGCACGTACTGTTTAAGTAGAATTTATTACTGCGAAGATCGCTTTCATATTCATTTCAAAACCCGCAGTCCACATAATTTATATGATTTTCACATATTCACAGTCAGAGTAAGTAACGTTACAGCTCTACGTTTCTCTTCTACACAAATTTATAGGTGGCGAGGAAAAAGTGTCCTCAACGCCGTGCTAAGACTAACCCCATCACAGAAACAGATGGCTTACCAGAAATTTCTCTGACCAAAGGAAAGATCAGACTAAAATTTGGAAGACCACGCATGCCACCCCCGTCTTCTTCTTACCCCAATATACTCGAAAAAAGCCCTGTTTTGCCAAACGCGGTAAGTTACTCACAATTACAGAAGGGTCTCGTAGACACAGCGTGTGCGAACATTGTGATGATTAAGTGGCATGCTTTCAGGCTGACAGAGACAAGTTGTTTTACACAAGTCACAAATAACCACACAAGCCAGTGAGTTAGGGTGTTTTCAAAGCGTATAACTTCTTTGGAAAAGTTTAAAACAGCCGAGCTGAGTAAATCACAGGATCTACCCATACTTGAATAGGCTTTGTATATGTGACCCTCTAAATGATTTCAGGGACAAAGGTGATACAACTTGATCTGTAGTACTATTCCGTCAAAACTAGATTTTTAAAGGTACCCGGTGACTTCGCCAACATGTTAAATCGTGGACAGTTGTCTTTGGTTTACTCGCCGACACACCCGTCACTTCGCCGACATCCGCGGTCACTCTGCCAGCGTACTTGATCAACCGCGTAACAAAAATTGGAGTCGGTGAGCGACTGGTAACCTTTTAAAATATGGCTGCAGGTTCGTTTAGTTTCCAGGGGTTACATTATCAACACAGTTGATAAAAAAAAAAATTATCTTACGAGTTACGGGCTGCTTAGTTCTCAAGCTGCGCATACCGAGTGCCTCACGTCACTCCATTTGCTTAATTTTTGTGCATAACTTACACGAAGTTTCAACACAAACAATTCTCAAATCTTGCCTCTCTGTCCTCAGTCTATCATACAACAGACTATGAGCCCAGCAGCTCAGCTTCTAATGCGCGGGCGTCAAACTTACCACCAAGGAAAACGTAAACAACGAAAACCGCCCCTGAAGAAAAACGGCTGGGTCAGCCAGAGATTTAAACCATTCCCCCTTGAGCTTCCTAGTATCTTTGCTGAACGAGAAAAGAAAACAGGCAAACCAGAACAACACCCAAGCCTCACATTCGACGATTTAAAGAAAATACGAGACAAGGCAAGTAAATGAACGAAGAACTTCAACCTAAGAAGTAAAATCTCTGAAGTAAACAATTTCCTATGTTGCGAATCTCTAGTAGAAAGTAGCCAACCGGAACCGGTTTTTTTTTTCTTTTGCGCTTTTCAGGCGAGCATGAGTAGAACGTGATGAGCGAGGATGCGCGTGAGGGAAAGACGACTCGTACTTCGCCCTCTCATCGCGTTTGCCTCCTGCATACTTTCGCTCGTCTGCAAATGAGAAAAACAAAAGGCTTGTTCCGAGAGGGAAGAGAGATGATGCAGAGGTGAAAGCTCTTGCCTCTAACCACCGTGATTTAGGTTCTTTTCCTGAGCCAGCAATATATTTTTGTAACCCTTTAACTCTTAGGGGTGATTAACATGTAACTTCTCCCTATAATATCCATACATTATTGAGCAAACAGGTGATGAAAATACTCAAACTTACACAGCTAGAAGAAGTTATCTTGATCTATCACCAAATTCTCTTAAATAATTTACAAGGGAATGAGTTAAAGCTAGAAGGGAGAATTGACCCTCAGATCTTAAGAATTAAAGGGTTAAATGTCAAATCATCTGTTTGTTGGATTTTGTATTCATGCTGCACAGAGAAGTTACATATCTGTCACTTCTGTAAATTATAGTTTGATGCGATTGCTCCTTCTTTTATCTAAAAGGTTGCTCAAGCAAGAGATGTTCACTTTCAACGACTTCGGGAAACAAAAAGCAAAGACAGTGAAGATCATTGGAAATCCTTAGCTCCTGAGCAGATTAACTCAGATGTACTAAGAGATTATTTCAGACTGGCTTTCAATACTTACACACCATATGCCACTGTCCATGCTGTTTGAACATTCTGAGAAACCTCTTAATTTATTTGAATGGATGGAAATAAAGAAATGAGATTAACTTGTATTAATAATCCAGCGACAAATTAACATGATTTAAACTGCATTCTACCTGAGTGTAAGATACCACTCCAATAAATGAGGGTTCTTTTAGTATCTTTCACCCTTTAACTCCCATGATCTCATTAGTAATTCTCCTTACTGTCTGCCAAATGATTCTCATTATGTTAGTTTGGAGAATTTGGTATCAGATCAATTAGTAACCCCATAATTTATATTTTTCTTTATTCTCATCAGTTGTCTGCATGATATTGTATAGATATAGTAAGGAGAAATTCTGTCTTGGTCACTCAGCAGTTAAAGGGTTGAGTTATTGTTGCTAGCTGTTGTGCTGAGTCATGATAAAAAGAGGTATAAGTTCTGAGACTTTTGGCTAGATTTATAGGTTGAGTGAATGCTGTTACAGTTTCACCATGATTAACCCCTAAGAGAGACTGCACTGCACATTTGCAGTGACCACAACATGAAACAAACAATTATACTTCCCTTTCGAAAACAACAAAATAATTTTCAACACCAGATGTTGCAGAAAAACAGAGCCTGAGAAATAACTGATGTACTGCTTTTAAAGATATATTTGAGTTCTATTCATTTACCTGTAGCTTTTGCTATTTACATGCCATTAAATAATGGCTATTTCCATTACATGATGATCTGAAAATACAGCTGATGATCAAAATGCTAATAATTTACAAATACTATGTAAAAAGAATGGCTAAACAACATTTTGCCACAGTTTATTATTACAGTTGCTGTGCTGCTCTGTGCAATCATGTCAGTGACATTACTAGGATTATAAGCTAAGTGAGGTGCACACCAAGTTTCTTTATAGGATTTGGACCATAAATATGTTGTGGTCAAAAGCAATTATTTCCATTGGTAGTCAAAACTCAAGAGCATGCTGCATCACCAACCATCAAACCTGATAGCCTGCTAAAAGAAGGCAAATGACCCGTTGCCACTGGAATCATGGTAAATGACATTTCTAAGCTACATCATGGTCACTGTCTTCATTATTTTGCCACTTTCAAGAGACAACCACCTCAGGGTCAGTGCACTCTTTTTTTGACAAGAGGAATCAATCAGCTTTTGCTCTGCGCCTTGCTTTGGCTATATTTGTTTGACGAGTTGCTTTAAAAGAAAAGAGAGGAAACTGTTAAAAAACATGTTTATCTCCTGGTAATTTAATAACTGAAGATAATTCTCTATTCTTTAAATTTTGATTTTAAAATATTCCTCTGAGCCTGGTACTTTTGGGAAATGGGCCTCTCTGATTCAAGTGAACGTAACACAGTGGTCATCACAAATATCTTGTGTGGCTCTGGTTCTTTCTTTTTTCCTCCCATTTCCCTCAGTGTTTACTAACAGCTCCACCATGAACACAACAAAGAATAACAACATACAGTCAACATGGCCAAGTTTACAGACAACTTCATTACGCCGCCATAAGAAGTGTCCAAAAATTACAAGAGTGTAAACTAACACATAGTGGGTTATGTCCTGGACAACAATGTGTTTAAATCTGCCCATTAGAAACTTTGAACTTTCCTTAGGAACTGTAAAAACTACGTCTTACTTTGATTCTGCATGTTTACAATAGCAAATTATCCGTCATAGTACGCATGTGCAACCATTTGATCGCTGTGTTAGTGCACGTATCATTTGCAATCAAGCCACCACGAAAATAATTCCCCATCATTCGATTTACTAATAAAGAGTGGAAATTAAACAGATCAGAAATTCTGGCACATGCCTCAGGACTTTGTTTTTCCAAGATTTCACGCCCTTGTTGGAAGCATGGAACGATTAGCCTTGTTGGTTATCTATCATCTCATATCCAACGCACGCTCGTGGAACAATTGTTTAATGGTCGCTGAACTTCGAACAAACTTATAACGACGAAGGTAAATTTATCTGTCTTTTCACGGTTACGTACCTTTTTTCTTCTTTTCCTTTTCATTCTTCTCTATATGTTTTGCTAGCTTCAGGGATAGATATCCACTTATTGCCATCAAAGGGGTCAATATTAAGAAAACTGCGAAGAACATAACAAAAAATAATTAATTAAGCCATAAACATTCGCACAAGTGCAAATATTGTAAAAATAAAATAATCGAATACTGGAATAAAACCACAAACAAAAAGTAAAAGTAAGCAACATACAAAATAATGATCACTTACCATAGAAAAGAAACTCTTTAGGGTTTAAAGCGACGTATTTTACAAATGAGTCAAGCGTGTCTTTCCACGGACCCTTCTGGACTGAATTGTCCGCCATATTTAATTACAATCACATACCGCTGACCAGCGGAGACAGCGTAACCCTCAGGATGGGAATGGCGAAAAGTAAGTTTCATCCAGTAACAAAACCCTTCATCACAGCAACCAAAAATCTCCACTTTTGACTGATTGAGTATGACTAAACAAAGACACATATGACCTCATATCTCCATGGAGAGTCACCTGTTAGTGAAAAAAGTCATTGCCGAAAATAAAATTTTCCCTACCTAAAAACCATGTACAGTTTTACGTGTTTTCTGTTCTTTGGTTTCCTAGATAAGGGGTCAGTTAAAAATCACCATGAGAATTCTCTCTCTCACACCCGCACAAAAAAATTAAGGGTTGAGACATTTTAAACAAACAGAGAGTGATAGTTCAAAAATAACTTGATCATGAACATCAGGAGTTTGATTTGGAATAGTTTTGGTAAAAAAACGTTTTAACCTCACTTCAGAAACACATAAGAGGTTTGGAAAACACTCTAAAGGCTACCAATAGTTGATCTCATCTCCACCTCTTGCTCATGTCTTTCATCTTCGTAGATGCCTTATACTTTTTCTTTGATCCTTAAGAGTGATTGGTATCTAATTTCTCATTGCAATAACACCCCTGAGTCACACATTAAGGTGATAAGAATTAAAGAATTGATCATGAGCTCTGGAAGAAGCTCTTGATTGTTAAACAAATTCTCCTTGTCAGTTCCATCAGAAATTTAAAGGACAGTGTGGAGAAAATGCATACTAATGTTTGGGTTAAAGGGTTGATAAATGCACACTGGCTCATGATCCAATTGTTAATTGTGTGTCATGGTTTCTGCATATCATGCTCCTAAAAATAAGATCCAGTAAGAACACCAAAATTTGTTAACTAAAAGCTATACATACTTTATTGCAATATAAGATGAGGAAAGCAACACATTATTAAAACTATTTCCTCATATGTACAAATATTAAATTTTACTATTCACCTAATAAATAGACCAGATCCATGTTGCGTACTTGAACATATTAGAGTGACAAGCAGAGACAATGCTGCCTTTTCCCCAAATACACTCTGTACCTTGGCCTTATTCACCACCTCACATATTTGTTATACTTTAACTTAAAATGTTATTACATTGAAAGGTTTGTGACCTTCATTGCAGCAAATTCTTAACTTCCATTGCAAGCACTGCATATATACTAAAATATTCCCCTGAAGTGACTTAGACATAATTTCTCTTTACAATATCAATACAACAACTAGCAGTCAAGTGATGAGAATAGAGAAGAATATCAATCATGGGATTATTGGTTGATCTAATAACAAACCCTCCAAACTAACATCATAAGAATTGTATGGCAGATAGTAAGGAGAATTACTACTGAGATCAAGGGGGTTAAAGGGTTTAAACCCTGTTTGACTTAGTTTTTGTCTGACTGGACATACTGGTGAGGTAGAAGTTCTGTTGTAAAAGCAGGAATTAAATAATACTTCACCAGCCAAATCACTTTTCATTCATTTCCAAAAGTGCTCCAAAGTTACTGAATGTCTGCTTGTGACTTTCATGTTTGTAAATAAACCAAACACTAATTCTTCTTTACTTTATACTGATTACAATTTGTAACCTATAAGAAAAGAAACTTTCAGTAACTTTAGTAGTTTTTTTCTTTGCATCAAAAACAAAAACAAAAAAATTGTTTGATGATCAGGTACCGAAATAATCAATTTTTGCCAAGTGAGTACATTTTCTACTTAATAGGTTACCTAAACAAGGAAAACATAACCAGCAAAAAAATTGAGAAAATGATGTCTCCTGGAAGATGAGTCAAATAATTTACAAAAATTCAGCAACTCTAGAGAACTTTTGTAGGGGGTTTCAATAACTTTTACCATAAACAGCCACTGATGATGTAATAGGCAGCTGTTCCTAGAAAAAGGGGTTGAAAGGTGAAACCAAATCACAGGGGCTGGCTTGCAGGCTGAGTGGATGGTGATCAGAGGTTTTATGAGCAGCAATAGAATGCTGGCAACTGGCTTTTATCGAAGCCCCAGCTTTTGAAAATGAGTGAAATGTGGACGTGATGGTTTGTCTGTAGTCTCTCAAAACTGGTTTGTGTTACACTAAATATCTGATTTAAGTCAATATTTTATGATAGGACAGGTTCACTTTTCTCCTGAAATGTTTGATGACCTCATTCCTTGCTGCTTTTAGATCAAAATTTACTTGATCTATAAACTGTGTCTGCGCCCAACCATAGCTTACTGCTCACTTAACTCTTTATTCATCAACTCCTCTTCTCAAAAGAATGAACATTGCATACCTGTCTTCTGATTAATAATTATACTATCTACATCTTGGAGACTTGCAGTTCATAAATAAAGCTATGGAGCTTTGATTTCATTGTGGCAAGAAGTTGCCTTTTTAAGATTTGATTTCCCTCTTTGTAGCCACATACCAGTGAATGTAAAATATGTTAAACTTTACTCAATGCCATGTGCAAAGATCATTACAAGACCAGGATCTAAAGTCATTGATTCACCCATATGTTCATTTTCACAGGCCATGATCACAACTGCTTGTTTTCCAGGTATTCTCCGACAAACATACTGTTCATATCGACGGCGATTCAACTGCCGTGTTTCAAGTGTGCTCAACCCTGGGGGCCACCTCCTCTCGTGAGCATTCTCCATTAGTTCATTCAAAATGGTAGGTGGGCATCCACTGTCTGCAAGTGCTCGCCGAATGACTGCCTGTAGAACAGCGTCGGGCGTAGATATCATACCACCCCATCTTGTTACTCTGGCTGATTGTAACCCCCTTAACCACTGATGAATTTCATTGACATAGTGATCTGGTTGTGACAGGTTGCTTGGCAATAGTGGCAATGCCTGTGGCAAATTGATCACTCTCATGGTTCGGATCATTTCCTTGAGAGCTTGAATCTCACGTTTCTGTTCATTTAGCTGCTGGCGTTGTTCATCGATTTGAGCTTGCAGCTGTTCTTGCTTGAAATTCTGGTTTTGGATCAAGTTATTTAATTCACGGACACAATTATGCTGAGAAAGCTCGTCAAATGGAACCACTAATCCACATCCCTGATTGCACTGAACAGGCCTCTTTGGGTTATGTTCACACTGTGATAAATGAGAGTGTAATTGATCCAGTCTGACCACCCCATCACAGCCATGCCTTTCATTTTCACATTTTACTGTTAACTTTGATAGAAGGTTCTTCAAGATTCTTGGCACTTGCTTCAGTTCATGTGGTGTGAGGCTGTGTCGATCAACTGGACAACTTTGTTGATGTCTCAGCCATTCATGTATACAACCAGCACAGAAAGCATGTTCACATGCTGGGGCTTGAAGAGGATCTTCCAGTACTGATTTACAAATTGCACAAAGCAGTTCCTCGTCAACTGAACATGTAAATCGTGCTGTATCATACCCCATAGCAACTGGTATGCTTCACCTAAACATGAAGAATGAGTTGGTATCAGACTCGTCATTGCATAATAAGTTCCAAATAGGTTCATAGACAAGTTGGGGGGGGGAGGGGGTAATTAAAGAAAGCTTTATAGGGGGTGTCTCCAAAGCCTTCCAAAACTAGCCCTGTTTCACCCTTTAACTCCTAGAAGTAATTGACATGTAACATCTCCCTATAATATACAAACAAACAGATAGGGAGAATTCTTAAACTCATCACTTCCAAGTTTTTGTTTTGATCTTATGCCAAATTCTTGTAGCTACTATACAGGGAAATGTGCCGCAGCTAGAAGGGAGAATTAATAATCATATACCTGGAGTTAAAGGGTTAAGACAAGTACCTTTCAACTTAATCTCTACACCTTTTACCTGACATAAAAAATCAGAAATTTATTACAGGTTCTTGTGAATTTTTGCTAGCCAAGGATAAAATTGATCTTAATTTGTTGTTTCAACTAGTTTGAAAAGTCTTCTATGGGTATAAAATTAAAATTCACCTCCTGTGCTAATTTTTATTGTATACCTTCATCTCCAGGTGCTAAGACCAAACTGACTCTTGCTACTCAAATTACTAGTGTAAAATAATTGTACAGAGATTTGACTCAGGAGTCAAAATGTCATTTCCCACCTAAACAGATGACAGATTATGTCTGTAGAACAACTTAACAAGCTAAGAATGGTTTTCTAATGTTCAATTTTGAGAAAAAATCAGTAAAACATCAAATAACTGTGCACATGTCTGATCTTCCCTGAAAAATTGTTGAAATTTCTCTGCTGTATTTTGAAGTGATGCTGCTCATTAGCTAATAATTGTTACCACATATGTAGACTACAACCTGCCAACATTTATGCCATATTCACAGTTAGGTATAGAAAAATACCAATGTGAAGAATCTCAATAGAGAAACTGTTTTCTGTTTTCCCTTTTTTAAGATTTGTGACCACAATAAATACACCTTATTTGATGGCATAAATCTGTTGAGGCCACAATAGGAAGAGCATCCCTTGGGATACCTGGATAATAAAACCTAGCGTTCATAATCGAACAATCATTCAAGAACACAAAGGCGATATTTGTTCCTCTCAGCCTCGCTGTAAAGAGATATTTTTCAAGTATCGATCAAAACCTTTTACAGATACCAAGGCAAGGGTTTATTCTTTGCATGAGCCAGCCTGCCCAAAAAGTTAAATATCATCGCTATCTCCACACTTTAAGGCAATCAGCAGTATTACTACGCTTCCAGGGAAATTTTAGGTCTCTGAAATGCTAATTTCGTTCAAATCCCAAGGAATTGTTTGTTATGATTTGAAAGTGTTGTGAAGAAGTAACTTTAAGCGTGTGTGCAAGAACATTGTTGGAAAAACTAGACCACAAAAGGTAATATCAATACCTAGTAAGCTCGTTAGATTTACCCTGGGGGGAAAAAACCAGAGAAGAATAAAACCTTGACAGGGACTTCAGCAGGCCTGAGATCCCTGACTTATGGAAAGCGATTTTCCGCTTTTGATCGTCAAAAACTTCAATCATTTCTGATACATGATCATTTTCATACCTTATGATTGTAAATCACTGGTTTTACACGTCTCCAAATTTAAGATTTCACTGGCAACTATCCACATATGTAAAAGCTTCCCGGGAAAAACAACCCATTACCGCCATGAGAAATTTTTACGACAAAGCGCCTTCAAATCTCGATTTGAATCATGGGACTGAATTTCATTTGTAATGACGCACCGGGGAGGGGTGGCGTCATGCATCATATGGACCGCCCGTGTGATATCTCTCACGTCCTTGGCTGAAATCCAAAGGTGGTCAAAAATTTTTTTTCTTGGAAATGATTGTGTCATGATGACGCACAGGTCATTCACGCTTTTTCATCATTTTGATATGACAATTATGAGAGTTGTGAAGAGAACAATAGTCACACACGTCTCTAAGACTACCTAGATTACACAGAATTAACCAAAAAAAAAAACAACATTGCACTATATAGCGAATTACCAAAACGTGAAAGTATGCCAAATAATAAAACAGTATAGTCAAAATAAACGCTTCCTCTTGTCAGGCTCACTCTCTCAACGGACGTGACGTCATATGCTCAAAAGGGAGGTCTATCCTCTGAAAGTTTAATTGCTCGTGACAGCTCCAGACAAAAGAGGCCAGAAACGCAGTACGCATACCACATTTTGCCACAAAATGGCGCTTACTACGTTATTTGAGTGGTTTGGCTATGTATTGTGTTTTCTGACTATCCTCCCGTCAGCGCAATGTCGCAACTGTACTAAGGATGACTTCAAGCCTTACATAACGCCCTGTGACATAAACACACAAACTCGTTCAATCGTCTATTACCTCAATACAAATTGGTAAGTTTTTAAAATTTGAAAGATCAGCGCTGAATGTACGCAATATGCCAAAGATTCGCTGGAATTATAATTCTATTGTTTAGGGCGTAAATTTTAAGATTATTTCTTGAATTCCTTCGTTGAGGCTCGAATTTAACTCAGGTATCCTATTTTGGTACCTTTCCATCCCAGTTTTCTGGTTCATTCGCAGTGATTTCTTTATTCAAAATTGTTAAGCTTATTTCTGGGAGTTCTTTATTTTCGGTTCTGTCAGCTTTTCTTGATACGGCTTCAGAAAACCTTAGAAACAATGTTTATTGATCACAATTATGGTAAACCAGCGCGTGTGAGCGTTCGTAGTAAATCAAAGAAGTTGTTATTTTAAGCTTCCTCAACGATTTTGGATTGTTTGTTTAGCTTGATTTGCGTGGAGCAACTTCAGAATACCCCGCAACTCATTTACATGTCATTGAATAAGAATAGCGTCTATTGTGTTATGCCTCGATCTTCAAAGCCTCCCGACACATGAAAGTGAGGCGGACCAAAGTTGCGGGGTATTCTGAAGTTTAGCCATTCGCGTTTGAAAAACGAAAGAAGTCTTCAAGAGAAAGAATCATATCATTTTTTTTCAACCCATCTTTGAGAAATTGACGGGAGATGCGTTAAAATACAGTATGTTCGACGCGTAGCCTTCAGCTACTAGTTCGGTTTCTTCAGGGCTTCTTTAGCTCTAGAGTGGTTTCCGAACTTCTCTGGTGCTTAAAATCTCTCTCATTGTTGTGAATACCGTATATTGCTTTTTGATCATGTTTCAACATGCGTCAGTGAATCAGAGATTGTATTTCAACAACATCTAATATCAATGCGAGACATTTTCTTTTACTTCGTGAAAGCTGAAATAAGCAAATATTTACTCATGAGACAAATTTTCACAACTTGATGAGACGAAAAATGTAGTCATTCGTTGTCTTTTCTAAAGAATTTAGTTACAATGTTGCCAAAGCAAGAAGTAAACATGTTTGTTGACAATGGTCTTCCGCTGGGTTGCATGAGCTTAAAGAATTTCTTTTTATTTCTATTTTTCTAAAGAAGTAAGTAATATTTGAGGTCACAATTACTATGTAAGCAAAACAGATTGAATCATGATCATTATCCTAATTTCAGTTAAAACCTCTCCATAAGAATGTTCCTATTTGATAAGAAACCAACAATAAAATGAAATTTTCATTTTGGTAAGAAATTGAAAATTGGCACAAAGGAACATGAAATCTGAAAACTATAGTCTCTTTTTTTAAAGTGCTTTTGAAGCTTGTTCTCTGGTAGCTAAGTGTTTTTTCTCTTTAGTTGTTGTCAAGTTAAAAAATGGTCAGGATAAATTGCGTGCAATAGTTTGCAGAAAGTTAGTATATGATAATGAGTACTGAATTATGCAATGTGAGCAAGCAGTTGACTTGAATTTTATTTAACTGGAAAGTGATAGATGATGCAGCATTTTATGCATCACCCTGCCTTTACTTAGAATAAAAGGAGTTTTGTAAAATAATGTAAACATATGTAATGTTGTTCTTTATTCTCAGCAAAGGAGGTGTAGCTCCTCTGGCTCCACATGCAAATATACCCTGTGATTGCCCTAAAGGAAGAGGACTTTCTGGAAGCCTCAGCTCTACTAACTGTACACCATGTGAAGTTGGATCCTATGGGCCAGGGGGAGAAATCATCAACAACTGGAAAAACTGGACTAAGAATGGTACTGTGCCCCCAGAAGGATCAGGCATTGTTACATTCTGTGAAGCTGAACGTCAATATGTTCAGCCTTGTCGCCCATGGAAAGTAAGCGGTAAGGAGATTGACATTTTGAGAAACTTTCAATCAACTTTTAACCCACTCAACTCCCTCAAGCTGCTACACATTTCCTTGCAAATTTGTTACATATCTCATACCTGATAAGTTTAAGTATTCTCATCACCAGTTAGCTAGATAATGTACAGATACTATGGGGAGAAGTTACATGTCAATCACTTTTGGGAGTTAAAGCGTTAAGTAATTCTCTTTACTGTCTACCATACAATGTGGTGTTGGATTAACTTATAATCTCCTAATTGATACTTTTCCTTATTCTCATCACTTGTTTGCCTGATATTGTATTGATTTTGTAAGAAGAAATTTTGTCTTGATCTCTTTTGTGAGTTAAAGGGTAATGAGTTGAAAGCAATCTAGGGTCTTTTTTGGTTTGCTTTACTATTCTGTATAATTTGTCTTGAAAACTTGTGGCATTTTTTCAACCAAAACTAAAACCAAATTTTAATTAGTGACTGGGATTTTTCCCTTGTTTGTTCTTACTCTCGGTTCACATTGTCCCATTGTGATATTCTACCGCACAGTAATGCCTCCACCATCCTGTAGAAGCTCTGGACACTGTCTCTTGCTTTTAAACATTCCCCTTGCTGAATCAAGGATTCAACTGTTATCAAGTTATTTAACCCTTTAACCCCTAAGAGTGACTAGCATCTAATTTCTCCCTACAATATCATCACTGAATCACACTTTAATGTCATGAGAATAAAGGAAATGATCACCAACCAAAGAAACTCTTGATTGTTAGACAAATTCTCCTTGTCAGCACCTTACTAAATGTATAGAGAACAGTATGGAGAATATGAATACTGATGTTAAGGTGTAAAGTGTTGATTGTGCATTTTTCCTTCATTTATGGTAGCAGCAATTGCCATGAACATTGAGAATTGTAGTTGAATGCAGCTTACTATACTTAGAAACTTTCTCAGCTCATGTGTCAATCTTTTCTTCCTCAGCTGATGAATATACCATTAACTCAGGGGATAATTCATTAACACGATGTATGTCATCTGTCTTGCTTATGACAAAGAAGTTTGTTATGAGTGTCAGTCAAGTTAGTTTTGAGTATCGTGTAGACAGTCGAAACTGCAGGGGGCCTGGCTACTTAGGGTGCGACGGTTTGGCATTTTTTGTGGATAACAAGGAACTGCTGACATACAGTGGAAACAAATTCAATTGGGTCAACGTTACATACAATTTGACAAAGGTATGCAACTTGGAGATGACTTGAAAGTGGTAGTGAATTTCAGCGGACCTTACCGCCAGTGTCAGATTATTTTCAGGAACACTAAATGTAAAATACATTCTTTTTTAATTTCCAGGGAACTCATACACTTAAATGGGTCTATCGCAAAAGGTGCTTTAGTTTTGGAACATATTCCTACATAGACAAGGCCTTCATCCGATCCATAATGTTGGTAAGTTCTGTTATGATTCAGTGAAAATTGCACTTTTTTAATTCATAACAATTTGTCGCATTTTCACGGTTTGTGAAAAGAGTCAAGAAGAATTAATGTTGTGCAGGATTTTATAGGCTTATTGTGGAGAGGAACATCCATGGGTGGTGCAATATTGCCCAATATTTCTGAATCACAAAATACCAGCATAGTAGTAACCGGTAGATTTCTTTAATGTGGTCATTTTCAGTATTTTTGTTTCAAATTGTTTCAAACCTTTTTAGGTGTTAATCAGTGCATTCAAAATTCCTTTTGCAAGTAGGAATAAATATCCCAATATGCAAATATCAGTTACCTGGCCTGTATAATATATATAAGATTGAAATTGAAAATCTAGATAATAATTTGATGAAATTCTCAGTATGCATTAACCAAACTACTGGGAAAGAAAGAAAAAACAATAAGAAGCATGAATGACAATGAATTAATTTACAATGCAAATTACAAATTTCCTAGTTCCTCATGAATGCTTGATTGACTTGCCCAATGAAATATGCTGCATGTCATTTGATGGGATTTGAAATCTTTTGATTATTTCAATGGCATTTATCATGAGATATCAATAATTAATTTTGTTTTTCAATGCAGGTTGGCAATGAAGAACCAGATGTGAGATGTAAGAAATGTCCACCAGGTTTTTTCAGTACTAAAAAAAATTCTGCAAGTTGTACGTCATGCTCATATTTCCAGTATCAAGATAAGGAAGGTGGGTTTATTTGATTGCATGCACCTGTCACTTAAAACAACTTTTTTTTTTATCGTTGGTACTTTACCACACCACACAGTGTTCTATGAAAATTATGCTCTCTCCAAAACTAAAATTTTTTAACTTAGTTTGCAGTGCACTTTTCTGCTTTTCAGCTGCCTCAGTTGTCTGTTTTCATATATTAAACAGAAGTAACATTAACATCATTCTTATTTAATGCACCAATGTAGTCTGTATAATCAAGGATGAGCGGTTAGAAATTATATATTTTGGGAAGATTTCCAAAGAATATAACCTTAACACTTTTTTTGTCCCAAAAAAGTGATAAGTAATGATAGCACAAGCAGACAAGCACCCAAGTGTTAGTACAATGGTTGTGAATGACTTTTACCTCAGTCTGCCTTAAGTTGTAAAGGTTACCAAAAAAAATCATGGAAAAAGACTACAGGCCCTGGAAAGTGATAAGTAATGATAGCACAAGCAGACAAGCACCCAAGTGTTAGTACAATGGTTGTGAATGACTTTTACCTCAGTCTGCCTTAAGTTGTAAAGGTTACTAGGGTGTGTACAGGTCCTGGAAACCTGGAAAATCATGGAAAAAGACTACAGGCCCTGGAAAGTCCTTGAAATCTGCTTAACTTGAGCAGAATTGATTTTGAAATCTTGGAAATGAAAGGGTTTAAGGTGTAATTTGGAGTCTTGGAAAAATCGAACTACCGGTAAGTCCAGGAAAAGTTCTGGAAAACCTCTTGAAAGTTGTTTCTGAAAAAGCTTATGAAACCTTGAATTACCTCACACTCTGAGCCCTACCTTTTCTTATCACTTATTTCAGGCCAGAGCAGGTGTAAGACTTGTCCAGAAAACACATATGCTATGCCAGGTGCATCACGATGTATTCCTCTACTAAACTGCACTTCTGATGATATCATTGCTGCTCCAGGAGATGTGAATTCATGCTCATGTGAAACATCACCAAATGGTTTTGAGTGTAAAACAACAGTGCAGCCTGAATATATCAAAGTTCATGGTAAGTTACATAAAGTACTTAACCCTTTTGTTCTAAGGAGTGATCAATGAGTTATTTCTCAGACATAGTTTGAAGCTACACTGGTTTGCAGATTTAATGAATGTAACCGAAGAAGTTACAGTTCATAGACCCAACGTTTCGACACTCCTGTCTAGTGCCTTCATCAGGGGTGATCTAAACGCTGCAACAAGAGGTCCTTTTATACGATCACTAATTAGCGGCCTTTTTTCTGACGAGGTGTCATTTCATTAAATCTGCAAACCAGTGTAGCTTCAAACTATGTCTGATTGTCCACCTGGTTGCCGTGTGAACTTTAATATATGAGTTATTTCTCCTTAGTTACAGTATCAGTGCATTGTGTAAGTGGAAAAGTGACAAGGATACCGTTTGATTTAACATGTAATTCTCAGAGCTTACATTGAAAGGAATGGGTAGGAGACAGCAGAGAGAAATGATATCAACCTTAAGAGGGTGTCTCTGTAAGATTGGTCCGGTCGATTTTGCTTGAGACACGGATTTCGCTCATTTCTTGTGTTTTGTAAGACATTCATGTACCTATACTAAAACCACAATCCGTTTGATCGGATCTCTTAACTTTTCAGAGTTTAACGGAAATTAAATTTCACTCGAGCGAAGGCTTGTCGTGACACTTTTCAAGACTTTAATTTGAGGTAACTTTGGAGGAAAATTTACAAAAACATACGGAACTCAGCAAAAAACAAATACCACAGCCATGTATATTAACTCTATCTTATCCATCAAGGCATAGTTAGTAGAGGGGACTCAGTCCCCTCTACTAACTATGATCAAGGTGACTTTCGTGAACATCACGTTTCAATCTAGGAAACAGGAAGACTTGAATGACACCTTATCGGTTCGCTTAAGTTACACACGCGAAAACCGATCAAATTCAAGGTAAATTTTTGAAGGTAAAAGGTAACTACAGAAAAAGCTTTGCGGCCCGACCTTTACAAAAACTTTATAACTCTGTGAACTTACCTAATTTTCGGCAATCTCCAAGTGTGGCCGCCATTTTGAGGGACTTGTCAACATGAAGCATAGAAGATATAAATAAAGCAGGTAGATCTAAAACCGTCAGAAATACATACGAAAGCAATTCAAATGAACTTTACTTTCAATTCAAGCGGCAAAATTTGAAATTGTTCGTTAAACTTACCATTCCTACATCCCCATGCGACCATTTCTTCCAACAATTCAAATACTACAACTAGCGTTCGAATTCCCCTCGTCGATTCCACCGTAAGAAATAACCTGTGCCACCCAAGCCTCGACTCGAATGTGAGGTACGAATCAAATCACATAACTGCTTCATCTTCGAGGCAATGTCACGCTGGTATTTTGGATTTTCGGATCGACAAGTACGGTGATCAGGAAGCGATCGCCATGTTTACCTCATAAACGTGACCGCTGACCAGCCGCTGAGTGAAAACAGTATAGCGCGGGGTAGGGTGGGTGGCGGGCTCATCGCCATAAGATATTCGAATACATGCTTAAAAAGCTTTAGGATTCTCAGTCTAAACAGTGAGGGCATGCTTTCGTTTTCGTTTTTTATTTTATTCTCATAACTTTCTCCTTTAAATTAGAACTGGTATTAATTAATAGAGTTATTAATATATAATCGGGGTATCCATATGACCTTGTTGCTTGTTATCTGTGGTATAAAATAAGGTGTCTTTTCCATCAGAACCTTTTATTTATTGCTATTGCACGAAATGAACACTATACTTAGAATGTTTGTTCGAAGTCATTTCTTCTGTTCCCAAGAATGTATGCAAAATGATAGAGATTTCATTCATTCAGCTGACACGTTCTTTTAAGTTATGGCGCGTGCAGGTTTTTTCTTTCAGGTGATTTGATCTTCTACAAAAACATTATTGATCATCAACCAAGCAACATTGTACATATTTCCATCTGCAATTAAAAGCACCTACACATAGATCTATGTTTTTTCAACGTGATGTGTACTTAAGTAGCCTTAAACTAATAAAGAGTTTCTTCTCTTTTCGAGAAGATATGTTACGAGACAAAAATAGATAACAGAAAATGTTACTGAAGACTACCTGATTCAACTGGAATAATAACTCCAAATAGCTTTTGAATGTCCTGAGACATCTGCAAGGTAATTACATCTCTGCCTTGGATACGCTTCCTGACACCATCATGATCAGGATACTGACATGTTACCTTTGCACTTCACCAAAACTTCCCCAAAGTGTGGCGATGCCTATAGCAAATCCATTTCTTTTTTTTTGTTTATCCTCCTGAGCGAGGTGAAATAGGCCAGTCCTTGCCAAGATTAGCTCATTTTCACTTAAGACCTCTTTAGACAGGTGGCAGCTTATCAAATGATGTTTTACTTCATCATTGCATTCAGACAGTCGTACCAAACCACTTAAGCCACGCGATGAACCAAAGTTTTTTGTATCTTTGCTATTCAAACAGCAGTCCTGAGACATAATGAACGTCTCGCTAACGAATGACTTCTTCCTGTACTTGTATTTGTTTCCAACGCAATACAAGTTCGGGAGATCTAAAGGAACTCACTATAACTTTGTATACTCGATACGATTTCAATTTCCGCGCCAAAGGAGAAGCCTGCTGTAATTTGTGAGTGGTCAGTGGTTACGCTCGTGAGGTAAAGAATAGGTTTGTGACTTTTTCACTCAATTGAAAAGACTCGCGTCACTCTTATGAAATGGTTGAACGGAATACAGACTCCGAGCAGTCTCTGATTTTTCATAAAGATAGTGAGGTCACGCGTATCCTGTGAGCATGGAGAAGTCGCGAGACGAGAGACTCGTGTCTCGCGTCTTTGCCGCTCCATGTTCTAAGAGTTGGGCAAAGACAAGACACGTTACTTCTGATGCGATACAAGAGGTTCAGTGGTTATCTCGATTATCTAGACATATTTATTTACATGGTAAAGATTTGTTTATAAATTTATGAATTGATGCCAGTCCTATTTGGAACGAAATGTTTTTGAAAGAAGAAAGAATACTAAGCAAAACAAAAGTTGTCTGCAACACTAAGATAGATAAGATAGAGTTAATATACATGGCTGTGGTATTTGTTTTTTGCTGCGTTCCGTATTTTTTTGTAAATTGTCCTCCAAAGTTGTCTTAAATTAAAGCCTTGAAAAGTGTCACGACAAGCCTTCGCTCGAGTGAAATTTAATTTCCGTAAAACTCTGAAAAATAAAGAGATCAGATCAAACGGATTGTGGTTTTAGTAAAGGTACATGAATGTCTTACAAAACACAAGAAATGAGCGAAATCCGTGTCTCAAGCAAAATCGACTAACTTATCAGGTAGAAGTTATCTAACTCTAACACCGAATTTTCACAACTAAGTTTCAAAGAAATATGTAGCAGCTAGAGGGGAGAAATAACAGTTAGATCTTGAGAGTGAAAGGGTTGAGGATGGTCCTAACATTAAAAATGAGCTTTAGATAGGTTTAAAATTGAGACCATATCAAATGAGATGACAGTGTTCACTTAGATGAAAATAACTGATTATGTTGTCGTCTTAATCCTTTACTTCCCATAAGTCACCAAGAGGGAACCTCTCCTTACAATATTAATACACTTTCAAGCAGAAAAGTGATGAGAATAAGGATAAATATTATTAGGGTATTATTAAATGATCCAATACCAAATTCTCCAGACCAACATCCTAACAATTGTATTGCAGCCAGTAATTTAAAAGAGATTAACCTGAATGTGATCTTGGGAGCTAAAGGGCTCAGGAGGTTATTATTTATCACAATGCCCCTCTCCAGCTAGGAGGGTGAATGGGGTCTGGAAGACTGTTAGGGAAACCCGCAGTGGAGGCGGTGGCTGTGACCTTGGGTACAGTTGTTTGAAATAATAACCGAGGGTCCAATTTTAATCTGGGTTTCTTTTTCTTTGAATTAATGAATAACTAAATTTACAATTTATTGAGCTTTAATTTCAAGCCTCTAAGGACCTCGCAATATGAAAGAGAGAGAAACTTATGTTTCACGTAAACTTCAAATGCTTGAAAATTCCAACCTGTAGTAGGCAGACAGGTCGGTTTTTTACACAGCACAGTGGAGGAGTTGAACTTAACCAAGCGCAAATCTAGTGAGTAGCCGGGTGGAAGACCGGTGACCACCAGATTGCAAGTTCAGTGCCCCACAACTCAGCTGTGCCACCTTCCAAGTATGGGTTAATGTTGGGTTAGGGGAGAGGCCTCCCTTGCTTTATCCGAAATCCTTTTCCTGGTAACGTTCTCAATTGTTTTGAGAGCATCCAGTAATCAGATTGTTGAGAAAAAGAGTTAAACTGAAGTTTTTATTGAAGCTTTTTGATCTGAAATCATATTTTTCACACCAACTATGGTTTATCTTGACCCAGCTGCGAACAACCCACCCTTGCTTGCTTTGTGCTGTAGAAACCAGATTTAGCTCAAGGGCAAAGAGCTCCGGGATCAAAAGCACCCATAACTCAGAATCTGAGCAGCTGTGCGCATTTCTCTCCCCTAATCCATCATTAACCCCGACTTATTATCAGTTGAACGTTGTATGGTTAGGGAAGGGGTGGGTGCCTAGTTGCTCAGATACTGACATTGATGCATCTTTTTTATTCATTAACTTCCTTGTTGATTTTCAGTTGCAAATGTCAGCGATCCCAGGCGTCTTTGCGATCCAGCAGGGAATCCCAGTCTTAAACCAATTCCGCATTATCAATGTAAATGCGAGGGTGGGTTTGAGATCGTGAATGGAACCGGAGGAAAGCTGCAGTGCAAACCGTGTGAAACTGGGTTCAAGTCACGTGGAGTCAAATGCGAGACCTGTGAGGCCGGTCATGTGGCGTTGCCAGGGAAACATTATAGTGTCTGGAGAAACAACACACTACCTGAGGGGTTCACCGCTAATTGTGTCGGGGATTGCGCTGTGAAGGTTTGTAAGAAAAATTTGGATGTAATAGATTTTTATAGGCGAAATTTGTTTCTGAACCATAATTTTTTTCGCCACTTATAGCATTTTGAGACTCCAGGTAGTGACCTTATCTTTTGAAAATTGTTTTCAAATGCACATAAAAAAATCGCTGCTATTTTGAAAACAGCTCGGAAACCTAAAAGCACCCGCGGCTCTGAAACAGCTGGTGCCCTACTGACCGCTTACCTATTACTGTACAAGCCCACGGCAACATGAAATCTATTTGTTTTTTATGCTAAAAGGCAAACTGTGGTAAGAACAAAAAAAGTGGCACACAAGGCGTAGCCAAGTGTGTCGCTGATATTCTTGCCCATTTTCCATAAGTGACCAAGGTAGAATTTCTCCTTACAATATCAATACAATATCAAGCAGACAAGTAGCGAGAATAAAGAAATTTATCAATTAGGGGATTATTAGTAGATCCAATACCAAATTCTCCAAACTAACAACACAATAACTATATGGCAGACAGTAAGGAGAATCGCCATCTTGTGACGGGGCCTTGTTTCTCATGTTATTTTTTAGCGTGGCTGGATACCTTCTGGTCATGTAATCCGAACAGCACGTGTTGTTGGAAATGTGCGTACTTATCTGCAGTCATCAGAATTTACATTGGACTCCGAGTTAGCGAAAATCGCTTTTAACTGCTCCATCACCTGTAATGTGACTGGTGTTTCACAAAAATCTATGCCAGGGGAACATCTCGCTAACATCCAAGACTGTAACTTAGTATTTCAAGTTTGGAGTAACAACACGATTGTGGACGAACTAAACTGCACGCGTCCTAAGGGAAGATATTTCTACAGGCATGAAAATAAACGTGACGGCAGAGTTATTAGACATGTTTACCCGCTCAAGAAAGGACGCTTTTCCTTCAGGTACACAAAAATGTCAGCTGTATTTGCCACCGTCTATGGTATGTCATCGCACACCAGGCGAAACGCATACCGTCACCGAAATTCCACCTAGCCTTTTTTGTTTTTGTTAGTAGAATCAAATCTCTTTTCAATCCTAGTGGAGTCCAGTATGTCCGTGATCAATATTTGACAAGACTGATTTTAAGTTATTCAAGGAAACTCCTGCAAGATATTATTTCATCAAGTGCCGTCCTGATGTAAAGATTTGCGAACAGATCGTTGATTGCTTTTATATATCTCTCTCTCATTCTCCTAACGGTCTTTCCACAGATGGGTTTTCATCCAACAAGACGAGACACGAATGCTTTCCACTGCTTTTGAAGGAAAGCTCTACAATATTAGTGTACTTGGGGTGCAGAACGGAACAGCCAAGAACTGCACAGCATGCCCAGCGGGGTACCATAGTAACCCAGGCAACACTGATTGCACAATATGTCCAAACGGAACCAGCAGTCCACTTGGAGCAAAAAGTTGTATATCCTGCAAAGAAGGAACCTTTGCTGCTGCGGTAAGCTTTTTATCTTAAAACTAGCGCGTAGTGGCCTGACAGCAGTATAAGAGCGCATGCCCTCCCTGCTTGAGGCGATTCGCATTTTCGTCTCCAGTACCACGCGGTTTTACTCACCGTTTCCGACCATGTGACCAAACGAAACGAGGACCCGGGGAAGCAACTCTAGAATTTTGGTTGTTCCTGACTTTCTACATATATTTATCTCGGGCTTCCGAGCTGGACAACATGTATCCCCCAGGGGTTACGCTATCCAAAGGTTAAATTGCACTATCCTCCGGAGTGATACTTATTCGCTGGATAGCGCAATCCATCCTTAGACCAACTGGGACCGGGCTGTTTACCTCCAGAGAAGATGATAGCAAGAAGCCTTTCGGTAATTATGCTACTTACTAAGTTCATCTGAATATTACTCAAACGCTTAACTTAAATATTTCAACAGGTAACCGTTAAAAAAATGTTTAGAAGATTAGGAGGATGTTAAGATACTTTGTCCAATCGAAAATCTTACCTGTTATACCAATTCTTCACTGAGAGGCAGGGACTGTGTCTTACGGAGTCTTTTTTAAGTGACGATTTGTGTTCTTGGTAAATTGCAGAAGGGAAGTTCGCAGTGTCTTCCGTGCGGTCAAAACACGAAATCGCTTCCAGGTAAAGATGGCTGTGACACGAACAACTGTATGTTCAAGCCTGCGGATGATGTCGTGTATGACCTCAGTAAACTCTCCCGCCCTGGAGGGCCGATGATTGAAGCACTGTTCTATCGCCCAAGTTTACCTTGGAGACCACGACGGTGAGCAATAATCCTCGTAATTTCCCCCTCCCCGCATCCATACCTCTACCTCTCTTCTTGATAAGAAAAATGAATTTTTCCACTCCTGTACAGCTTTCGTGCCATAAATTCCATTTGCTTTCAATTTTGACACTGATGACTCTTTTTTTTCCCAATGCGTGACACGTATCGCAACCAGCTTCACGCCGTGCTTTGTGCCAGTTATATGGCTTCTTGCGCTTGCCTTTTGCTAGAACGGTTGCAAATTCTCACGCAATCACCAATCACATTTTTCTTCAGGTCACACGATTCAACTCCTACCCCAACATGGTTTTAATTTTCATCCTATTCGTCTGGAATATGTGCTCTGGGTTTGCCCTTCTGTACAAATCATTTGCTGAACTAAATTTTATCTTTTATCCTTAGTTTGAGCATTTGGCCTTACCCCAGAGCTATTTACTTCAATCTCTGTACCCTTGATCATGACAACTCTTCGTGTGTTTACCGTAATCGGGTAACCAGAGTGCACACTCCCCGGCCTGTGATGTCGTGCAGGTCGTCGTGGTTTACATATGACACAGATTTAGGCTCCGTGATTGGCTACCGAAAAAAATCCGACGTCAAATCGGGTTTGTTCGTGGACCTGCTGAACGGGGACGAATGTTACCAGAGATGTAAGTTAATTTATATAAGAAATTTTAAAGAAAAGAAACGATTACTAAAAAAACCATAACTTTGATAAAAGAATGTGGAAAGATAAAGGATTTTTGCTAATACATGGTTGGGAAGTTTTCAATGTAGTGAAACCATTTCCTGTTTCTATGTTTTCCTTTCTAGACGGAAACACGCGCTATCAGACCACCCTCGACCTCAGGTGTGACGTAAGAGCGGGTGTCGGTAACCCAGCCCCCGAAAACAATTACACGAGCCCGATGCGCGGTGGCTGTAAATTCTACTTCGTGTGGAAGTCGTTGTACGCATGCCCAAAATGCCGTGACAGTGATGTGAATAGAATTATCGGCGAATGCATCAACGGAATGCGTAATGTGACCTACGTACGCAAAGTGCCTTGCTGGAGGCCTGGGAATGATTCGGGGCTTCCAACGACTAATGCAACAGAAAAATGCGAGACACCGACGTCGACTGTTATAGTAACTGTCAAAGTGAAGGAAAATGGTACAGTGGCGTATCAAGTACTAAAAGAAAACAAAGCCAATATAGCTTTGATTGGTGTAGGAGTCGTCATTATCGTTATCCTGGTGGGTGTGGCAGCATTCTTTGTGTACAAGCATCGAGCGTTGAAGTATCGTTATTACGGCATGTTGGCGAGAAACAAACCCATGAGCCGCCTTGAGGAAGAAGACGAAAGTAATTTTATCCACGACGATGAGCTAGCACAACCCTTCGATGAGATGTCACCAAGTGTGAAGACCTAGACAACTTCGTATATTCATCCCTTTAGCCCACTCCATGACTGAAAGTTTACATTTTTTTGAATGCAGTGTTATTTTGATGCTGAGTCACTTAGACTGGTTTTTCCCTCTTAATTAGTGTGCTCAAGAAACCATATAATTTTCACCTCTGCCTTTAAAATCTCCACCTGGCTACGGGCAAAACTACTCTGGTTATCGCAACAAACCATTTTTTGATTCAAGCAGGTCTTTTTCTGAAACTTCTTATTGTTAAAACATATCGCCAAGAGATGGATCAAAGGGAAAAGAGGCTTAATTACGTCATGGATGAGCGGCCAAGCTGTTAAGCACGATTCAAAATGGCGACGGTCAGTCGTGTAATTTCATCTCAAGTTTTTAATGGCGGATATGAAAATTATATCGTATCTGAAGTATGTTCCTTCATTAATGAAAAAGACAAGCTCAAGATTTATATGGGTGGGTAGTGGTCGAGGGACAAAAGTTTCAATAACTATTCTCATAAGCGGCTGCCAATGAAATAATGTTAAAGGTGGGTTTGCCCGAAAAGGAGCCGTAAGGGGGATCCTGAGGATAAGGAGACGGTGATAAAAGTCTTACAGTCAGCGGTAGACCGCTGGTAACCGGCCTTTATTGAACCTCTGGTGAAAGAAGAAAGAAAAATTGAGAGTTAGCCTTAATTGTTTAATGTGAGCACAACTCTTATAATACCCTTTTGATAATATGGATGAATTTTATGATTGTGATCAAGTACTTGTGAAAAACAAACTGGTTTAACCTTTTCGCTCAAAGTTAGCAGTTATACATGTCAAATTGTACAGTATATATGGCTCCTGCCTGCGAAGTTACAGAGATAAGACCGATATATGATATCGTCGTTCGCACTTGTTGTCATAACAACATCAGCGACACACTATCCCCCGCCTTGAATGTGTCGTTTTTTGTTCTTTCAACAGATGTATCACCATGCTATGTATTTCCAACTAGATTGCAAATTCATCGCTCAATAAAGATGAAAACTTGCTTTTTTTTGCTAGCCAACTTTTACTTGGTTTTTTATCACGCATATATAGGAACAAAGTTCAAGGAATCTAGTAATTAATGTATGATCTTTTATTTTATCGTGTTGTTTTATTTCTTACTCTGTAACACAGTTTAAATTAAGTTTTATCGTGCTTGTTTTGCCTTTTAGACTTTTCAACGTAGTTGGGTTTTTTTAAGTAGACAGAATTTTCTGTTTTGCATTGAAAATAGAGTAAATTTTGTTTTTATTTGAGAGTAAAGAAAAACATCTCATTTAACGTATCCTTGTGAAATGACTCTGATCTTTCGGTGTTTTTTGTGATAGGATTGGATAAATGACTTTAAAAGTTAATCAGTGGAATTCTTTGATATAATTTTAGCTGTAATTTTATGAATTGAAAGTGATGTAGATAGCAAACGTCTTAGTCTGATTTTTTATTCGGTGCAAAATTCTGTTTTCTTTGAGCTCTTTTTGTGATAAGACCAAATACTGTTGCACGTGTTATTAGGTTTAAAACACCGAAAAATGCTGAATTTTATCACCATTAAAGTTAATCAACGACTTGTACATCTTTTAATAGTGAGATCTAATGGCGTGTCAAGTTGGATTCTATGTGTTCAGACCTTTTTTTAAGTTAAGGAAAACTTGTATTAATAAAGTATTAATGTATTAATGATTTAGAATTCCTTTCGCCGACTGTAAGTTATAGTTGTTTATTTGTGTGGAAGAGATTTTCAATCACCGTATTTAGTTCCTCTCGTTAAATGTTTGATTAAACTTGAAGTAGAAATATTTAAAATGGCCTACGTCCACACGAACCTGTTTGCGTTTGTATATGCGTCAATATTTTTCTTTTCTCTGGTAACAGTCCGATTCACTCTCAGAAAGAATTTGTTATGCTCCCTTACGACTGCAATACCATACTTTGTTGACTCTTTAATCCTTATGAGTGACTAGCAGCTAATTTCTCCCTACAAAATCAGCCCTGAATCACACGTGAAGGTCACGAGAATAAAGGAAATGATCGCGAATTGAAGAAACTTGATTGTTAAGAATATTCTCCTTGTTAGCGGCTAAGGAAATATATAGAGAACAGTATGGAGAATATGCATACTGATGAAAGGTTTAAAAGGAGTCAGTTTGTGTTATCGACAGGATTGGGACTTGCTAAACAACCGCCATACTGCAAAAAGAAGACCAGTTGTAAAAAGAACAATTTCGAACAGATACAAATGGAGGGTTAGTTACGCAAGCGTTGGCAAATTTGTTTGTTAATGCGCTCCTCAATGGAAAACATCGATAGAGACAATAATGCTTTTATGAACTTATTCACTCCAGGTATCTACCACTGTTATAGACATAGGCTTTCACTCAACAAAACAAGCACTGTGATTGGTTGATTCTTGGTCACGTACCCCTGAATTAAATTTAAGTGTATCCCGATTGGGATCCAAAGTGCAGTTGTTGCCCGCGCGCTGAGACGAAGTCGAGGGAAACATCAGGACTTGGAAAAAATAAAACTGTTTCCCTCGGGACTATACATTAAGTGTATAGTAACTCCTCCCTCAACTCTCAGTATTACACCATTGAGTATTTCGTGGCAAGGTCAACTAAAAGGAAAACTTCAGTTTGCATTGTTTGGATCAGTTTGCGGAAAACAAAACCTGAAGTTATCACAAATGAATAAAGGGGTAAGTTTCTAAAGAAACTGTGGTGCTGCGTCGGTGGGAGAGTATAGCAGGTAATTTAGTGTTAACAACTGGGTTGAAAACGTAAATTAGCCACCGTAAAGGATAAAAAAACTGACGTTTCGAGCGTTAGCCCTTCGTCAGAGCGATTAGAGGAATTGTGGGTTGTGTGTGGATTTATATGTAGAAAGTGGAGCTACGCCATTGGTGGGAATATGGTGACGAGAAAACAGGAATAAATTAGTGGAATGAAAAACGCTCGTTGATTCCGTGGGGATTAAGGGTGCCGATTTGGAATATAAATTTTTGTTCTAGTGTTTTACGGCTTTCCGAACTGCCTAGATGTAAGGAACGGCTGCAAACTGCCATATGCTGTTTAGAATGATAAGGAAGATTAAAGTGTTGGCTGGCACTATCTTTTCGCAACTCCCACTTATTTCATTCAAACGTGACAAAAACATAGGCAACTTTTTAGTCAGGAGTTCATTTCAAACCAATGACCAATCTGAAACTTTTAAATGCGCTCGCTCACGATACAAAACTTGTCCTTTCATTCATAACGTAGAGAAAATATCGGGACCCAAAAGATCCATTAAGATCATTGATCACTTTACGTGTACCTCCGCAAATGTTATTTACTGCATAACTTGCACTAATTGCAATAAGTTATACATCGGCGAAACAGGTAGACGACTGGGTGACCGATTCCGAGAACACCTTCGCGATGTGGAAAGAAATGACAAGGACGCATCCAAACCAGTCGCTAGACACTTTAATCTTCCTTATCATTCTAAACAGCATATGGCAGTTTGCAGCCTTTCCTTACATCTAGGCAGTTCGGAAAGCCATAAAACACTAGAACAAAAATTTATATTCCAAATCGGCACCCTTAATCCCCACGGAATCAACGAGCGCTTTTCATTCCACTAATTTATTCCTGTTTTCTCGTCACCATATTCCCACCAATGGCGTAGCTCCACTTTCTACATATAAATCCACACACAACCCACAATTCCTCTAATCGCTCTGACGAAGGGCTAACGCTCGAAACATCAGCTTTTTTACCCTTTACGGTGGCTAATTTACGTTTTCAACCCAGTTGTTAACACTAAATTACCACTTGAGGAAAGCTTGCCGGCCAGGGTAAAAATTCCCTTGGAAACTTTCTCAGTGGACTAACTTACACTGCAGTATTAATATAAGTTCATAACGAATTTCCTTAAAAATTCGAGAAGTGGCCTCTGAATGTTTAGACAAAGGAACTTGCCAAATGAAAAACTATGGTATCTTTTCAGTATAGATTTCCAGCAGAAACTTTTCATTGTTTGAAAGAAATTATAGGTGAAAATAACGTCTACTGCCACAGTGGTTGTATTTTCACCGCCAGGAAAGAAAATTAAAGAGGAATATTGTGCAAAAAAATGTTTCTTGAGCCTTGTTTCCGAAAGGGATAGTAAAATGATGACAGGGTGTCTCAATTTTTCTAAGTTTGAGGAATTCGCTGTTTGTTACTTTCTCTACACGATGCACTCAACTGCTTATGGTCTTCATGGTACGTGATCATGCCGTTGGAAAACAAGTTCTTGAGTGTATCGCCTAATATTTGATATGTAATATCCAAAATATAAGATTGTTACTTCTGATACTTTATAACATACGGCCTAACATAAGCTATCGACCAAAAATTAGTAGGATAGCCACCTGTTGCTACAGGTGACTCATAATATCCCCTTGTGTCTGTTGTTTCAAATCCTGACAGTTGATTGGCTGATAAGAATTCTGATAATGACTTGGAGTTTATATTTACACGCCGCGCGAAATGGAGTCATCTCTGTTTTAATATCAGGAATAACGAAAATGAGATACAAAAACAACACCCTTTGAGCAAGACGACTTTTCAGCGCAGAGAAATTATCGCCTGGTTAACGGTAATTTTTCTGTTGGAGCTTTGTGATAGCTGAAGCGAACTTTCGCCCAAAGTGGAGAAAACCATTTGAGTGGATATTTTTCTTGCTTATTCCTTTGAAACTGCATTGGGTTTTGCCTACGATGCCTCGATGTGCCATTGTCAATTAATTCCTATTCAATATCTTCGAAAAAACAATTCTTTATTCAATAGTTTCGGATTTCATTCACACACTGTTTTCAGGGCCTCTAAAGAAGAATTAATCAACAACCGACGTTAAAGTGCAGGAGCTGAACATCGTTCGCTACGCTCTAAGCAGGGAATTTGTTCGCTCACAGAACAGTGCGTTTTGGAAAAGTTCCTTACAAACTTGCCATGACCGGGCGCGGATTCGGCTTGGAGGAGTTCAGCGATGAACAGTTTCTTGTCGGCGGAGTTACACTTCTGTTTACAGGACTGATCGGTTTTTTTGGTAACCTGCTTGTTTTGATTGTCACATACAGAATTCTTCGGCACAAGAGAAACATTCCTAATGTACTAATACTATTTTTAGCCTGGACAGACCTGTTAGTATTTCCTTTAGCGTATCCGCAATCACTGATAAAGTATTTCTTCGGAGTCTACATCGGTGACTATATGGGTTGCGATTTTCAAGCAACAGCTATCACATTTCTCTTCATGTCTTCCATTATTCTGGTTGTTGTAATGAGCGTCGATCGCCTTCTGGCATTAAGTGAACCATTTTACTATGACAGGCATGTGATTTACGACAAGGAGAAAGTGAAGGTGGCTTCTATCGGCGTCGGATGCTCGGTTCTTACTGTAAGTTTACTTCCCGCCTTTGGAGTCAGCAGAAATGTTCTTCACTTTCCTGGCACATTCTGTTTATTTGAATGGAACTCGACCTCATTTGATGGCCGAGCGCTGCTTTACATTTTTATGTCTTCGTTAGCTTTTGCTATGTTTCTGGTCGTTTCGTGTAATTTAACTACAGTTATAATGGCTTTGAGACTCGCGCGTCGAAGACAGGATAGCATAAATAAGCCTCGTTCTGATGAAGAGGCGGCGAACTCAAGGCCTTTAGACCATCACTGCAGCTCTGGAAAAATGGAAATTCAGTTCGCTAAATTAAGTGGTGCTGTCGCCATTACTTTTTTTAGTTGCTGGAGTTTGTTTCTGGTAAGTAAACCCACCTGCCGTGACGTCTGAGTGAGAGATTCCTTTCCGTGCATGAAACTCCTAGACGACTCACTTTGAATTGTATCAGTTCAACGCTACAATTTACACTTCGGCTCGACAACCACACGCACTGCGACGGAACAGCGCGATCGTGGCACGACTAGAAAACAAGTGATGGACCATCCAGTGACGCGTCATCACGACGATCACACGACAACAGTTCGATTTAACTGCAGACCGCGACAACTACTTTGATAACACTGAAATATGACCATAATACGAATGAAATGCGATTACAAATCGACCACGACTCGATTTATTCATTACGACTGTATATAAGACGACTTGACTACGGCTCCACCGCGACACGACGACATTATGGTCACAGCTTACCCTCACTACTGGTAGTATCGGTGATATCGTACCCACCGGTGATATCGTACCCACGGCCGTTTCGTACCCAAAAAGAAGTCGATTCGTTCCTAAGTTTGAGTCGGTTCGTACCCAACTTTGGGTAGGTTCGTAACCAAACCAAACCGCCGGTTAATACCAAACCGCTAATAACCGGAGTCATACATTTATTCGAAATACCTCACGCACGGACGCGTGAACAGATGTCAATGGTTGCGCACGACAAGTTGGCAGAGTCAAGCAAGTAAATTACAAAGAAACTTCTGTTCTGTGTACTGGTGACCTTCTTCACAAATAAAACTTAATTATTGCCTAGTTGAGCGTGATATTTTTAAAAGAAAAGCATATTGTTTTTACCTGGGCCTTTTAACATAACAGTTCGTGTAAGTGCGATACATTTTCTCCAATTGTTTATATGGAAAACATCCTTTGTTGGTTTGGTTACGAAACGCAACGACCGAGCTGGATACGAAACGATTGGGTACGAATCGACCGGTAACCGTACTCCTTATGCGTTAAACCGATCACTGGGTCCTTCCAATTCTTTCTCCTTTTTTTTCTTTTAAATGTCTTCATTTAAGAACTCTTCCTTCTTTTTTTCAGTACTTTTTGCTCGCAAGGACAGATTTTTACATATTTATTTTTGATATTTTCTAGTTAAGGGTGACGCTTATCCAAAATGGCTGGCCATTTGAGGAGTTGATCGACTTCATTGCGGTGCGGCTGGCTTCCCTTCACACAGTTGTCAACCCTTGGCTTTATCCTTTGACTAGGAGGAAATATCGCGATGCATTCTGGTACTTACTGACGTTGTTTGTGTACTATGCCACCTGCACACTACTGGTAACCAGGCCTGGTACCACCTTGGGTAAGTAAGGGGAGAGGGGAAGGGGGACATAACACCACAACACGTAACACAACACTTCTTCCTGGCGCCAACGGAAGAATGATGTGGCAGTGTCACACCAATTGGACATGACAGAGGGTTTACGTTTCAGAGTTCCAGTTTTGTAAGGAAATGTGTACAGTTTTTTATAACTTACTTTGATAAAAAAAGCAATTTTTCCTAGAGGGCCCTTGTTTTGAAACAGTGGTGCCAATTATACAGTGGAGATAGCGTAGGTGTAAGCTTAAATGAAAGGGAAATATTTCTTTAAAAAAAAGACATTACTAGGACAAAGTAAAAAAAAAAGAAGTACACATATCTACATGCAGAGAATCAGCTGAAGAGTAATCGTTTCAGTCTTGATTCAAAATTATAAATTTGATTCCGTTTTTAGGTGTGTCCTTCTACCTTTTACATCCTAACATGAGTATGCAAGTTCTCCATTCTGTTCTCTTTGCATTTCCCATCTTACTTACAAGGAGAATTTGTCTAACAATCGAGAGTTTCTCCATCGAGTTTGCGATCATTTCCTTTATTGTCATGACCTAAATGCATGTTTCAAGGGTGATACTTTAAGGAGATATTAATTCAATACTAGCTACTCTTAGAGGCGCAAGGGATAAGGCATCACGATTTGGCGCCTCCTCGTCTCCGGTTTCCCGCAATACTGATAATTCTTCCCTTACGCTAATTTTTTGGTCGTTGTTCATTCGACGTACTTAGCTGAATAACAGGGACTTCTTTCAACATAAAAAACAATTTGTAATAAAGTTTTCTTTTTACAGATGAAATAGTTGGTATTCAGTCTGAAGCAAGTCAGGTCCGTGAACTCTACCGAGAGGAGCGACGACGATCAAGTGCCCAGCGGCTTGTCAAATAAAACGAGCATATCGAGTTGCATGTCAAACTCGTCACTGGGTCTGATGGGTGTTTAAATCAGGATTGGTGTATGCTAAATGGGCAGAACACGGTATGGCAAATCTTAATTCCTGCAGTCTCCATTCCTGTTACAACTCTGCCCAGAGTAGCGACGACAATCAAATGCTCAGCTCAGCGGCTGGTCAAAAAGCAGGATGTTTTTCGGGTTAAAAACAGCGATAAAGAAAGTTTACTCGAGGTCACTCAAGTGCGTAGTTCACATAATTATTTTCTGAGCAACTGTCTAACATAACAATAAACTATCAGTCATTGAGTTCCATCTGAAATCGGATCGATTTCTGGTTTTTGAACCCAACAATCAAGGAAATTTCTTTTCAGATGATTTACAAGCATATCGAATATTAGATGTTTCGCACATGTGCATGGAGACTGCGCCTTCTGAAGGTGGTAGCGTTAGGGCGATTGTGATAAATAGCCTGGGGTAGATAGCCTGAAAATTTCATTTAATTACTGAACGCTTTTCGCATCTCTTCTAAGACAACAGAAAGGGAAACAAAAAAGAACAAAAAGAGAAGACAAGGGAAACTACGATCATTATTTTCTGAGAATACGCTGCATTCTATCTTGTCAACTTTCCAAGAATATGGACAAAATTGAAAAAGGTTGTGAACACAGAGGAAAAACAGAAGTGTACATTAAAAAGAAATTCAAGTAGAAAAAATCGCTAGTCTTTAGTAGATTGTTTTAAATACCTGTAAATCAAAATATAATTAAACTAAATATTTAGGTTAAAAGCCTGCGGGGCCTCGGCAAGGGAGGGGGAGGGGCTGATTGGTGGGGTGGAGATCACTTACAGAACAGGTAGATGCCACCAAACAAGGTATGGGTTTCGAGGTCTTGAGTTACCCTAAGCGACCTAACCCTCACCATATTTTACTTGTGAGCCTTTTCAACGGGGTGTGTTATGGACCGAATCCGGAAGCATTTAATGAGGCGAGATTTGTTAGAGCAAACTTTAAATATTGTTCCCTTTAGGGGAGGTGAGGGTAAAGGTTTGCACAGTCTCAGGAATATGATTAGTTCCTTCTTGACATCATGGCCAATATACGCCCCCTCCTTCTTCTCTCTAATCCACACCCTCGCTTCCTTTAAGTACAACAATATGTGACAAATTTGTTGACACATTGATCTTTTCAACCCCCTATTAACTCAATTTTATCTCTTTTGCCCTTTGACCACGCATGTTAAAAGTAGCACCTTGTACGGTCGCACGGTCGTACGGTCGTACATCCAAATTTTTTCGGCTTGATGGGTTACTACTATTTTGTATGATTATGGGGCTACGTTCTGCGAGCTCCGCTACTATGTCTAATAATGTTACACCACACAGCATAACGAACATGGTAAGGATGTTGTAAAGCTCAAATCGCAAAAAGGAAGATTCAGACTCAGAATCAAAATTAGACGTTCTTATTAGGAAAAGTGAGTGTAATCGAAAGAGTAAATTCAATATTTAAGGATAAAATGTAGAAAAGACAAAAAATAGCCTTTGATCTCAAAAGGAAATGAACTTTATTGACAATTGTGAATAGTTCATGACTAAAATTTTTCTCATTCTTTTCAAGTTTCTCTTCATAGACGTGATAATTTAAACTTAATTCAGTGACATGTTCTCCATAAGCTTTTTCACCTTATAGTCTATTATTTTAATGATCACATTTATTCTGTGACAAGATTTAATTAATTATATATAAATGAATAAGTGGCTATGAGAACCGTTCACTTTAGAATTGATTTAAATTGGGCCAGTATTCCGTACACCCATCGATTAAGTCTTGCAAAATAATGTTGTTAATAGAATGGTACAACTTGACAAAAGTTGAATAAAAAATGGTTAATTTTCTATTTTTTTGGGAGTTTCTCTTCATAGTCACAAGAATTTAAAGGCAATCATGAGTAATATGTTCTCCATTATTTTTTTTTCCAAGTTTTAATGATCTCAGTCATGTTGGAACAAGACTGAATCAATCACAAATAAATGAATACCTGGTTATGATAACAGTGGACTTGGAATTTATTTAAATTTGGACAGTATTCCATGCATTCCATCAATTTAGCCTTGCAAAATGACCTTATTAAAAGTCTAGTGCAACTTGCTCAATGTTGAATAAAAAAAAAGGTAGTTTACATTTTTTCTATAAAAGACATCAATAATAAAAGTAACAATTTCTGTTCATAAACTGTCCATAGTTTGACAAGCCTTCTATCCTTCTTGAGGAGCCCATTCTGAGTAAATGTCTACTATCTTGAGATGACAGCACTTTAGTGAACCAATATTTCTTCCACACAAAACCACATTGATCAAATTCTATTTCACTGTGTAATATACCATGCTATATAAATATATTTTGCAAGTAAAAATTAACTTACTTGAACTTCCATATACTAACTAATTAAATATATCTAGTTATCTGAAATGATTTCAATTATCAATTAATGTGTATTTTGCAATCAAGTTGGTGAACAACATTCCAAACCTTGAATGTTAGATGAACTTAAAAGCAATCCAATCAAATTGAACAACACATTTTTAAATAGTGCTCTTTCAATAATAATAATAATAATAATAATAACTAAACCCCAATGCAGAGTATAAATGAAGTGTAATAGTAAAACTATGTCAAAAAGGTAATTTTCTAATACTATCCATACCTCTTACAAACTAGTTCTGAGTCTGTCTTGTAAATTATGAGCTAAGTTTTTATTCCACTCAAATTAATAGCCCAAGCACACAGCATGGGCAATAAATCAGAGCGCAAAAAAAGAGGTTCTGTAAGTTACAGTATGAACTAAGAAAACAAATTTAGTGAGATATGAATTATATCTTGGGATTCAAATAGAGGGGGGGGGGGGAGATTTCAATTCAAACCAAGTTCTGAATTGTGGGGACTGCACAGTGAAATATTGCAGGCTAACTGATCAAAAATAGTGCACCTACTAACTGGTAGATACAATAAATTTATTATTTGCCTACTCAAAGATCAAAGTCTGATATTCCCAAATCATAGATATGTCCATATTGCCGCATTCTGCAATGATTTTTGACACAAAAAGAGACAATGCCATAACTCATCAGCAGAAAAACAACAAATGAAATTACAGAAAGTACAATAAGTGCCGTGACATCCTGTTTAACTTCTTGTGGAGCTATTTTCAGGAGCTGCTTAACTGCTAATAAGGAGCCATTGTTTGATGAAGGCTCAATTCCAAGTATGTGGCACATTAGGGGATAAATGTGAACATTTTCAAAGGGTTCAGAGATAAAGTTTGATTTGAATGCAGGTCCTTGAGCAAGGAAAAAAGGATGCATGTCTGAATACTTGTTACTGTAACCATGGTTTCCATGAGTATTTATTTCTGATATGGACCTGGTAATTATCCACTGATCATCCGCAACAATTAAAATTGGCATGACCCGTCTGTTGTGTTTGTAATGGAACTCTTCCGGAATTTCTTTCTTGAGGTAAACATTAAGATGTGGAATAACTTTGAGCTTTTTGTACGTCTTGTCTAACATGCCATCCTTGGGTAAAACATGGAAATAAACATCCTTTGGTCGGTCTGATTTTCCAGGCCAGGCCACAAGAGTGTACCAGTCAGATGGTAAAAACTTGTCTAATTCAATGATGCGAGAACTGTTCAGTTCGGCCATTCCATGATCACTGGTGATAATCAAGTTGACCTTAAGGAGAAAGTATTTATTCATCTTAGTGTGTTAACTATTTAACTATTCAAAGCTTAACAATGGTTAGCATCTTATTTCTCCTAAAAAGAAATACTGCTGAGTCATTCATTCAGATCATGAGGATAAAGGAAATGATCACCACCCTAAGAAGCTTTGATTGTTAAACAAATTCTCCTTGTCAGTATCATAGGAAATGTAGAGATAATTATGGAGAATATGGGTACTAATATTCAGGTTTAAAGGGTCAAGCAATTATATCACTCATTGTTGATAATGTAACTTCTTAAAATGTCAATAAGTTATCTAGCAATTTTTTGAAGAGAATACATGACCAAATTCTCTTCACTAATTTGATAGAAAATGTGGCAACAAGACAGGATGTAGTGATCAGATCCTGGGAATAAGTGATGGCAATGGAACTGAGTGGACACAATTCAAGGTGTTAACCAGCAACTAATTTGAAATTGGCCAATATAGTTGGCTATAACCAATCTGGTATCCAGTAGGTTTGAATGAAATAATTGTTTTATTAAATTTCATTAAATACTAATCATATGGATATTTGGAGCCTTTTTTTCTGTGCGACAATATGCATTTCCATGTAAGGTGACTTGAAATAGGTGCTGATAACCAGATTTGAATAAGTGAATCAGAACACTAGAAATGTCATATTCAGAGTTGAAAATTTAATAACTGTGCATGCTTGTCATTGGCTGTTTAACTATCGGATTTCACCATTTCCAGGGTTCTTGTAATCACACAGGTAAAAACAGACAGTTTGGCTGCAGGAGCAATTGCTAAATTAAGGGCCTGTTTACATGGAGATGGGGGACCCCAGGTAGGTGAGGTAAACCACCTAGCTGTGGTCAAAAAATAAAACGCATTTACATACAATCTTACAACCCTGGGGTGCTGGAGTGAGGTTTCTTGAGGTTGTTGTTGCGCTTGCAATTAAGGAGTTCGAGCAGAGGCATCCTGAGCTCACATCTTGAGAAAGATGAAAGATTAATTCTCTGACACATATTTATTTATTCATGAAAGTGTCACGCATTGTGTTACTGGAGTTAGGTTATGCGAGGAAACGTTGACTTAATATGTTATACTGAATAGTCTGGGAAACAAAATATGGTCATTTTACAATGCTAAATATTCCAAAATGTGAACATTTAACAGTCCTTGTGTGTCCATTGTGGTTTCTGGTGATTTCTGCCATGAGACAGCTAGGAAATGTACAAAGTTTTAAAACATACATGTTTTTGCTTTTGAGCTTTTTGCCATGAACACAACCCCAGCTAGGCAGGGGTTGTAAACGTGATCAAGATGAAATAAGAAATTATATGGACAGGGGGGTTACACCACCTAGGCAGGTTACCTCACCTACCTGGGGTCCCCCACCTCCACGTAAACAGGCCCTGAGGCAATTTAAGGGCACAGTAGACCTTCAAGTCCCAATTTTCTTTTAATTTTTTTTTTAATTCAAGTGCCAATTTTCTTTTCTTTTTTTTTTTTTTTAATTCAAACTAAGCATTACTATTTAAAACACAATCTGCAAAAATAATTTGGGAAAGATTTCGGCATAGAAAAGCCATCCGTTGTTTTTGCAATTGTTCTCTTTATCCCAGAATTGTATATTTAATGAATATGTATGACTACAAGTTAAATTATTGAAACGCGCGCGAGTTATTTACAAAAATGTCTTTTCGAACTGAATTTTTAGCCCACCACAGTGTCAATAGTCAATTACAACATGATGAAATAAATGACTATCGAGATTTTCGCAGGAGACTACAGTTATATGATCTTGTTTATCAAAGAAATCAGTAAAATCAAAACAGTCGCTTGAGTTATCGACTTGATGCTTGAACCGAACGTTTAAACCAAAAATTTCAGTGCCGTGATGTATTCGCGATAATTTCTCAAAACAAATATTAGTAAGCCCAACAGCAGCACTACGTAATATGGGTAAACAAGGAAGTTCATTAGTACAATGCACGCGAAACCTTACCTGATCCAACAAACCTCGATTTTGCAAACTTTTCAATAGATATCCAGTAACGTTGTCTACCCTGCGTATAACTTTATGGAGCTCTGGCGAATTTGGGCCAACTTGATGGCCAGTATGGTCTGGCTCGTTAAAATAAGCAGCGAGAAAACTAGGAGGGTCATTTCCTTCTAGTTGATCGAGCAGGTACTGCACTCTTTTCTTGAAAGGAAGTTTGTTGTTGTACTTTAAAAAATGTGTAGGCGTTTGCCCTTTTACTTCCGAACCTGGCCAGAAAACAACGGCGCTTTTTTTAAAGGCCTTCTGATTCGTTATCCAAACAGGTTCGCCATTCCACCATTTGATATCCAAGAAAGAAGGCGAACCAATATGAAAGGTTTCGTTGAAAACAGGATCGTACATGTTATTCCCGAGGATTCCATGGCTCTCTTCGTACAACCCTGTCACAATCGTATAATGATTAGGAAATGTCTTTGTGACAAAAGTATTAATAATGTGTTTAGCCTTTACTCCATTTCGTACGATGGAATCGAAATTCGGAGTTGGAACTTTGTCAAGGTAGTCCCAACGGAATCCGTCGAAAGAAATCAGAATTACGGTCGGTTGCGTGAGCGTTATCTTCTTGTTCACTGAGGCAAATGCTTCTTGACTAGGTAGAAATAAAAATAAAATAAAAACGTGAAAACGTCCAAATTTCATGACATCGAAAAAGGCAGAATGACCGAGTTGTTACATTCCCAGTTCCAATAAGTTGTTTCCGGAGATGGCAGCTGTTGGCTTCGGCTCGCTAAGGAGTCTGGTAGTTTATCCCGAGCTACCGCTGACCCCATGCACCTCAATTAGTAAGGCCTTATGTTTGCTCTGGTATGTTGGTACTTAGTGGGTCAGGTGGGTTTCCCGGTAAAAAGTTGATACCTGGCTAGGAATAGACAGCCCAAACGGTCTCGGTTGCTCGAGTTTGTTTCCTTTGAGAAGAGAGCCCGGCATAGATAACCGACCCACAAGTTGAATTGAGCAACTGTGCGAAAGCGCGCGAATTGTGTTTGTCTTAATCAAACGAAATTAGATGCTCGAGATGGGCTGGCTAAAACAGAGGACTAGGAAAAAATCCCACTTTTCATAATTTTCACAGCAATGTAAATTTCTCAGAATCATCTCTTTGAAGAACCTTTATAGACACTATTATGGCAATGTTAAAGATAATATGCAACAAAACAACTTGCACAGCAATAGAAAATACTTTCGTCTCCTTTGCGGTCCTTCCTTGAGTTGTCATTCAAGAACCTCCTTCAATAGAAGCGTTGATTGTGAGCGTTGCGTGATATGACAAAGGACCAATTCACGGGAGACTGAGCCAAGTGGAGCCTATAATATATTTTTCAAGTACAGCTGGTTTCACAAAGGATAGATTTATTACAAACCAAGAGAGGATCCTTCTTGGTGTACATAAATTCCTGAATTTCACAAGTTGCGTACGGCAAGACACTTGTTTCGCATAAAAATATTTTACCTGAGGTTACAGATTCTTAATTCTCGCCAAGGTGTTAATTAAATAATGATACGATTTGAAATTAACTTAGATTCATACTTACGTAATCTATGCAAAAATAGGGTCAAACTTTGTCTAAAAAAATTTTGATGAGCCAAACTCGTTCCCAAGTTCCCTCCTGTCGTTTCAAAGAGGAGCACTTTGGAAACGAGTTACATATAAATAATTTATGTAAAATTCTTAAGATATTGAAAATTTTTGTAATTTTGTGTTAATAAATTTGACATGTAAAAAGCCACTAACATTACAATTATCATTATCCCAAGTTTCTGTCACTAACTCAAGAATTATTAAATTTGTGAATAGCTAAGAAGCATATCAACAATTTACTTCAAATGCAAATGAATACTGATTTTCGGGGGATAATTGGACTATCACTATGCACATGCTCAATGTTCCGTCTAACTCGCCCCTAGTCGTCCCCAAAATGCCTTTCGGCACTTGGGTGAGACAAAAAGGGTGACAAGAAATGGGAAGAAACTTCTTCCTCTTTCGTTTTCTCCCTATCAATCACACTTCGTGCTCTTATCCTGCCCGTGTAGCCTTCTTTGAGAAGGACTGGGGATGAGTCAGATGTCGGAAATAGGAGCAGGGAAGGGGGCCTAGGAGGAGGGAATGTTCCCTTTCAAAGCTCTTTAGGTCTCTAAGTCATCCCCTCTGTTGTGGTCTCTTCTCCATGAACAGAAGCGTTTCTCAAGCTCTCTGTTTGCTCTGCATCCAATCTCCTGGAGATGAAAAGCATAAAAACATTAAAATTATATTTAACTTTGCACTGTCTCTCGATCCTTGTCCAAGGCAAAGACTAACAAAGTGCCTTTGTCCTCTCCTTCACCTTGGTGCCAGTGAAAGTTCTAGATCTTCCCCTATCCACAACTCCTCATTCCACTTCAACGAATGATTGTTCAGATAACGTCAGAAAACAGCGCGTTTATGAGTTAATGAGTATTCTCAAACTAATAATCATTCCCACCCCCACCTCAAGGAAAAAAATCCCGCCAAGAAACTCTCACGCTTGCTTTCTTAACACATGCAGATTTTCTTTAGAAACCGATTTTAGCAGGACGAGTGCAAAAATGAGTGAAGATTCAACAGAAAAAGATATTAATAAAAGCCTTTGACATTGACCACTTAAATAGGATGCCCTCGTTATGGCATTTCAAACTGAACCCAAATAGCGGTAGCAAGAGCCAAGAAAAGAACTCTCAACTTTTTTATCAGGATCTGTATACTTCCCGCCCCCTGGAACCAGAGAGAGGCGAGCAGAGACATGGAAACGAACTTACTTAGGTCCCTCCTGATTTGGGGCTGTTTGCGACCCACCACTAATTGAGTTAGCTGGTAATCTATTTATTATTCAACACACCCAATAACAAGCTGCCTCTGGCTATTGGCGAGTTTCTTCACTCCAATCCAGATTGGGTCCCAATCTCCGTAATGGGTTAAAAAGCTCACAGCGAAAAATGACAAAAAAACCGGTATAGTGCCCAAAAAGAACATCCATGAGAAATGGACCTGCAAAATCGAATGAAATCAATATTTCAACCATGGACGCGGGAGAAGTTCGCAAAATGATTTTTACCACAGATAGTAAACTGCTACTGAAGAAGATACGTATGAAAATTCAGCTCAGCGGTCACACGTTAGGCATGCGCAAGGGATCAATTCTGACAGCCTGCGCACCAATTTCCCGCGCAAAATTTGTAAGAAAAACATAACAGCTGCTCTCTCGCAAAATAAGCGTAAGAAAATTAAAAACGTTGATTAAAATCTGTAAAAGGAAACAAAATTAGGGAAAAGGAAAACTGAAGAGTTCTGGATCAAAAAGCTTATACGATTACAGTTATCCTGTTGAATCAACATCCTGTTTTGAGCTTTAACAGAAAAGCTATACTCTTGTTAGTGGCTCGTGTGGTTGTTTGTAACTCGTGCGAGACTATTTGGTTCTGACAGCCTGCAAGCATGTCACCTGGTCATTACAACGTTCGCACATGCGCAGATGTCAGACCACTGAGTTAAAATTCAAATTCACTTACTCTCTTCATGAACACGTCAACGATCATGGTCAGTGGTAAGATCAAAACCAAAGAAAGTGTAGCTGTTAATGATGACGTCAAGTAACAGCCCCTAAAATATAGATTACAAAATGCACTTGTCAGATCGCTAAATATAATGAAATTTAAGTGTTTGTTTCACTTGATCTCAAGTTCCTCTCCTTCAAAGAAAATGGAAAATCAAGGTATGGTTCGAAAGGAGAAGCGCTGAAGTATAAGGTACAAATCAAAATAACTACACAACCACAAAGAAACATGACAAACTCATGATACGGAATGGCACTGTGTGACATGCTAAGAGATACACATGACTCATATAACATCAAATTTAATGACATGACATGACGTAACAGGTTATGACATCTTACCCAAAATGACACAAGACAGGATGTCACTTGAAATGGGGCGACATGACTTTAAGTAGTGTTATATGACTTTACATGAGATTACAGGAGACAAATAAAAATGATCCAAAGGAATGTGACTTAAATGACATGATATGAAACCTGAAATGGCATGAGGTAAGACAGTCCATGACGTTACATGTCTTGACATCTAACTTGAAATGACACAAGACACAATGTGATTCAAAATGAGGTGACATGATGTAATGACATGTTACATGACTTGACATGACATGAAATATGAGAAAATGGTATGATGGGATACAACTTCAGTCACATGAGATTAGACCAGACATAGTGTGAGATAAGAAAGTCAACATTGTGACATGTCATCATATCTTACTTGAAATGACACAAGATGCCATGTGACTTGAAATGAGGTGACATGTCATAAGTATAGGAAATCGTATGAACCTGCTCGTGCATTTCGTGATTTATGGGCACGAGTGATGTTTTGAAAGTTCTCAAAATTGCACGAGCCACAGGCGAGTGCAATTTGAGAACTTTCAAAACATCACGAAATGCACGAGCAGGTTCATACGATTTTTTATTTATTATATTCTCGATTTTTTTATAATTTGGTGTTCAAATTTGGTGCTTCCCGGTGTTTCCATGGCAACTTCTCCGTATTGCACTCTATAACCTCTATTGCACTCTATAACCTATTTATGCATTCATCATTGACCAATCAGAAACGCGATATTTTGTTGAGTATATAATAATGTTATGTAACACAACTTAACACGAGATGAAGTGAAACATGAGAAAATGATACCATGGTATATGACTTTGGTGACATGTGAGGAGTTTAGACTTGACATGACATAAGACAGTCAATACTGTGACTTGTAATGACATCTTAAAATAACACAAGACATGACATGACTTGAGATTGTGTGACATGATGCAATTTTGTGTTATGTGACTCAATGTGAGAGGACATGAAACATAAGAAAATTATATGAAAGTAAATGGCTTTGGTGATGTGACATAAGACCTGACAGGGCATGAGATAAAACAGTCAATGAAAAAGAGAACATTTACCAAAGCCACAAGGCTTCTGACAGAACTGTTCCAATGAGGGCATTCAAAGTAATATAGCCCCAAACAGTTGGCTCTGGAGGAAGCATAAATTGCTCAACTTTCCAATAGTTGAGAATGAAAAATCCAGGCCACAGAAGAATGAAATTAAACAATCCAACGAGACCTGAAAGAGAGTAGTACAGTTGGCTTGTCAAAGCAATTTTTAATCAAGCGTTGAACGTACTCTGTGATTGCATTGGTTTTACTTTACTTTACCTTGTGATTGCTCCAGAATAATTAGGCTACTCAATCAACCAATCAGATGTAACACTAACATTAATCATGACATGGTTGCTCATGTTTTCCTTTATGTTAAGCAGTTAATCATTTTCAGTCTGAATTGTCTTTGGCTCTTAATGGTATTTTCCTTTTCTCTAATTGGCTGTTGTGATAATTTTGATTTTAGTTTTAAAACTTTTGATCAAAAAGCTTTCTATCCAAACTAACACATATTTACAGAAAAACTATGACAGCATTTTACTTAAAACAAACCTATAAAAAATTCCTCTCTTACCAAAGAACATGGGAATGTCCATCTGCTTCTGATTGGGAACCTTATGTTTTATCATTGTTAAATAACAAGCATACCTGAAAAGAAGAAAAAAATAACTGACTGTGTAACAAAGAAATTAGAGAGATAAGTTCAAGCAACTGATGCTAAGGACAGTTGAGACTTTTTAGATTTCATTAGATTTAGTCTCTTTATCTATTTTTCTGTCCATGTGCTGAACCCACAGATCTTCCAGCATGTTTGAATGTCTTACTGTTGGCCTATCTGTATGTCACTCATCCTTTTATGCTGGCCAGCCTGTTTACATTCTGCATGATTGTTTATGTGTGTGTATTTTTTTTAAAATTGGTCTGCCTGTTACAATTCTGCATGATTGCCGTGCATTTGTGCATATTTTTATGTTGGTCTGCCTGTTACAATTCTGCATGATTTTATCTGTGTTTATTTTCAAAATGGGCTGCCTAATGACAATCTGCATGATTACCTAGGTATGTGCATATTTTCATGTTGGTTTTCCTGTTAATAATCTGGGTGTGCGATTATCTGTGCATTAGCCTTTAGGCAGTATCTTATCGGCACTGCTTCATCATGAGCATCTTGCTGTCTGATACCTGCCAGAATCCTATTTTAATAGAAGCTATTTGTATGTTTATGTACTAAATCTCAGCCACACTTACAAGAATGCACTGGCCAAGGCCCATAATGCTCCAACATCTGACAGCATCTTGCTGTCTGATACCTGCCAGAACAATCATGGACCTCTTACCAGCAAGCACAGTCAGGGCCACTATGATTATAGTGGAATTTGCAGGAAGTATGATAGAAGCTATTTGTATGTTTGTATACTAAATCTCAGCCACACTTACAAGAATGCACTGGCCAAGGCCCATAATGCTCCAACACTGATTCCATCCCCTTTTTTTCTAGAGTCTGCTAGTGTAACCAGCACAATACCAGTAACACTAGAACCAAAAAAAATTAGAGCTCTGTTATTATGACTTTCCGTTACTTACTATAGATGATACTTACTTATCAAACACGCAATGGAAAATAATTCTCTTAATTAGGGACAACATCAAGAAAGATCAAAAATTTTTGAAAGATCAAAATTCAAACTTACCTCATTAGAACAGCAACAAGCTTTGTTACTGAAAATTTGTCAGAAGTTGAACTCTGGAATATAGATGCTAAAATGAGTGTAAAGAGTCCTGTCATAAAGAGAAAAAATAGCAAGTACTGACTTTGTTCAGCAGTGACTAAGCATGGGTATGATAAGTGTTATGTTTCCAGCAGAAACAATAAAAGGTCTTTTTCTTCTCTATCACTTGCACTATATACCTTTGTTACAAATCAAACTGATGGTTATTTGGCATGGGGTTTCCTGATAATGAAAATGGTTTTGAATTTCTTTTTACAGTCCTTACTACAACCTTAAGACTTATGGAAAAGGTAAATGTACTTGCCTGAGTTTCTTTAGTTAATTACTCTCTAAAATGGCAGCAAAACCCATAGTAATTTGAAGATAGAGTTATAAAATTCCCATTTTCTCAGCTTCTTTTGAATTAGCCAAAACAATGAGCAAGACTGAAAAATGGAGTTAAAATTTAGGGTGGTTCCTTTTTCTTATCACCCTTTGTGATTAAAGGCCTGAGTTAAAATGATTTATAACTGGGAAAGTAAGACTGCACAAACTTAAAGGTTTCTTTTACCTGATGAAGAGGACAAAATATTGACAGCAGCTGGTGATGTGTTGGAAATGGCCACTTGGTAACTGCAGTTAGCACTGAACCACTGGATGGAAAAATTTACTTCAAATTAATTAGCAAAAATAGTATGCAATCAATGGTATGAAGTCTTAATTAAGCACTCAAGAGTTTCATTATGAGCTAAGCATGAAGCATATTGATTGACTGTAAAAATGACTTTTGCCAGCTGCTCTTTAAATTTCAACCAAAAGAATAACACAAAAGTGACCATCTTCTCTGAAATAAGATATATTTGACCTTATAGCTGTTAGTAGTTTTTTTTTTTAACAAGTTGAAGGATTGTGTACTTTCCTTGGAAAAGATGATTCAACTGTTGATTGATGCATCATATCATTACTCAATTATTTAAAGAAATCATCTCATTTTGGTAACAAAAGCATGAAGGTTTCTGCTCCAAAAAAAACCCATAAGAATCTCTATTTACTGAAATATTTCAAAATTTTCTGGGGTAGCACAGCTCAGGATTATGGTACCTAAAGGGGGGGGAGGTGAGGGGAGCAAGGCTCTTCGAGCAATATATGAAGTATGGTCAAATGCCACATCCAAAATATCCACCCCTGCTCTGACTTCTGACTCAATATTAAGATTAAAATTTATTGGTCATGGGTGTAAGACAGAGCAAAAATCCCCTACAAGGAATCAAGCCCAAGTCATTTAGATTCCCTGTCTCAATGCTTCAGCACTGAATTACAGATAACTCAGTCAGTCTATGGTGAGCTACTGGCTATCACCACATTCATTTGAAAGGAAAGGAAAAGAAAGGGCAGTTTCTTTGTCAACCTCCAATTTGAAATCATCTTGCACTTATGAAAAAGTTTTTTTTTTACTAACCAAAAAGCAAAAGATTAAAGCCACTTTAGCCACTTTCCTAAGAGGAAACTTATGGCTTGGTAATTGTGAAGCCTGATATGGCCGTCGTGCACTCCAGGCCTGTTCCCCAACATGGTCTACAGGGTACAAAAAAAAAACTATTGTTAATTGTAAGAAGAACAACATGGTTGTGACGTTTTTGTGTTGCTCTGTACATCACTTTTACAACATCAGTTTCTCAGAGGCACTCTGAAATAATAATAATAATAATAATAATAAATTAGATAAAATTAAATAGCAAGTTATTCACCTTATATCCTATATTTCCAATACCGAGTAATTTATAAAAAAATATCTCCCACTATTATTAATAATGTTTAAACCTTTGGAGTGACTAGCATCTAATTTTTCCTTAGAGCAATACTGCTCAATCATTCATTAAGATCACGAGGATAAAGCAAACGATTGCTGACCTAAGAAGCTTTGATTGTTAAACAAATCCTCCTTTCCAGCACCTCAGGAAATGTTGGTTGAACAGCATGAAGAATATGGAGACTGACATTGCAGTGTAAAACATTAAACACTTGTACCATTTACCTGCTAACCGACGCACCTCTCTCACACTGTTGAAGGTTACTTTTCTAGGCTCTGAATATAAAAATAAATTTATGCCGCAGAGTGAAGAAAACTTCAGTCATTGAATGTAATTCATGCACCAATTAATCCCCCCCCTCCCCTGCCCAAGAGACCCATAGGCATTTGGCATTGACCATTGCAATGCCTGGGGGTGGGGAATTTGAACCTTGCCTGGCTTGGGTGAGGAATTTTAACAAGTGTCAAGTCTTTCAAGCAGAATACAAGTGTTATATCTTGAAATATGGAGGTGTTTCAGGAAAATATTGGTAGTTCACTTTAGTGAGCAAATGGCTCAGAGGAAAGGTCTACAAGGTCTAGGTTAAAACTTGGTTAGTGTGGGGAAACAGTCAATCATTTTGCCTTTTACTTAAAGCTCTTTGAACAAATAAAACAGCCATTGGGTATGTTTGGCAAAACTCCCAGCACAATGTATGTTCCATTTAAGGGGAATAACCTCATCTGGGGTAAAAAATAATAGATATTGTTATATAATTATGTGAATTTAGTTTAACCTCTTCTAAGGGAAAGATATCTTGTCATGTTTTATGTTCAAATTCTCCAAATGAACACTAAAAGAAATAACATAAAGTTAGGAACTCCAGGAGAACAAATTTGCTAACAGATAAAAGACACATCTAATCTTACTGATGTCAAATTGAGCATCACCTACTTGAAATTATTTCATATGAATTACTAGAAACCATATCAACTCCGCTGGTGCGCTCATCATCTGTCATTTGCTCAAAAGTTGGCTCGTTCTGTACATTGAAAATAAAAGCAATCATTGAAAAATTCTTGTCTTGAAGAAATTTGTTGATACTACTGACAGTAACTAGTATTACTAATAATAGAAGTAACTGCAACAACAGTTGACTAAATGCTTTTCAACTAGCCATGAGATAACAGCTTGGAGACTTGATTTGGTAGTTCTAAACAACCACAAGTAGACATGCAAAGTAATTGACATTGCAGTATGTAGTGACATAGGAGTTAGGGTCCTTCTTTTTGTGGTTGAAGTGCGTTACATGACAATAATGATAATGAAATGGGTTTGGGAGGAGGAAAAGGTTAAGTGAAAGCTAGAATTTTATGAAAGGAATAACACCTTCAGTTGAAGGTGATTTAGGTAAGTGAACTAAGGAAACTTGTTATTTCAAGACATTTACAGAATATACCTGAGAACCTTGGCCAGAAAATTGTTAGCTGGTGCTGTGAATGAATGTAATGGGTAGTGATGATGATGATGATGATATTGACAATAAGAACGAGAACAAATACCAACAATTGTTGTGACTGAACATTGACAATTTGTTCAGTTTTTACACTTTTTATCTTCTTTGTACGCATTGCGTGCCATCACTTTGGTGAGATTAAGGTTATATGATTTATGCAACCTCCTGGTTGAGAAATGTACAAAATAAATGGTTAAGTTTTGGAGAACAGTCCTTATTTTTGTGGTTGAAGTGTTTTACATGACAATAATGATGATGAAAATGATAGAAATGATAATAATGATAATAATGATGAAGACAAAGACAAGGACGATCATTATGATAATGATGATGACAATGACACAGACAATGACTGTTCTGGTCCATTAGTTTTGTCCCTAAGTAGAGGTTAAGATTCTTGAAGACAAGGCTGTCTCCAGCAGCTTAACTGCCATTTATTTTAGCAAATTTTCAAGATGAGACAAAAAGCATAACATAACAAGATGGACATGTGAGCAATACTTGTGCCTCTGCCATTAATTATTCATTGAGATCAACAGACTAAGGAGTTTTATGTTAAACAGTGATGGCTACAAAACAACTTAAATGAGAAAACAATGCCTTAAAGAAGCAAGCTGAAGAAATTACAAAAGAGTTGTCTACTTTGAGAGAAGGAATCAAGATAGCCAACAATGAGTTAACACATTCAAAGTCTTGAAGATCATCTGAAGAGACCTTTCAAGCAGACTCAAGAGATCTGCAATTTTACACTCTGATAGTTATGACGCATTGTGTAAGTTTTATAAGGATGCATCCAACAAACTGTAGATGATTGAAAAGAAGTTGCTAACTATCAAAGATAAATAAGCAATTATTTATTATCTATTTGTTACTATTAATAGTAATCTACTATTATCTATTATTATCTATTTGCCTTCTTTCTTTAGAAAAGAAAGCAAATAGGTTTAATTTATTATAAAAATATTAAGCTTCTAACTAAGGAATAATTATTATTCCTTAGTTAGAAGCTTAATATTTTTATAATAAATTAAACCTATTTGTCTTCTTTTCTATGTATTGATCTTCTTCAATTCCTTTCTTTTGTATGTAATGATCTTGTCCTCTCCTTATGTATTAATTTTTCCCATATTTATTATTTTACATTGTATATACATAAACTCTACACCGTCCAGATTACAGGTGTAGCTATGCTATTTGTACAGTTACTTCTCTTTCATCAGTTAATTTTCATTACTTAATAAAAAATGTTGAATAAACAAATGTTGAGGTGAAACAAGAATGTGTACACACCACCAGCACATGACACAACTAACTAAAGTTTCCCTGCACACTTGATTAGTACTGACAGGAACCCCAGACAGAATGATGACAATGATGATAATAATGATAATGATGCTAATAATGATTAACAGAAAAGAAAATAGTGACAAAAATAATGGCAATAACTAATTTACTAGCATGATAGTCTGGATGAGGGTAGTTGTGAGAAAATTGTCTATAGTTGGAATGAGAACAATTAAATTAATTTAATCAATTTAAAAACAATCATCACCATGTGTGGTTCGGGAGCCGGTGATGAGTCAGAAGAGCCTAAAAGTGATGAGCTTTCTCCAGTTTGGCTCACATCTGATCCTGATACCTAATTACAAAAACAAACAAGCAAGTAAATAAACATGACAAAGGGTAAAGCTACTGTAAAATCCAAGGGTAAATAGAATATGTATACCTTTTCTGACCCTAAAGAAACATAAGAGCACAACCATAAATGTAATGATTTGAAATAGACCACTTACAAGTAAGAATCATGATTTTTTAATAAACTCTGAATTATTTTTTTCTGAAGCATCTCAGTGGGCTGGAAACTTAAATCCTTAAATCTGATTGGCTAACCCCATGCTTGTGAGAGACTCAGTGTTTTATAAAATATGGAACATGGTCCAGAATGTTTTTAAAGCAAAGCTTTCAGGTTAAAGAAAAATTGAACTAGCGGAAAAAGAAAAGGAGTAAGATGCCTGTCTAGGTTGGTATGTATGGGAAAACAACTGTGCCCTTGGTCTTGAGAACAGTCCGAGGACTTTGGCAGGGTTCCCCCCCCCCCATCACCGTCCTAATCATTGTTCTCCTCTTAGCCCTATCTCCTACTCATTCTTTTTTTTCCCACATTCCTCTTTACCCCACCTGTGACTGGAGAGCTACCCTTGGTAGTGTAAACAACCTGAGGACTTGGACTTGGACAGGGTAAAACCTAAGCTAACCCCAACCCCCCCCCCCCCTTTACTGTCCTAGTTACTGTTCTCCTCTTAGCCCTATCTCCTGCTCATTCTTTTTCTTCCCACATTCCTCTTTACCCCATCGGTGACTGGAGAGCTGCTCTTGGTAGTGAGAACAACCTGAGGACTTGGACAGGGTCTCCCCCTCCCCCCCCCCCTTCACTGTCCTAGTCACTGTTCTCCTCTTACCCCTATCTCCTGCTCATTCTCTTTCTTCCCACATTCTTCTTTATCCCATCTGTGACTGGAAAGCATCTTAACAGACTATACTTAGCATGTCAATACTTTTTCTTCTAAATTCTTGCCTTGATTAAGTGACAACCATACCCAAATACAAGTATTTTGAGTCAAGAAGTACATCCCTAGTATCCCTGGTAGATACATATCTTAACTTACATTAGTTGTGTCATTACAGTTTTTACAATGTATTCTCCAAGGCTCATAAAAAAGGAATCCAGTGAGATAGACCATAAAAGATGACGTCTTGACATATGTGGTGAAAAAGGGCTTGTTAAATCCTTCACTTTTGAAGATAAACTATAATCAAATGAAATTCTCATTATTATTAGAAGCTTAAATCTGTAATCAAGCCATGCAACTTTTTCAGCCTGAGCTTATCCTAGTTACATAGCATGAAGAGACTGAGAATAAGACTACCCCTCCCCCCCTCAGATGGCATATGGGATTCCAGTCTATAACAAGGTTACCCCCAGCATTTCATCAGGCTTCTTCGACAATTCAACGGTACCCATTTATACTCCTGGGTGAAGAGCTAAGAGGCACAATGGAAGTAAATTGTTTGGCCCAAGAACACAACACAATAACTTGGCCAGGTCTTGCACCCTGAACTCTCAACCTGGAGTCCAGGGTACCAACCATTACACCACCACATTTCCTACATTATGAGTAAAAACAATGGGAAATTTTAATATTGTTTCCAGGTAACTCATGTTGAATATGTATTGTTTCATCATAGAAGAGTGATTTGATGATTAGGTGCAAACCAGTCTTTCGCCTTATACAAACACATCAAGCCAACATTTTGCCTTGAAAACTAGAAAAGGGTGAAGTCTGGATAATCCTTGTAAGTAATATGCAATTAAGAGAAACTACAACATAAAACAGAAGTAAGAGTCAGGCTTCATATTTCAGTTGGCATTGTTGCCCAGCTAGAATCAGAGAGGCCAAGTTCAAAAACCCTCCCAAACCTGAACTTTTCAGGTTTCTTATCAAGACTTTTTTTGTTTCAGTTCACCTAAGAGGATCAGTTTGTTCTTTGTACATCAACCACAGGTAGGAATACGATTCGTTTCACTCCATTGGGAAAATTTTATTATGCTGTTGAAGACTGTAAAAAGTCATTCTCTCTACGTATCTTCCACCCCTTTCCCTATTCCCCCATGCTTAAAGATTGGTGCATTCTGTTAAATGTAAAGTGAGAAATTTTACTTACATCAGTCAACTCTGCTGAGCCGACCCAAATCACATCCACAATAAGCAAAACGATCACTCCCCAAATCAAACGGCGTTTACGTCGTACTCCTTCCTCTTGTGATAGGATAAAATGGCATAAAGACCTTCCACAACTCCGTAAATAGCTACAACAGAGACAGTTCGAACCCATCTGAAATTCGAAAATGTCCTAATATCCCTCGATGACCCTGCGATTCACGATTGTGATGCGAACTAGCAGGCTTCTTCAACTTCGATTTCCCAAGTGATTCCTTGAAAGAGCCCTGACCTTTTTTTCTACATGATAACAAAAAAAAATTCTCAAGTCATGAATTACAAAAAAATATATAAAAAAACGACTCCTCGATTATATCTAAAAATACGTACAACGAAAAATATAGCAAGACTACCCTCATCGGTTTTCGGGTTACTCTGTTATGGTATCATTACGTCAAACACACTAGATGATGCTTACACTCACAATTTACTTCTCCCTCAACTTAACGCTGACCTGATTGTTTGCTAACGTAGGGCTCAAATTGACTGCTCTCCAGTCTCCAGCGGAGGTGAGTGCGAGGCATGAGTGGAAAACCAGCGCGTGTCGCGTGTAATATACGACTTCTGTTTTAGAGACTGATCTGCCTAAAGAAGACATTAGACTAAGCGTAGATGATGAAAAAAGGTAAAGAAAATGATTCCTAACGGATAGAGAGAATAATGATACATCTGACGTCCTGTGGACCATCGTGAGTGAGGGTGACACCGACATAACGCGCGCGGGCCAGGTTCGAGATAATTAAAAGAAACAGTCATAGTAATCTGGGCGAAACCGATGAAAATTATTTTAAAAAAGTAACAAATATTAATGCAGGAAATGCAGAAACTGAAAAAGAACACTCGTAAGATGAAAAGGAAGGCGAAAAAAAAACTTGTATTCAGTTAGATTTCTCTCCCCACTGCGAAAGAACTGGCTTCACATATCTTTTTGTTATCATAATAATTTTATTCAGTAAGCCAAACAATAAGTGCAACACAAAAGGAAAACGTGTTCGCGATGAAACGCCGAACTCTTGAAACCAAAATAAAAAAAAAACGCAGCAACGAGTTTAGAGAATTTATATCTTGATCAGATACAAAGAAAAGACTTGGGAAACATCTGCAGATTTTGTTTTCACCATTCATTTCAGCAGGTGTTTATTGTCAACCTTTAAAAATTACCGTTAGCGATGCTTCTTGAATTATTGAAGAAAGTTAGGGATAGTTAGCGATTTTAATGCTGGCATGACTTTTATGACAAGTTTTTTCTTTTTTTTAACTTATCTTCTTTTTTATAGGAAAGTTTAGTTTTGATGCGATGACTATTTTTCTTATCTCCCACTTCAAGCGACATTTCACTACCGGTTGTCAAAAAATCTAGAGTGTTCTTTGTTTTTTCTAGCTTCCTGATTTGAGTAATTTTTATGATAAATATATTTTCAATTTGAGTCGATTGCTCCCAAAGACAAGTCCATCAATATGACCTAAACAGCGAAATAGAAAACCATTTTTTTAAAATTTTTTCATTAGTTTAAGTCACCTTTGTTTGAAAGAAAGAAATCATATTTACCACCCAGCTTTTCTCGATTTCATGTTAGAAATATATTTTGAATTGATAAAAGATGCTAATGAACTAATTTATTTTATGATCCATGATCATTGAAGGAGATGTATCATCTGCATCAGGAAAATCGTGCTAAATGATGTGTTGCTAAATTCTCTCCAGTTCTTGCGATATGCCTTGATTTCAGGGTATTAACAATCAGAATACACCACACTGTAAATTCGAAGTTAAGCGCCTAATTGTCTGTGTTACCAAAAGTTTCTACGAGCTTTCGGCACATTACATTAATACAAAGTCATGAATTTCACTGCCCCACAGACCGCAATCTGATTTGAGTGGATCAAGATTAACTGCCCTATCGTACAACAAATGGAATTAATTGACAGGTCATCAGCGGTATCGTTGAAGCAATGAAACAGTTTAGGATCATGTGATTATCCTTGTGACATTTTCTCCTCGAAACCGCTAAAAAAAAGAGAGAAAAAAAAACTCATGAAGCCATTTTGTTGTGAGTTATGAATAGAATAAGTTTCCATAGATGCTACAGGAAAAATGAGTAGCATCACGGAGATTTCCCTTTGCCTTTGAGCGGAGCTCCGATTAAGCTCCTCTCCCAGATAGGGATGGTTCTTGAAGAGTTACTAAAAGTATTTGTCTATTAAAGTTTTCCTTTCTTCTTTAAAAAGTCACTTCGACCTTGACTCAAAACAAATAAAAAGGAGTAAAGCTACAATTAAAGGTTCCAAGTATATTCGAGACTGCGGAAAACTGGAATAAAAAAAAATAGCAAGAATATTGTGTTCAAGTGCGGTCCCCAGTTAGACTCTCAGGGAGTGGGGAGGGGAAACAATTTTTTCTTTTTTTTTTAATGCCTCGATATCATGCTCCTAACAAGTTCGCGCTTTCCACGCACTTCCTTGGTTGTTTTTCTTCTGGATGGTTGATGTTGAATCTTAAATGATAAGCTGATGTTGATGTTTGCTATGTAGCGTGACACAATGGACGAAAACAGTGGGGCTCCGCCTGAATCAGTAAACCGCGCTTCATGGGAGAATTTCGAGGGAGAGAATGGCAAGATTAACAACCATATTTGTCACGATATTTCCTCTGGTGTGAAGGAAGAAAATCTTTCTGACAACAGTGCATTAATTAGCGATCCTAAAGCTCTCAGACAACCCGGTAATTCTTCACTTAATGGTGAGAAGAGCCTCACAGGAACTGACTTTAAGGAGAATTTAGATGAGAAATCACAACATTTGGAGACATCGCCGAGCGCGATAGAACAATTTAATCTTGAACCTGTAGTTGATTCCTCGAATCGTCTGGAAACGAGCGATCAGGGATTAGATAACGCGTTAGGTAATCGCGAATCTTCTCTAATATCGAATACAGGTGAACTGTCTACCGAAAAAAATTTCATTCAATCAATCGATTTATCGGAGCGCTCGGCAGATGGTATTGTGCTGAACGGAGAAAGCGAATCACGCTTTTCAGCTGTCGACGAACCGCTTGCCGGAGAAAAGGTTATTTCTTCAGCAAAATGGACCACCTTTGAGGATAGTCGTGATAAAGAATTGCACACAGATGGAGTTGAAAGCAAATCTGAAGAGTTATCGATCGACGAAAAACAGAAAAACTCGAATATAAACACACCCAGGACAACCCCGAACATGGCGGCTTTTGATTCCCAAGCCGCAGTAACCACAAATATTATCTCCAATTTGCCTACCGTAACCGACCCTGGTACCTTTGAGGTTCACTCTGCATCATTTAATCATAAAAAAAATGGAGAAGGTTTAGCTTCGAATTTGAATTCTTTATCTACGAGCGCTATGCGATCAGCTGTTCCTATTGTCAACCAAGCTTCACCTAACGACAATGGCGCCCTTCCCTTGTCTTCAGGCAGTTCACAGGAGCCCCGACCCAGCGATACCTCAATCACAAACCATCTAAAAGGAACTGAATGGGTCAGTTTTGGTGAGGAAGGGAATTCCAAAGAAAACCAGGCGGGCAAAACAAGTGTAAGTGGGAACGAACATGGTAACTTAGAAACGGCGAAGCGTCCTGTTGAAAACGATCTTCGGAAAGGCGATTTAGCTGTTAATGACACAAAACATACATCAACCTCTACCGTTTTACGAGTAGAAAAGGAGTTGAATGGAAAAAGTTCAGACCAAACGGCTTCAGTAATTCCTCCCGTGTCGTTTACCTCGGCCGAATTGGATTTACTTGCGAGTAAATCGTGGATACAGTTCGATGAGTCTAGCAACAGTAAGTCAGTGCTGCAATCGAACTCAAGCGTTGTTCAAACATCGTCCGCTTCTCACTCGTGGGTCACGTTTGGTGATTCCAACATCCCGGTAGGTCAGAATTTAGACCCTTTAGAGTTGGATGTTAGTAGTAAGAGCCAATTCAGTCTTTCAACATCGAGAAGCCCAAATCCATTCACAACGCTACCTCCTTCATCAACAACCAATCCTTTCAAGCCTGCTACGCCAAGTAATTCAAATCCATTCCAGGCTGATGCTACCGCTGTTGTTTCTTCAAGCCCTTATTCTATATCAGGTCAAAGTCCAATTTCTTCTTCAACACCTCTTACTGGTGTGAAAAAAATGTTGGTCTCTGAGGGTAGTCTACAAGAGGCTGGTTTACCACCCACAGCTGATTTGAACATTCCCCATGGTGTGTGTCCTCTCAGTAACTCAACACCAGTTGACAACAACCAGGCAGTGGTTGCTCAAGATCAAGTTGATGTAAGATCTAAAGTACCAGTTAGTAAAACTCAGCAGCCTGCCCAAGTTTGTGAAGAGCCACTGCACGAGGAGAGGTCATTGACCACAAGTGGCTCATGGTCTATGCTTCTCCGCTTCCCTGACAAGAAACGGAAAATTGGATCTCGTGAGTGGAAGCCAGTGGTTATAAAGTTAGAGGGTACCACCTTACAGATTTTTGAGGAGTATGAATTATCAGCACCCTTCAGAGAGATTCCTCTACAAGCATATTTTGTGTTCACGACACCAAAGTTGCAGTCCTTTGAACATGGAGCTAAAGTTCATGCAGTTAAGTTAGAGTATGTTAAGTACTCAGAAACTAGAAGCCTACGTCATCGTGGCACTGTTGAACATGTGGCACAAGGAACACCCATCATTAAAGTGGCATCTCCAAGTCACAAAGTCATCAGAGAACTTCTTGAATCTTTCAACAACTCTCTTCGTCTTCTTCCATCTTACAGAGACAGAGGAATAACATACCGTCATGATGAAGTGTTTGTTGATATTGAAGATGTCACAAATGTTCTATCATCTGGTGATGGTACCATTCTAAAGAAGAATTCAAAAGTTTTAGTCAAGTTTCGTGCTTTTCTTACAGGTGATCCTGAATGTCAGTTAGTTCTAAATGATATTGTTCTAAGAGAACGAGAGGAAGCTCGTCTACAATCCGAGGAAAAACCTCAGAGGGTTCATCATTGGGTGAAACTGCGTCGTTGTGATTTTCATAAGTGTGTCAATGTCACAACTTTTGAACAATCACATGCTATTACATTTCATCCATTAGATGCATGTACTTTTGAGCTCATGCGATTTCCAGTTGACCATCACAAGCCTTTACCTCTTCTGTTAAAGACTGTGTTGAATGTCCATAGTGAGCAAAGAGTTGAACTCAAAGTAGAAATCCAAGTGTGTCAGGAAGCAAAGATGGCGAAGTACATTCGAAACAATGTGATTTTCAGATTTCCCATTCCAGAAACTTGGGTACCTCTTTTTAGAACAACAAAGGCGTTTAGAGGCGAGAAGTCCATCAAATCCAGTAAGGGGAACCGAGCTGCAGGAATTAAGAGCAGACTAAGGAATTCTAAGTGTTCCATTGCTGTGTCTCTTGGCAAAGCAAAGTATGAACCAGAATATGCATCTGTGGTGTGGAGAATTGATCAACTACCTTTCATCCACAGCAGAATTCCAGCGGATGCACCACAAACACTCACGTGTGTTCTAGATCTGCCTCCTGGAATGGAATACCCAGAAAACTTCAAACCCACTGCAGAGCTTGAGTATGATGTGGCCTATGTACTAGTTTCGGATACCACAGTGATTGCTGTTAAAGTATCCAATCAGAACATTCCTGACAAATGGGTCTGCTACAGGGCACTGTACCACTATGAGGTCAACATTGACATTTCCAGACCAGCCTCTGGTCCAGTCAGAGATGTCGGGTGTACACAGCAGTAGGAGGAAGCAGGACAAGAGTACTGTTCTCAGTTATATTTGGTATGTACTGACTTCCATGTTGGAAATTTTTTTTTATTGCATGCAGTACTCTGATGGTCCTGGTAAGAGTAGTTCTGAAAGTGACTGTTGTCGGTAACATTAGTTTCTGCAACCTAAACTGTTATGACCATCTAAGTCAAATTAATTTGCTGATATCTTTGTCACTTGAATCTGGTGATGCAGAGGTGGCAGAGCACTTTGAAGTGTTGAGGGGCTTGGCCTGTATACCAAGCCAAGTACATACCCCTACTCAAATTTTCCCAAAAAGATATACTGATTTTCACTTCTTGAACATGTACCAGAGCTATTCAAAGGAAATTAGTCCTACCACATTCAATTTGGTCAAGCATGATCCTGATGAAATGATTTGGAAAGAGTACAAGACTGAATATTTTTCAAACAAATTTTATGCTGTGCCAAAAATATCATAGGGGACTGAAACATGGGGGCAGAGGGAGGGCTGAGGCCCCCTAAATTTAGGCTTGGGGGGGGGATGTTGTCCCCCTTCCCCTTTCTTTCTGCTCTGGCGCTATGGAACGAATTCCTTTCAGGCTGTTGAAATGGCATTTACAGACATGGGTATCAGTCTTTCAAAGGATTTCCCTTACCTGGGCCATTAAACTTTGCAATTGGTTACCTCTCCTGGACTCAAACCATTCACCCTCTTCACTTCAGGGTGTGATCGAAAATGAATTTCTCCTTACAATATCCATACATTTTTGTGCATTAAGGCAATTTGAGAATTAAAAAAGGGGATTTCATTTGATTTTGCATCAAATTGTTTGATCCAATAGGGCAAGAAATGTTTGGTGAAGGGTGAAGAATTGATTGGGTGTGAAAAGGTTGACTGGTTAGGGACAGTGTGGAATCTTGAATTTTTGGCATAGAACAAAAAAAAAATTTGCAAATTCATCTCTGAAAAATGAAACATATGGTAAAGAGGTTCTTTTTCAAGCTGCAGCAAGTACTTAGTGCATTGCTGGTTGTTGTTTTTTTTTTATTTTTTTTTAAGGCGGCTAAATTGATGCAGCTTACTATGCCAAACTGCTTTATTTAGGAGGTCAGAGAATTTTTCTTTTAATGCAAGTGACTGAAAACCTTAATTTATGAAGGCCAAGTGACTTTACCAATGATTGTAAGTCTTAAAGATGAAAATAATTGTTTTGGAAAAACCTAGAGAAAAGTCTTCAATTTTGGTTACTTAGAGCTGTGTTTCATCTGCCCTAAGCAGCCAGAGTTGATAGGTTTTACATTATTTACATTGTGCTATTTGGGTTTAAACTATTAACTTTGCATTGAGCGGAATCTACCAAGAGTCTTGGGAATGTCAGCTTAAAATAGGTTTCACTGTCCCTTTTTTAAATTGTTGATCACAATTCCATCTTTGTGCTTAGAGACAGAAACAGTCTCCATTAGAAATGCACTTGGATTTGTCGCCTAAAGTGCACTTTGCTGAAGTACAAATGTTTTCTTTGCATCTTCAATTAGATTTTGAGATGTTGTTTTGAAGCAAGGTGAACAATTTGCATGGTTTGAAAGTTACTGTCATAATTTAATTGATTTTTTTCAACTTTTTTCCATCTAGGTCGGGTGAACGAATTCTAATGGATGACAGTGTCATAATGGAAGGCCAAATACATGTCACCTTGGCCATGGTTTGCGATGAATTGTTGAGTCTTACCTACATATTTTATATTTTCTGTTGTTGCTGTACTTTTTTTGTTAAAAGAATGGGTGAGGAATAGCAACTCTTAAAGAAACTGCAGGAATATCATATTGTTTTCAGCCATTTTTAAGTAACATTTTAGAGAATTTGACTTGAAATAGTTTGGTAGTGTGGAAAAACATCAAAGAGATAAAAATTTTCTGAAAAGGAATGAGAGTGTTCATAGATGGATAGGATAAATGCAGATTGCCAACATTGAACCCAAAGCATTCAGGTTTTTTTTTTATTAGTTTTAATTTTTTTTGTGATTATGTGCAAACTGTGCTGTGGCTCTGGTTAGAAAAACATTTTTATTTTTAGAGTTCAATCCTGAGCCAAGTTCATAAGATTTTCTTGAGCAGCTCTGCCTTCTTTCTGTTTCATTCCTTTTTTTGTTTTCAATTTTAAGATAGGTGTAATCCATAATGATGGTGACATGATTATGGAGTTCACCTATTTTTTGTGAGACTCTTTCACATGCTCTTTCTTTTTGGTTTATATTTTGGCTCAAGTATTGACAGCTGCTTTCTGTTCAGGAAAATCTTTCCAACAGTGTAATTAACAATTTCCTAAAGAAACTGTTGTGTCAATCAAATGAATGGTCTCAAGTCAAGTGCTAAAAATTGCATGTGGTATTGCATTCCAATTTTTCAGGCTAGAATATCAAAAATTTGTTGCTTAGAACTTGTGGCTTGTAAACTTGCCTGTGAGTAATTAATAAGAAAAAACATCACCTTCAACAGTTAATTTTAAGTTGCTAAAGCAGTACAGGGATGAACTTTGCTTTCTGATGTTTTTGGAATTCTTTTTCTTTTTTACTAGTTTCTATTATTTATAAGAAATTTAAGTCAGTGCAAAGACTATCACACCAGAGAGAATATTTTATCACAGCTTTTCATTTTAGCGATCTCATACCATCCCTTACTTTTAATTTGTTTCATTTATTATTAACCTTTTAAAGTATAGCACAGAGTAATTGTTGTCAAGTTGTAACAATACAGCATCATTTGAGAACTGAATTTTATATTTTTTAATGGAATAAGGAGTTTTTTATGTGTACTACAGTGCTTCTGAAGGGAAGTTATAACTTTTATTTGAAATGTTTTTGGTGAAAGTTTTACTATTTTCAAGTTAGAGTAAAAATTACTCCCTCAGTGTGATGACCTACTTGGAAAACAGGAAAAAAAAAACCTTAAGTGTTATTTCTGTGGCACTTGAAATATTGGCAGTTAGTTTGAATGTACACCTCAAGTGTTTGGAGCAATCCTTTTAAATGTGTTATCTTCCAGAATACCATCGGCTATAACAAGAAGTACAACAGCAGGTAAATTTTATGGGTTAAAGCCTGAAAAGGAGAATACTGTACTTGGTTCAATCTGTGATTTGAATTCACATTTTTTTTATTGTTTTTTTGTGATGGTCAATATATGGAACATTAAGAATGCTTAAGAATTTGAATATCAATAGAATATTAGCCAAACTCTAAGTTCTCAAAATCAATAACACCTTGACAAGTCAAAGTATTTAATTTCATTCCTTTTTAAGGTTCATAAAAGAAGATTTTATCAAACAGACCATTTCAGAAAAGACCCAAGCCTCTGTTTCAAGGTGAGGCTTGTTGCATAACCTTTGTTGGGATAATGATCTTTTATTGTTAGGCAAATTTAAGTCATTTTCACAATGAAGGCTTTGCACAGGGCTCATTTTCAAATGAGGGCTCTTGAAGCTCAGAAATGGCCTGTTTTTTAAAAACAGTTGTGCACAGGGCCATTGTTTTTTTTTTAGCAAGAGGGAAATTGTCTCTGACAATTACTTCTTACAAACTCTTTTTTTACAAGACTGCTATTAAGCCCAAATTTAAGTGACAATAAATCATACAGTTTCCTAGCTGTCAACCCTTTTATTCTTGGGTGTGACTAACGAGTATTTTCTGAGTACAATATCCATACATTATCAAGCAGAAAGGTGATGTGAAAAAAAAATATTGTAAGTGGAAGATTTAGTTGGATTTAATATCAAATTTGTGAGACATTTGTGGGAGACAGTAAGGAGAAATGATTTTGGATCGGGGGGGTGGGGTGGCAAAGGGGTTATATCATAGAATTGGATTCAATTTAAGCACCATTGAAGATTGCCTATCATTTAAAATAGATTAAAACCTTGAAGTAATGATTTACTTGGGTAAAGGGATACCACTGAGGTACAAATAAATCAAAAAGGATCTAGGATGTCCAAGAATGGCAAGGATTGATTAAGATTACACACAGAACTCTTGTGAAATTCGGGCTGAAATTTTCAAGGGAGACAAATAGTGATGCAGCCATTTGCATCGTATCTTTAGCAAAGAGAGAGTTTTGCTTCAGACTGTTATGTAAACAATAACTGCAGCAAAGATTCTCCTATAGTTTGTTAATGAGTGTAAGTCACATTATGACTTTACTTGACTGTTATCTTCATATTGAAGACAGACATATCTTAGAGTTATTGGGAATTGTAACATGTTATTCAATCATGAACTGGGTAAATGTTTTTGGTTTTGGAATCTGAGGTTTCTTAACCTTTCATGGAAATAATAGCAGAATGGTGTTAAATCTTTTTTATTACTGTATGCAAAGCCAATCAAAGAGACCTACATTGTCATAACTGAAAAATGATTGCTTTCGCAATGATTGCTTCTGAAGTATTAGAGTTAAAGTATAAGTAACTTAAAATAGATAAAACACCATGGGTAGCTCTTAACCCTTTGATTCCAATGAGTGATCAAGACAGAATTTCTCCTTATTATATCTCTTCAATATCATGCAGACAAGTGATGAGAATAGAGAAAAATATCAGTTATAAGATTACCAATTGATCTGATGCCAAATTCTCCAAACTTGCATAATGAGAATAATTTAGCAGACAGTAAGGAGAATTACTAATGAGATCTTGGGAGTTTAAGGGTTAAAGGCCAGTTTTATCCTTCACAGGAATTTTTAACACTTCACTTGTTTAAGTGGATAAAGATATTCTTTTATATGTCATCTTTATTCATATTTTTTGGGGTTAGAGTGTCAAAAATTGTTATTATTTCCAGTACTCTATGAACAGTTTCAGTATCTCATTGTTCATTCTCCCCTCTAGCTGCTACACACTTTCCTGTAAATGAGTAACCAGAATTTGGTCTTATATTAAGATAAGAACTTCTACCTGATAATTTTAAGTATTCTCATTACCTGTTTCCTAGGTAATGTATGGATATTTTAGGGAGAAATTACTGTTAAATCACTCCTGTGAGTTAAATGCTTAAGTTTAGAGGTGGGAAATGGTAATGTGTTACACATGTGAGGGGTTTTGTGTGTAGCTAGCTGTTAGTAGTAAATAGTAATTTCATTGTAACTAAACATAGCGCAACATTCATTATATTCTACGTACTGTAAAGGATTGTGTGAGCTTCACAGACTTTACACAGAAAATGCATATTGTACTCTATATATTAAGTATTCATTAGAAAATGTACTACACACTACGAATAAATAGCATGAAATGAAACATGCGATACCTGTTTGGTTTTCTGGTACCATTTCCCTTTCCCTCGCCTGTGTGAAAAACTGGAATTATTTGTTTTTTAAGCAGCAGAAGTATGACATGCATCGAAAACTTCAACATCCCGCACACCCAGGGGCAACCCCTCCCCCCAGTGATAAGAACTTTTGATAATTTGCACATTCAAATTCCCTTCCCCATGGGGCAAAAATTATGTTTAAATGCCTCACCAATTTTTTTTTTTAAAGGTGAAATCAGCACTGTGACTGGTAAAATTTCCGCACAGCCCCATACTACATTATGCATTCAGTTCTTGGATAGAGAAAACAACGACAAAACAATACATTGCCCTTGGGAAAACAGATTTGTTTTACAATGGTATGGGGCTGTGCGGAAATTTACCTTCCTTTCCTCCTAAAATTTCCACGGCCCGTTGTTTTCGAAAATTTCGCGTTAATTTGATTTACGTACACCTAACTTTTAGAAAATGCGCATTAATTTTGTGTCACATAAATTTTCTTCGCTTTGTCAAAGTGCACCGTTAATTTCCTATAACAATGTAGTTCACTTTCGTGAACTGGCCTAGAAGAAAAGGTCTACAAGGTCGTTAAAGCTTTGTCAATGTGTAGAAAGTCACGGGGGTAAATTTCCGCACAGCCCCATACCATTGTAAAACAAATCTGTTTTCCTAAGGGTAATGTATTGTTTTGTTGTTGTTTTCTCTATCCAAGAACTGAATGCATAATGTAGTATGGGGCTGTGCGGAAATTTTACCGGAAAGGAGTGAAGGAGTCAGTCATTAAGGGAAACGCAGTAGGCAATAGGACAGTCGAAAGACATTTAGAAATTAATTCTTAAAGAAGAAATGTCAGCTGGTGACTCCGAGGCATTAATAGTGGAGCTCTTAGCAGACAAGGTTTTGTTATTGAAATAAAGGTGCTGTAAAGCAATGATATAACATAGTGTGATTTAAATGAACATCGACGTAAATTGAGACAATAAATCGACGTGATTTTTTTAAAATCGCCTAAAAAAGAGCATCGTTAATTTTATACATATAATAAGTTATTTACCTTAGACACCTTCATATAATTATATAGATGTAGCACTCGTATTCCGATAGAAAGACTTTTCACTCCTCGTTCAAATTCCCCACCAGCCAGGCCGGCTTCAAATTTATAAAATCTAAAAAAAAGTAATCAAAAGTTGAGAGATTTTAATGAGATATTTTGTCTGTGAAATGCTAGGTCCAGGTAAGCAATTTTTAAGGATGTTTATTTGCTTCCTCTTGTTTCTTTTTCCTTTTATGCAAAATGAAATTGTTGATCATTGTTGATCATTGTTGTGGTCATGTGAAGAATGTAGTTCAGAACTGCCATCCTTTATAAACTTCATTCACACTCAGAAATTATATTTCCACTTTTAGACTTAAATCTCCGAAAACAACACCCTGTAGAGTGGTAAATTCCTTTTGAGACCTCATAAGCGATTCTCCTCACCGCCCAGGGCCAAGTGAGAACTAATCAGGGCATTGGCGGTCGAGGGCATTTAAATTAGAAAATGGAGTTTTGCAGGAACTTCTCCTGATTAACGCACGGAAGGTTTGAACGAATAATTTTTTGGAAGTCATAGGCTATGGGATACTCTTTTCAAAAGTTAAAATTTTTTTATCTGTTATTTCTGGTTTGCATGACCTCGTTCGAAGCAGCTTTGCTTGACCACATCATGCAAATTCCACGTAATGTAACGCGCGCGACTACGCGGTCGCGTGAAGCTTCAGCCAGATGCTTTTGCTACCTCTTTAGTCTTTTTCAGTCTTTACTCGGTCCAAACGTGAGGCTCGGTCGCATAGCAAAAAGCGTTCTCTAGCGAAGTCAACGTCGTGAATGTTAGCCACGAATATGTGGTAACACACAACACAAAGATCTCTCTTTTTTCATATGAATCTATTATAACGTCCTTTTTGGAACCTTTGTGCAACTTTTGGTCATAATGGCAGAGGTTGAAAGGTCAAGAATACGCAGCGTAGTTCAGGTGAGTAAATGAAGTTGGAAGATTAGTTGAGGATTATGTTCGATCGCTTGTAAAGGTTGTAGGTATTTTTTGAATAAATCGTGTCTGATGAAAATTATTCTCTTTTTGTTTCGGTGGGAAGACTGTAAAGCATTCCAATTCTCCAAGCACGAGGATAACGAGATCGCGGTCTCGATCGAGATCACCGGTTGAAGGAAGGTACGTGAAGTTTATGATGACCGATCATTTTATGTATTTAGTAACTCAGTGATAATTTAAATGATCTGAGTACAGAAACAAATCAATTACTTATGACTGTAAGATCTAGATCGATATGATGGATGCTGTGGGTGAATTGGAAAAATTGTTTTAACTTATCAAAGCACGTTTGCCTGTAACGTTCAAGGTGTAGTATGCACTCATTTATAATGTAGTTTGAATTCATTCTGGGAAGGTTTGAATCTAAAAGAGTTCAAACGACGTTGGTTGTGTTTTCTCTTCTTTCTATTAACAAAATAATATGTAATGGAGGAAATAAACCACAGGTCTATGCTGCAGTGCTGATAAATTATCATTTTTGTCTTCCTAATTTCCATTGGCCCTGTTCTTGCCATTGCATAAAATAATGTGCCCCCCTCCCCTTAAGAGTGGTTTGTCGGTCCCTTCAGTGCTGTTTTCTTGTGTAGAAAGGAGAATTGAGTGCACAAAAAGCATGACTTCAGAAATGGCTGCAGAATTTTATGCAGCCCCTCATTTTCAGGCACAGAAAAAGGTATGACCCCATCCCATTTGCACCAGCCCACCAAACTGTCTGGGTAAATGACAAAATGCAGAAAAAGAGGAGATATGGGAGGAGGGGGGGGAGGGTATCCTGCAATGCAGTGGGAACTGGTGGAGAGGGATTAATGATATTCCTAATCCGATTATACCTTGGAAATCTGAATAAGCTGAAGCAGTGAGGGTCACAGGATTAAAGAGAGGACATTGTCTTTCTCTACCATCAGAAGGCCTGACTTCATGTATTTTCTTGTTTTGTAGAAGGAAAGCTAATGAGGATAAAGAGAACATACGCAGGAGTGATGATGATGATGAGGATGAAAAGGAATACCACGGAAGACTGCAACAAAGTGATAGTGACAATGACACAAGATCTCAGCGGAGGAAAGAAAGAAAGAAATATGACTCAGAACGATATAAGGAGCGAGAAAGACATGACAATCGAAGACGTCGCAGTGATGATGATGATGGTGATAATGGTGGCTGGCGTGCAGATCGGCGAAAAAGGCAAGAACGTAGATCTGACAGAAGAAGGCAAGATACACCTTCAGATGATGAGAGGTATGACAATCGCAATCCAGTCGAGAAAAAAGGTAAATATGATGAGAGAAGAGAACAGCCAGAACAAGAAGGATCAACAGAGAAGACTGAAGAGCCAGAAAAGGTTGTACGAAAGAAGGCAAATACAGATAATCCACTCCTGACAAGAACAGGTAAATTGTACTTTAATGTGCAGTATATTTGAAAATGAGACTTGTCATTCATTCTCTCATGACTATACTTCTTAACACTTTTTTCTCAAGATCAGTATAGATATTCTCCCTACTACTCTCTATACATTTCCTAAGGTGCTAAGAAGGAGAACTTGTTTGGCAATCAGAGGCCTCTTTGGTTGGTGATGATTCCACTTTTATTCTTTTGATCTTATCGTTTGATTCAGAGGTGATATTGTAAAGAGAAAATAGATGGTAGTTATTCCTACAAGTCAAAGGGTTCATGAAACTCATTCTGGAATGAATTTCATGCCTATGTCACTTCTTCCATGTACATGCACACTGTCAATACCACTTTGGGCTTTGACACAAGTGACAGTTTTTGGTGCTGGATTTTCAATGTAATGAATAATTATTTACCAAAGTGGAGGTGACTAACAGTAGAAATTAGTTTTAATTAATTCTGTCATTATACCAAAAATGGTCAGAAGTTAAATTGTTGGCATGTGATTTTGTCTCTTCCACTGCTCAGAGGTGAATATTGCTAACTAATCATTTGTGAACCAGTTAATCAGAGTACCTGAAAAGCATTATTCACCTGTAGTGTATATATTAATGTATATACAGTGAAAATCTGATTGGTCAAGATAATTATGCAATGATGTGTGAGGCTGACATGGTAAAACCTAATATCTACATGGATATTGCATTTATCTTGTTGAGTTTAATTCCGCCTAGTTTCTAAGCCCCTTGTCTATGTAGTGTTCTCAACTTTTTGAAACCTCAAATCACATGTCTTTGTTGTCTGCCTCAGCCTATGACTTCAGTAGAGAACTCAGGCCTTGGTTTTTTTCATAAGAGTAGGGAACATACATGTACGTGTAGTTCCTGTTGTTGTGGTCTGGCTGTGATTCTGAAATTAGGGGCATCTGCAAAATTTCCTTAAAAAATTGTAAACTGTTCAATGCAGTCTGGTCAAAGTCCACTGCGAAGTGTTATAAAGGAATGGGAGCCAATGGATATGGCGCTATAGAAATCCTTCATTATTATTATTGTTATTATTTCTTCTATCACAGTCTTTGCTGGTGTTCTTTTTGTGCATCAGCTGGCACAAACCATGCACCTAGTCAATCATTCTGTTCAAACACTAAGCACCTTTCTGAGGACTTGTGCAGATCCCAGCATGCAGATCTTTTGAATCTCTGTCACAATAGCTGCTTGTGATATTTTCTTTATGTTTTCCACCATCCCCTTCCTTACTGTACCAAGCATACCATTATTATTATTATTATTGTTATTATTATTATTATTATTATTATTATTATATCATGCTCAACCTCATCCAATAGTTGCTTATTATAATTGTTTCCATAATAAGCTTGATGGCATGAACACTATGATGATTTCTTTAAATTTTCTTTGAAGGGGGAGCTTACATTCCACCAGCAAGACTCAAAATGATGCAGGAAGGCATTGAAGATAAGAGCAGGTTCGTTCATACATAGAAATGAAGTCAGAATTCACTCTCTTTTTCTTTATAATTGAAGCCTTTTATGGATGATTCTTCAATGCTTTTATTGACAGCAAGTTGAAGGATTTACATAGTCTTTTTGTTCATATTCAAGAATTAAGAAGCCAAATTGTTTTGGACTTTGCCAAGTAAAGTCTTCCTTGACACCGTATTTAGCTGTGTATAAGTTGACCCCCAATTTTTGAGGCTAAAAACTAGATTTTCTTTATTTCCAGGTAAAAATTTCTTGGAATACTTATCTGGTATTTCTTAGGTTTTCCTTTTAGTGACTACAGATATGTGAGCAAATCACAGCAAGTTTCAATTTGAAGTTTTAATATTATGGCATATATAAGAGTGTTTTTACCCAGTTTAGCAACACAGATTTATGCAGGCTTTTTGATAATAATTTTTGTGAAATGCTCACAAAATCAAACATGATAATTCCAAACAAGCCTTTTTATGTGTAAGAGATAAAAAGTGAATCTCTTCATCATAAGCCATCCCAGATCTTATTACCTCTTTTGTTCTTATGGTTAATCTTAACAAGCTTAATAAATATAATTTGTATTCTTTTTTAAGTTGAAGCGGAAAAAAATAGCTCGACAATATTCTGACAGGGCTCCTTTAAAACTACCATATCATCAATCAGCTTTATGTTCAAAATGAAAATTGAGTTAAATGTTGTTTTATTTTCACAGAAAGTAGCCATAAATTGGATCTAACCATATGTCATGTGTTATTTACAGTGAAGCCTATCAGCGTATCAGCTGGGAAGCTCTGAAGAAAAGTATCAATGGTCTCGTTAACAAGGTACAGAGCTGATCATTTTGTCAAGTCTCTTAACAATAGAGCAGTTTCTTTAATAACAGGACACCTGGATGTGTTAACAAGGGATGTATTGGTAGTTACCTATGGTAATTCTGACTGGTTACAGGCGGAAAATAGTAAATTCACTCTCCAAAGTACAGGAATGAAATTGCAAAATGAAGACAAAAAGTAAAAAAAAGTCAACAACTCAGGATATTACATGTATGTCCAGTCACCCAACCAACTAGCAACCCCAGCCAACAGGGCTTAACCCTGTACACGATAACATCAGTATGCATATTCTCCATACTGTTCTCTATGTATTTCCCAAAGTGTTGACAGGGAGAATTTGTTCAATAATCAAGAGCTTCTTTGGCTGGTGATCATTTTAGATATTCTTCTGACCTTAATATGTGATTCAGGTGTGATATTGTAGGGAGAAATTAGATGCTAATCACTCTTAGGGGTTAAAGGGTTGACTTCAGTGATAAACAGAAGCATAATTATAAAAGACTACAATTAGAACAAAACTTGAGCAAATTTTAGATGTGGTCTGTCTGTGGCATCCCGTATAATGATATTAGTCATAGTAGTGGTATATATTAGTCTTTTTGGTATACATCTGGGCATGTGAAAACATATATTTCACCTTTTTCTACCTAGGTTAACACATCAAACATTGGCAACATTGTACGAGAGCTTTTTCAAGAAAACATTGTGAGAGGAAGGTATGACAACAGTGTGTGCTTTTTCACAAATACTGGTAGATTCCATTTTGCTATACATCTGTACTATGATAGATCACAGGAGATGTCAAAAATGTGGTAAGAACAAAAAACTGGCGCATTGAAGTATAGCAGAGTGTGTCAGTGATGTTCTTACCATATTTTGATGTCTTCAGTGATCTATGACTGTACAGACCCAAGATAACATGGACTCCATCTGATTTATATACTTAACCCTTTACAACCTGACATCAATATGCATATTCTCCATAATGTTTTCTATACATTTCCAAAGGTGCTGACAAGGAGAATTTGTTTAAAAATCGAGAGTTTCTTTAGTTGGTGATCATTTCTTTTATTCTCATGACCTTACTGCTTCATTGAGGGGCAATTTTCTAAGGAGAAATTAGATGTTAGTCACTCTCAGGGGTGAAAGGGTTTGGTAAAGAAGCAAAAATCGAGTATGGTGACATCATCTAATGCATCTGTCTTCCAATAGATCCTAAGTAACAACCAATCAGAATTCATTTGAGTCAAGATTATTACATAAATGCTATTTATCTGTCTTGTGGGACTTTTAGAGATGAGTAAAATATGCAGTGCTCAGTCAAACATGGTTATGGAGCTGTGCGGCTGATGATTTTCACATGTAATGAGTTCCTAACCATTTTACATCCTGTTGTAGGGGTGTCCTTTGTCAATCAATTATCAGAGCACAGGCAGCGTCGCCCACGTTCACCCATGTTTATGCTGCTCTTGTAGCCATCTTGAACACAAAGGTACAATACATTCATGAATCACATAGTTTACATGTAAGTGTGACAAAAGAGTTCCTTAGAAACTCATCTGTTTTTTCCATGCTGAATGTATATAAACTGTTGGGAAACTGAGCAAAAACCAATGTTGCAATAATAGCAGAGAATGTCTGTTGTTTCTTTGGTTTGTTTATCAAGTTCATTGAAACCTTTGGGCCAAAAAAGCATTGTTAGGGAAAAAATATAGCGAGTCAAATCAGCATAGAATCTTTTTTGAAGAGTTTTGAAAGTTATTGTAATGCAGTTGTAAGTAATATTAGTAGTAATTTTTGTTGAATAAGTTAGCTTCTTAGTCCAACAAAAATGTATTTTATGTATTGCATGTTAATGTTACAATGAATTAAAAAATATCCTTTTACTTGTTTTCAGTTTCCTAAAAATGGTGAACTTCTTTTGCGTCGGTTGGTGCTGCAGTTTAGGAGAGCTTACAGAAGAAATGACAAGGTAGACAATCTTCAGTTGATAAATTTCAGGTGTTCATGACAAATATAATGTATTTAAATATGAATTTGTACTTGCCATGGTGACTGGAACAGTCACAGCTTGGAGCAATGTGATTCTGGTAGCCTTGGTGAAGCTTGAGTGTGTTCCTTACGTGGGTAGAAGTTGCAAAATGATGCCACTAGTATTAACTCAAGTTTAACGTCACCTAACTGTCACCATTCCAGTCACAGCTTGGAGCAATGTGATTCCAGTAGCTTTGCTGAAGCTTGAGTGTGATCCTCACCTGCATAGAAGTTACAAAATGATGCCATGAGTATTAGCCCAAGTTTAACATCACCAAACTGTCATGAGGGCCTGATAAAGTCTCTTCTTTTCTGTTCCTCAGGCTGTGTGCTTATCATCCACCAGGTTCATAGCTCATTTGGTCAATCAACAAGTGGTTAGTATATGTATATATATCTACCTTATTAAACATTTTGGTGTGTAGTATCACTGAGTATTTTTACAAATTGTCATATTTTCATGAGCCCATAGGGTGAGTCGAAATGCAAACAAGTGAAAATACTCAGCAATACTAAACACCAAAATATCCTAAAAGTTATTTATTAGAAACTACTTTATTTTATGCGAATTTCGTATAAGGCAGGAAAAGCGATTCACATGTTATTTGTCTTCTACTTAGTGCAGTTAGATAATAAAAGTTTTTCTCACTGAACAATAATCATGTTGATTAAATTCTATATGAAATATTTATCTATAAAGTACAGAGTCTTCTTAGAAGTGTTTTATCATTTTGCTCATCAGGTTACAGTATCTGACAAGTGTTACCCTTTCTTTTCCAGGCCCATGAGATTTTAGCTTTGGAGATCCTGACATTATTGTTACACAAACCAACAGATGATAGTGTTGAAGTTGCAGTGAGTATTCAACTTTAATTAGTTTCTTCCACATCTTGTGAAATTAAACACTAAGTGATACTGTGTTTTTAAAATTTTTGTTCTCTAGATTGGGTTCCTGAAAGAAGTTGGAATGAAATTAACTGAAGTATCTTCCAGGGGTGTTCATGGTAGGTTTGTCTGACCAAGGGCTTCTGATCCAAATGCCAGCTTTTGAAACTCTTAATGGTTGGCTGATTTACATCACCATCATCATCATCATCATCATCATCATCATCAGTTAACCCTTTGACCCCTAAGAGTGACAAGCATCTAATTTCTCCTTACAATATCTCCCCAAAATCACAGGTTAAGGTCATTAGAATAAAGAAAATGATCACCAACTGAAGAAGCTCTTGATTGTGAAACAAATTCTCCTTTTCAGAACATTAGGAAATATCTAGAAGACAGTGAGGAGAATCTGCATGCTGATGTTAGGGTGTAAAGGGTTAATAAAACCTTGTAATACCCCCACCAATGCAGCACCACTGTTTCTTAGAAGCATAATCCCTTAACCTTTTAACTCCTAGAGGTGATTATTATTAACTTCTCCCTGTAATATCCATACATTATCTGGCAAACAGGTAATGAGAATACTCAAACTTATCAGGTAGAAGTTGTCATCTTGACCTAACACCAAATTCTTGTAACAAACATACAACAAACTGTGTAGCAGCTAGAAGGGAGAAGTAACAATTAGATCTTGAGAGTTAAAGGGTTAAACAGTTAAAACAAATTTCAGTGACAAATTTATTGGTATATTTACCTTTTAAGCTTATTGATACTGTGACTGCCGCCCTAACAGCTTCTGATTAGCACAAAAGATCTTCCAAATCATGCCGATATTGTTTAGTTTATAGAACTTTCATATGGTAATAATTTTTGGGCTAATTGTCCTTTCATTTGACTCACAGCTGTGTTTGAGAGGCTGCGGAACATTCTTCACAATGCAGAGATTGACAAGCGAGTTCAGTACATGATTGAAGTGATGTTTGCTGTAAGAAAGGATGGATTTAAGGTAGGTATATACATTATGGTACACTTTGAAAGATGTCCTGTGGCTCAAATTTTTTCTGTAGATTTAGGTTTTCACAGTTTTGAAAAATTTAAATCCAGAAGAAAATGTGAGCTCCTAGAGAGATAATCATAGAGAGAATTTTTAAGCAATTGTAAGTATTTATTAAATATTCATATTATTAATTGATTAAAACGATGTTAAATGAATGGGTTTTTTTAGGATCATGTTGCTGTACCTGATGAACTTGACCTTGTTGAAGAGGAAGATCAAATCACTCATTTATTGCGGCTGGAGGAAGCATCAAATCCAGAGGACATTTTAAGTAGGTCTTCTGTCAAGTGACATTTAATGAACTAGTGTTTTTCAGAACATTGTATTTCTGACAATTGTGGAAAATTTATTTACTTCTATGCATCTTTTCATCAGATGTCTTCAAGCTTGATCCAAATTTCTTGGAAAATGAAGAGAAATACAAAGAAATCAGAAGAGGTGGGTAAATTTCGAACGGTTGTATGTTAGATGAATTATAATTTTCACAACATTCTGATATATTTCATGTTGTTGCTAACTTTATATCATTTTAATTATAATTTAGATATTCTTGGAGAAGGAGACTCAGGTGATTCTTCTGATGGAGATGATGATGATGATGACGATGACGATGACGATGATGAAGGCGAGGGCCAAGGTATAGTCCAACTTCATTTTGTTAACTTTAAAGAGAGAAGTTACAGTTTGTCCTTAGAGCACTATGGGATGTATACTGTTTGTGGCTTCAAACCAAGACCAAACTGACTGTTTCATGCATATGTTTCCTGTTGTAGCTAAGAAAAATAGATGTCAGAGATGGCAAGCTTTGATTCTTCCTCTGACAACAGTTATGTTTTTTCTTCTTTGTAGATGACAAAAAAATGGAGATTATTGATCACACTGAAACAAATCTTGTAGCTTTGAGAAGAACGATATACCTCACCATTCAGTCCAGGTACACTCTTTTGACTGTAGTTTAAAATAAAACTTTCATGGTGGCAAACATCATTTTTGATTACAGAGGATCAAGGCATGGGGATTGAGAAGCAAGGAGCAAGAGAATCAAGGATTAAGAATCAAGAATTGAGACACTCAAATAACTTTTCAAGGATCTTGATCCACAGTGTTGGGGGAAATTATTTAATTCTTACATGCAAAACAATAGGGATGTGTATGTTGGATATCTTTTTCCCATTTCAAGGCAATCACTTTTTCCTTAGAAAAAGTGATCTTTTGCATCTACAAAGTAGTGAATTCTTAGTGTTGTCACAAAATGGAGACCACACAGGTGTCATTTGATTCGTGACAATAGTATAGCAATTCTTTATCTTTTTTCATGCCTAATTGATGTATTTTATTTGGGTGATTGTAGTTTGGATTATGAGGAATGTGCCCACAAACTGCTGAAGATGCAAATTAAACCAGAACAAATGGTAAGTTATTAGAGGCTTGGAGAAATGCTGGAAGCTTTTGAGCTGGTTCCTATCTTTTTCAATCCAAAAAATTGCTATTAGTGTGTTCTGTTGATTTTATGCCCCATGCTCCACCTGCTGTTATGTTTCGTTGTTCGGTAGAATTATTATTTTTATTATATCATAATTATCAGTAATATTACTATTATCTTCCTTTTCTTTTTTGTTGGAATCAACTCATCCCTTACAAAGTTTCCTTACTTCATACTTTAGAATGTTATTGAGGTGATGTTTCATAAATATTTGTATTACTTCTTTCACAGTCTGAGTTCTGTACAATGGTCATCGATTGCTGTTCTCAACAAAGATCTTATGAGAAGTTCTTTGGTCTCCTGGCCCAGGTTAGTGACTTGTAAGCGGTACAAATTATTTGTTTTTCTTCTCTTCGTTTGGAATCTTTGCCGTGGAATATTTTTCGATCAGAGACTTAACGGCAGAAGTGCTTTGATTAGCACGCTATGGACTCCGGACGGGAAGGCCTGGGTTCTTGCCCTGGCGAGGGATCATTGTGTTGTTTACTTGGGTAAGGTTCTCTGCTGTCACAATGCCTCAATCCACCCTGGGGTGTAAAGTAGTATGGGTGAGAGCGAGGGGAACACAGCCCCTGTGCAAGACTTCACATTCATTAGCCATTTAACCTTTAACATTTCTTTTTAGCGGTTCTGCCAGCTTAATAAAGAGTACATGGAGGAGTATCTAAAGGCTTTTCAGGAACAAGTGAGTTTTTATATAAAATCTTTCAATTCTCAATCGTTTTTCTCCAAGGAGAGGATGTAAATTCTTGTACATAAACTTTGTTACACTGTCAAAAAGACAGATGATGACCTTGAGAAAATTATCAAGTTGGGGATATTGTTTGGTTAAAGAATCATATTCTCGGGTACTATCCAACAAAGGAACGCATGGTCAGTTGTTTGTTGCAGGGATCTGCTGTCTTTTTAGCCAGCGAGCAGATGCTCAGAATGCTGATAATTACATTTCCGAACTTATAGATTTCAAAATTTTCCTTTCCCTGGTTGGGGATATTTTGCTTTTTAGATCTTTGGAAACAAAAGCTTAAAACAGCTGTACGTCGGTGTCTCGAGAAGTTTTCTTTTAAGTCTAAAATTAATGATAGGGGGAGGGAAATTGTAAAACGAGAAGGAAAAAAATAACTAAATGGGGAAGGAAAGTGTAGAGGAGAAGAAAAAACCACAGAGAACCGAGGATGGTGAAGATTGACAGATAACAAACGATGAACTTTTCCATGTGTTTATTTCTCAGTACGAAACAATCCATCGCCTTGAGACGAACAAACTCAGGAACGTGGCCAAGTTCTTCGCTCATCTTCTTTTCACTGATGCCATCCCTTGGACGGTAAGACTGCTAGAATGAAACGATTTAAGAGAAGTGCGGTTTTAAGGTAGTGATGTTGTGTCCGCACTAACAGGTGTATGACTTACAACAAAATTCGAGCCGGCGAGAGGTCTGCAAGGGATCTGGCTTTAAAAATCCCTCGTGAGGACCGACGCAACGGTCAAACGTCACGCATACGCGAAGGGATTAATTCTGGCCGGCGTAGTGAATATTTTCAAACTAAATAACATCCACACCAGGGAAAATTCGATTTAATGATCCCTTTTCTTACCTCTGTGTAGGTGCTAGACTGTATCAAACTGAATGAAGACGAAACCACCTCCTCAAGGTACGTTACAGTTTGGTTATGAGATTCGCCTGCGCATTATTATTAGCGCTGAAAGACGCGTGTTTCTCCGCCCACAGAAGGTTTGAGATGAGTCGGGGAGAGGTTTGTCAGGGATCTGGTACCAGTAGTGCCAGACCCCTTACAGACCTCTCGCTGGCTCGCTTTGTTCCGGGCTTAATACTTTCAGGCGGGCGAAAAAACGCTCGCGCCGAAGCGCTTATAATAGGAACCTTTAGCAGTTAGGACGGCAACGCCAAGGAAGACGTCGATTTCAAAATGAATACATACATATTTTTAGTTGGAATTTCGCGAATGACTGGATGTGTTTACCATCTCTAATGGCGCCGCAAGTTAACCTCAGCATAACGTATGAGAGCGGCATTGAGTTCCAAATGAAAACTTGAAATAATCTGCAGTCGGGTTTTCTTTCTCGGACCACGCAAATTTTGATGATTTCACGTTGTTATTTTGCAGAAGACGGCTAAGAAATGCACACAGTGTTAAAACGCACGTGCTGAGCTATTGTTCTGCTCATTGGATCTTTTTTTTTTTGCCACGTCCTCGTTGCCGTCGCCGTCGTGGTTTGCTAAAGGTCCCTAGTGAGGACCTGCTCGAAGTCTATTACGAGAATAACTTTTATTTAAGTGTATCAATTTCCATGCATAATAATTCTCCACTCACTTCGTTTTCTTTATTCCATATTTGCAGCCGTGTTTTTATCAAGATTCTGTTCCAAGAGTTAGCCGAATACTTGGGTCTTCCAAAACTCAACGAGCGCCTGAAAGATCCGTAAGTACTGACAAGTTTTTATTGAAATTTACAGTAATTTTCAGGTGAGTGTCGATAGTCATCTGGGATTTCCCTGGTTTTGCTTTACTTCGCTCTGTGATTGGATCAGAAAACTCGCGCCGCTCCCTCAACCAATCAGTCGCCGAACTAAAATTACTCACGACTTGATTTCGCGCGCTTCATGTTGTGTCCTTGTTTTTACTTTGAGTTCCCTCAGATTGGCCGTCGTAATTGCTTTGGTTTTGGGTCCACGACACTCAAACGAAAAATGCTGGATGTATTTTCTAGTTTGATAACATACAAATTGTTTACTTCATGTTTGAGAATACGCGCGTATCCGAAGAATTTTCATGGCATAAATCTTTTTAGATGCTCCATTTGCCAGTCTTTCTTGCGTTATGAAGACGAATCCACTGAAACAAAAGAAGATCAGCGGTATAAACTACTAAAAGTGCGGCGCGCGGAAACTCATAACTTACCTCCCCCCTCCCCTCCCCTTCCCCGACACCTCCTTCTGGAAAACCTAGCTACGTTCCTGAATGTGTTATGATGTAACTTTTGCTATGGTAAGTTCACTCGCCCAGCTGAAGCTCGTTTACAAAGTGAAAACTACTACAACGTACTCTCCAAGTATATTGTTCGATATCAGTGGGGCTATCTGACCTTCTTTCGACTTTGTCTTAACAATATTTTGTTCTTGCTTCTTAGGTTTCTGGCACAATATTTTGAAGGAATCTTTCCCCGCGACAATCCACGCAACACTCGGTTTTCAATCAATTTCTTCACCTCAATTGGTCTTGGTGGTATCACGTACGTAGCATTTTATATCTACAAATAGAGGAATTTTTCAATTGTCACAGAACTTCTTGTAAACACGATGAATTTGGGGAAATTTTTTCAATCCAAGGGCGGAGGTTAGAATCGGTCTTGGGGTTTGCACAACTTTCGTGAATTCTCCCAAGCTATCTCAGTGATTGCAGCTGTGAGGATAAGAAAGATGGGTGACATAACAAAGAGTGAATACTCAAGTCAGATTCTTTTTGTGCATTTATTTTAGAGACGAACTGAGAGAGCATTTGAAGAACGCTCCTAAAATGATCATGTCCCAGCAGAGGCCTGGTGAGAGCGATAGCGATTCGGATTCTTCTGACGACAGCGACAGTGAAGGTTCGTGGGAAAGGTTCCTCTGAGTCTCGTCTTACGACTTCTCGACTTTTTTCGTTTAGCATAACGTAACTTAACGTCTCTCTCTTCTTTACAGATAGTTCAAGTTCGGAAGATTCTTCCGAAGAATCTCCGGAGTCTTCTGAAGACTCCTCGGACGATGATCGTAAGAAGAAAAGGTGTGTTAACACATTTGTTAGAGGACTGCACCGGTATCACAGAGGTGATGGGTTCAACTCCCGTACACGCTTGATTATATTTTTCAGGCTTGATTTTCACTACCGCTTCAGCAGTTTTCCTTACTGCCAAGATCAGTCTCATCTTTACTTAACACATTTGTTTGCGCATTACCAACGAGCAATCGAAAATTTTCGCCGATAACGATTATGACGGAGAGCTAAGATAGTTATTCCAGTCTTACAGTACAAAACATAATGGCTGAACGCACATGTTTTTCATGTCAGACTCAGTTTATGTAATGCGCGTTATTTGGCCATGTTTGTGCAAGTCCAAAGCTGTTGCTTCCTTACTTTCAGGTTTGAACTTATGAACAACCAATAAACAGCAGATTTCTATCAACTGTCGTAAACTAAAACCAAAGAAATTACAACTCTGAATACTGAGCGTCGTAAAACCAAAAGGAAAGCAAACACAACAGCCAATCATAACAAAGAAAATATCACGAGAAGCCAATGAGAACTTGAAGTAAAAACGAGCAAACTGCGTGCAGGGCGGGAAAACGAGAGTGATACAGTCGCGATTGATTATAATTTTGTATTGGACTGTTTGAGAAAGTGGCGCGACTTTTCTGGACCAATCACATAACGAAGTAAATCAGAACCTAAGCAATCCCGAATTACTTTTGACACTCTATTGAAAATTTTTCCAATAAGGAATAATAATAGTAATAATAATAATGATACAAAAATTTCTCTAGCGCCCTATTCTAGAGCTCTAAGGTGCTTTACAATAAAAATTTTAAAGCAGTAAATAATAAACCAATGGTATCACCCAAACTAATTGGACTCAGAGTAAACATAAGCGAACCAGCCGAAGCGCGTGAAAACGTTTGTTATCAAATCACGATTTGTTTGAGCAGTACATGTGACTGGTTGAGAGGGTGGCACGGATTTTTGGACCAATCACTGAGCTAAGAGCTCAGCAAAACTGAGCAAACCAATGCATTTCCGAATTGATTTTGAAAAACAATTAAAAACCACCGACAGATGTTTTCTTCTCTATTCTCCTAAAACTTGTATCAATAAAATTTTGTCCTCCTTGTTTTCCAGGCACAAGAAGAAGCATTCGTCTCGGAAGAAGAAGAAAGAATCGAATTCCAAGAAGAAAGAATCAGATTCCAAGAGACACAAGAAAAGGCGATGAAAGAATTAGGTTGAGATTGGAAAGGAATAATTTTTACTTAGTTTGTGGTCATTATTCAAACATGCTCTTCAATAATTCTCATTGTTTTAGAGAAACAGAAGACAGTGGAGACTTGGGGCGAGACTGAAATAAATAGAGAAGAGTCCGTGACCTTCCTTCCCTCCCTTTCTCGCCTCACCCCCTCCTCGTCTGTTATTTGTTGTCGTTTTTATGTACCTATCCTGATTAGGAAACAGGAAACAGGATGAGTTAAGTTTTAACGCTTTTGGAAATAGGAACTTCCCGTTATACGAGGGTGAGCGATTCAGCGATTCAGCGTGATCTTTCATAGGGCTGCGATGTTTGACTCAGGGTCATATTGGCCTCTCTAGGGAGGGATGGGTGAAGATAAAAGGCATCGTTTTCAACAGATACTTCTATTCTATCTCTTTGTAGAAATTCCTTAAAAAAATTATGTAGTTTTCGTGGAAAATGTAAATAAAATTTATAAATTGTACTTCTGTTATATTTGGTTCTAGTTTTAGCTTTACCTATATTTAAGATTTATTAAATCAGAGGCGTCTTGGCAGATCTTGATTCCCCTCTTTGAGTTTACGAAGGGTTCAGATAAAAACCCACCAGTGTTTCCCATTGTCTCTATTTCGAGCAATTTTTCTCTTGAGTTTCGAATGTAATCACAGATTGCAAGAGTTTTACTTTACTTCTCTCTGTGACTGGTTTAAAGAAATGTATCCGCGATGATAGCAATTTTTCCAGGATAGCGTTATGGACCCTTCGAACAACTTGGGGCCAAGCTACCGGTTAATACGGCTCAAAATTTCGTGACCTAGCGACTTGAAAGTCTTTTGAATATGTCTATTGTTACGAAGGCTGTGAGCGATTGCAGATGTTTGCAAAATCGGTTTGTTCTTAGCGGCGAGTCTAGCAGCTAACTATTATGACATAACATCCCTTGCCATTTCCCTCCGGCCTTAAAACACGTGCACATCACGCACAACCGTGACTTTTGCGAAGCGAAAAACAACCTTTTGTTTTTAAAATTTCGATTAACGATAGCGTCTACACCCTTTTGATATCACACACTTATTACGCAACAGGGTTCGTAAAGGGAGAAGACGGTGCAAGTACACACCAAAAGTCAGTCCGGGATTTATTAAGCTTACTCCACTTAACCTTTTTGCCGTTTCGTTATCTGCTATGTGGGTTTTTGCGGTCGATTAAATTATGGTGTATTAGGCGGGCTCACTTCCTCCGCCTTCTACAAAAAGCATGCAATCAACTACTTAACGACACCGAAAACAAAGAAACACAAATAAAGCAAGGAGAAACATTAATATTTCAATGTTGTACTGGGGCCACCAGACCCGGTTTCTGTAAAGACCCCTCACAATTTGTTCTATTTAGATGACATGCCTTGGCCAGCCCTGTTATTAAGATCTCATTTTTTGCTCACCACAATCTTGAGAACCGGGTATGGAAATCTTTTATGATCAACCTAGCCCCGTAACTGGAGCAAAATTGTAAGGTCATTCTTCGTTCATCTCTGCGCTGCTTCCCTAAGAAAAGTACTAGGGCTGAAATATCCCACGCGAACAGAGGACAATTTTGTCCCGCTCATTGGCCAGGACTCTCGTGAACACGCGTTTCATTTTAATGATCTTTGGTCAGTCTTGAACTACTGTCCTTTCCAAAAATAGGGAACTTTTGGGCTGTCTGTCTCTTTCCCGTTAAGTCCAACCCTTTAGGGAATTACCCTACACACTAGCTCGCATGAACCTTGATCTCCACAGCAATTGGTATCACGCACTAAAACGTGGACTACAGTCATGGAGCTTAGAGCTGTAGTGGCTTCCGGCAATGAGAAGACCTTTCTGTGGTTACGCAACTGTTCTCTAAGTCAATATTCCTAATGAGCTCTATTAACTTTTACGAATAAGAGTTTACAGAAGTAAGAATTCTAGCCATGTCGTCTTTCGAACTCTTATCTAACTTTTCTCATATTTTAGACTTTGAATTATGTGGAATTTCACTATTGTTTCAGAAAAAAAACCCCTTTGGAACTTCGTGGTTCGTGATCATGTTTCATGTACGTGAAAGTTTTCGCTTCATTACACGTGATCAATATCTGCAGAAGTAAACAATTCACCTCCACACAAGGAAGCATTTGTCATCTTCTAAATTGGGCCATATTGGGCCTGATAATTTACGTAATTGTCCGCCCAACCCGAAATTTTTTAATTTAAACGTATCCTGTGAAGAAACAGGATCTTTCTCTTGATGAAAAATATTTCTTTCCGTGTTTGGCGATTTATGTGGCAAACAGTTGCTAACATACATTGAAGATTACGTAATTACTTATTCATAATTTCGGTTCATAAATAAACATAGATTTACCTTTGAAAAGAATTTATTTTCGTTGCATTACCTCTACGGTATGCATACAAGCATCCTTTCTGCTTAAACTATAAATTTACACTTACTAACGTGTTATAAACAACAATCTTTACAACTTCTTGCGAAACTTTGTACCGCAACTTCTCTGTACATTCTTGTCCGACAAATACACTCAAAATTTTTGTAGTAATACTACATTACAATATTCAAGAGCATCTTTCGAGTTGTAATTTTACAAAAACTCATCAAGTTCTTTTTCAATATTAAACAAAATCAATCTAATCGTTGGCAAACTCGCAAAAAAAATCAGGAAGTTTGCACAGGAGCGCCTAGAAAATTAGCACAATAATCGAGTTAAATCTTTCACGATTTGGCGCACCTTTCGAGCGTGTAAAAACGCCCGTTTATTTCTAGTTCAGTTTCAAATCAAAAGCATCGCACCTCCTCTTCATAACGAGCCGTAAGATTTCTAGCCATAGTTGTATACTGCACAAATGTTTGGAACAACTCCGACAGTTTTTGGTGTAGTTTCGGGTCTGGAAGCTCGAAATTCCGCGAGCCTGACAGCAACTCAGTGCGAAGTTTCTCGAGCAAAACGAAAACATCGAGTAGAGTTTTAGCTTGTTCGTCAAATTGAGGCATCTGCTCGTTCACACTGTAGTCTTCGAGGAGACGAGGGAACAAAACGGACTTTTCCATAGATTCCACTTCGTCGGCAAACCTCTTAATAGCTTCCACGAGGCAGTTTTCGGGGTCCAATGTCGTCTTGGCTTTGAAGTCCTTGAAAGAAGGCAGCTCATGGTTAGGACCAAGGTTTTGCGCTGATGTTTTGATGTACCTTGCCAGCAAAGTAAGCTGATTTAACCGTTGGCAAGAGTCTTGGATTTCTCTCTCAAGGGGAATCATGTTCGCATCGTTTTCAGTCGGCGGACTGTATCCCAGTGACAGCTTAATTTTCAATGCTTTAACCATGAAGTAGAAAGCTCTCATGTTCATGTTATTTTGAAGATAGGAGTCTTTCCCGCTCGTCGGCATTAACTCTTTCACAGGCAAATCTATCAACTTCATAGGGATGAGTACGGTGTTATCCATTCTGTCGACTGTCTTCACAAACTGCTCCATGACAGCCACGAAAGAGTTATCAACGGTTTTCAAACGCCTTGAAGATTCCATTTTCTTCCTTCGACGGAACTATTGAAACTGACAGCTGCGAACGGATGGGCCCCAAATTTTTCCTGTTATCAAACTGGTGTATCAGCAACAGCGGAAAGTTTCTGTTCGCCTCTCTGAAGCTACAAATAAATGTCAGTCAGGTCTAACGCTTTCGTTCTTCCGGACAATTCGTCTATAACCCTGAAACGATGGCGATCTAATTGTTTTATGGTTTCAAGCAACGTGACACAGTTTTCCTGCCCGCGTGTGGCGTGAAGGTTTGTTATTGTTTTGCGATGTCTGTTCACGTGCTGTCCACATGAAATCGCCGTGGGCTCATTCGCAGTCAACAGACTAAACGTGCTTAAATTTCCGTCCTCGTGTAGTCAAAATACAACTTTTCGAATTCTGCAGTCTTTTGATTCGTTCACTTAAGTTTTAAACGGCTATCAAAGCAGTAATTTCACATTCAGATAAAAAAAGAAATTACGTGTTATGAATTTGAACTGCGTTGTGCTCAAAACCACCTGATGTTGCAACTCAATTTTGATTGGCTATTAAGACAATAAGAAGGGGTGTGTTAAGGGCGTGAAGGTGGCGTGTTCTGTCACGCCAGCCATTTATTTGTCAAATCATAAATTCTTAATTAATTACGGAATAAGATCTCGTGAGATTGGACTTTCTTATGTCTTTTACTTCAATATTATTTTCTGGTTTCAGGAAGACGCTACTCATTACAGTGCCAACTAAATCATCTTAATTTAGGCGAAAATAATATTGAAACGACCAGCTCTCTACGCAATCTTCATTCACCTTCTTTCGGTTTCCTTTGCTTGAAGACGATCTTTCCTTTCCAAGCACTTCCAAATTAGTCCTCAGCGATTTTAGTACCTAAATCCCTCTGAAAAGCTACAAATATGACCAGAATTCTTGATGTTGATTTCCATGCAGATATGCATGTATTATTTTGACGTTTCCAGGCTAAGTTTTCGGCCAATTGTAAGCCAGCAAAGTAGACTAACACAAAATACACGAATAAATAACTTAATCTTTGCTTATGTGAGTAACACCGCTTTGTATGACTCCTAATGAAAAATTTACATACACTATTGTGAATGTCAAACAAAAGTGCGAAATCTGTGAAATCTCTTTGCGAACCCTTTAAAGCATTTCCTGATCACATGTTAACTTAATTTACATATATTTTTTGCGTGATGCATGACAGTCTTTTGATTTTATTATTTTCATTTGAATACCAAATATCAACTTTTCTTTTATCCTCTCACTCATACAGCCGCCGTGCAGACTAAAAATTTATTTGTTGCGTGATATTCTTTAAAACTTTCTTCCTTCAAAGTAGCTGCAAACAACACATGATGAGATAATGAATTCTCCTCTGCTTGTCTACACCAAAAATAGTCTCGGAAGTCTAAATCTAACTTGAAACCTTCTAAATCTGTCCAGATGCAGGAGACATGTTTAGACGTAGTGATGAAAACGAGTATAAACGATAGCTATGATGAATTAAAAAATTAAAGCTGAAGGAGTTTGAAGATATTTTTAGGGCATTCCAAACAATTCTTTGGTCAACAGGCGCATGTTTCTTGCATGTGATAAGAAATAGGGTACGAAAGTCCAATCACACCATCACTTCCTCGGTTTTTTCTAAAACAGCACAAACGTAAGTCAAACTAAACACACCCTTTTTTCACGTGTGATCTCGTTCACTCGGACTAATCTCCTGGAGGCTTAGTATTAGCGGTTGGACTCAATAGCCAACGTGATCGGCGGACAAAAGGAGAGGGTCTTCATCGAAGCATCGAGCGCGCATGTTGGCACGTCCTCCACGAATTTGACTCGAATATCATCTCACCTGCCCTTTGTTCGCGGCTAAGCAAGGAACCTCGGTAAGCAGTACGCTTAATTTTCTATCCATTGATTTCTGGGCTGAATTTTATACCAGTTATTCTAAGCTATCTGGTTAGAGATTGGACGGGTTTAAAAAAGAAAAAAACTCCCTAATTTGATTGCTTGAGCAATATTTCCTGAATGATTGATGGTAGTATTTTCATTTTCGTATGACTGACCGCACTTTTGAGTGCAACAAAGAAACACGCTCTGCGGTCAGATAAATTAAGCGTTTGCTCTGAACCCACACTTTTACACAGAGGTGATGGTGTGTTTGGAAAATGATCTTGTAGAAGTGTTCCTTTTATTTTTGATCATGTTCTTACTTTCTTGAAATGAGCACTTAAAATTTCTGTTTCTGAAGTTTCTCGAAGCACTTCGATATTGCCTATGTTTATTTACATTTGTTTCACGTGCCAGGCTACTTCGTGCAAAAATTTTCACGTTTTGTGACTCTTTTGAGCGAGTCAAACTAATGAGTGACCCGGCAGTGAACACAACTGGGCAAGTTTTCTTCTTTCTTAGATCCCAATATATTGACCTTACTGCCATTTATAACACTACTTTATCGATTTTGGTTGCAGCAAAGTCTGTGGAAACAGGAGTGACTACAATTGTTTTGATTTACAGATCTTCTTCTTGCTAATCGCTTTGAAAAGTAAACCAGTGATTGGATGTTCTTTTAACCCTCCGCAAAACTGAAAAGAGTTCGTTGAAGGCTTGAAAGCTATGTTTAAATCAATTTAACAAATATGACTCCAAGTTGCCGTGCGTCTGTTCAGTAATAGATCACAGATGACGTCAAAATGTGGTAAGAACAAAAAAGTGGCACGCGAGGCGCAGCCGAGTGTCGCTGATGTTCTTACTACATTTTGACGTCCTCTGTGATCTATTACTGAACAGACGCACGGCAACTTGGAATCTATTTGTTAAATTGATTTAAACATAGCTTTCAAGCCTTCAACGAACTCTACACAAATGCCGACTGCAGATAACATATCTGTCATTTTAACATTCAGTTGTGTAGCCTGCAGTGCAGGCGTCTCATTATTGCGGCAAGCTAACGTCATAAGCTCGCGAGAAGCCCTCTTTTGTACGTAGTAAACCTAGAAATGGATAACTCGCTAACATGGGTTCTTCTCAACACAGTAAGCGGTCAGATAACAAGCGATGTAATGTGGATGTAAGGTGAAGTATTTTTGTTGAGAATTTGACCGTATCTTTGTTATACCTAAGAGCGGTCGTAAATATTCCCATACAAACTCTTAAAACTTCGCCACGACTCTTTTTTCGCAAGATAACCACCTCACAGCTGCTGGACCTTGGGCCACCTGCGATCCGATCAGCCATGTTTGATTTGGACTTAGTGTGGACGGTGGGGGTAGGGGGCGGGGGAGGGGTGAAAAAAGGCCACCTGGTGTTTTGTTTTTCATCAGCCTCTTCGGGCACCTGATTAATCACCACTGTAACGCATAACATCACACTCTTGTCACGCAACGCATCAAACAAATAATTTGCTACATGTTCCAGTCTATGATACCTTTCAATTTATTTGAGGACTGCTTTTTATGGTAGAATTAAAAAGATATTCACCCTTACGTTTGCAGTCTTCAATAGCTTATTAAATTATGATTATAAAACATATGAAATAGCAATTTTATTAGTAATCTACGTTACTTTCATCTTTCATTCCGATTTGTAACCTATATAAACTTTGTAAAATTTATTAAAATTTGTAAAAGATTTATAGACTGTTTTGTTAATTTTATCGGTCCGTTATCGGAATCAATTTCATAGTTTTTAAGGGATCAACACTTATTTCCCGTAGAGATCCAAGGGGTTTGCACAATGTCATGACCATATAAGCACCAATATTGGTCTAATATTACAAATCCTTCTGATTAGGGTTCTGGATAACAATCAACGAATAATCCCCGGACGGAGCTACCATGATCTCATACTTTCGTGAACGCACGCGAAGAAATTTCAGATCGTTGAGCGGGTCGAGATCTCGAACACAACTTCGTGCCAAACTCGTTAAGTGCTGAAAATTGCTCGCGTAAAGCTGTGTAGTTGCGTTATCCATCGTGGACTTAATTGCAAGGCCTTGTGGGTTCAGTACAATCAGACCGAGGACACCTGGGTGTGAGTTGATGCGTTTCAAAGTATCTTCTACATCTCCTGATGGTGCGGGTTCCATTTCTGTGTCAGAAATCTTGGAAACTATAAGGGTAAAGAGAAATGTTTAATAGTACAAAAAGGGAAAAAAAGAGGCATTAAAAGGAGCAAATTAAAAAGTGTCGTCTTTCGAAACAAACCTTAGAGCCCACTCCTTCCCTCTTTCACTGTCCTGTACCTTATTAAGGGGAATGCCCCGCCCCAAAGGGATCCGTCTACGGTATGAAGGAATATCATAGCTTAGAGATTCCATGACTTCAGGTATGGAAAGGGTTAAGTCTGTTAGTATAGCAACTGGCCGAAGAATTTGAATGACTGAGGTTTGAATTCTCTCAAAGGATTCAGAGTTCATTTTTACCCCTCTTCTTGACAAATGGTTGGCACCTTTACCTGTAAATAACATAATTAAAAGGTTCTAAAGGTACACAGCTCGCAAGGCAATCGATACTTTTTATCCTTTTTTGTTGCTCTTCTAAAGATTATTAAATCATCTATTTTCTAAGCATATTTCATGGAGCTTACGTGAGTGTAAGACCACGAAGAAACGCGAATCACACTTTCCTTCTTTTACACGTGACACCCCTCACGCTGATCTGGCGTCTGCCCTCACTCAAAGGGGAAAAAGGGAGAAAAAACTTGGTCTGCAGGCTTAATGGTAGTAGCAGGCTACTCTTGAAAGGAGCTCTTGTACTATACTTAAGTCCAGCAGATATAGGCTTCTATCAATTGGAGGTATACCAAAGTTGGTTAAAGGTGGTGGATACAATATGAAAGGCTGGGGGGTGGGGTTTGTAATATAGGTCAGAACATCCCTTCACACTCAGTATCCGCCCCTCCCCTCTAATCCCTCTTGATGCATTTCAAATGTTTTTGATGTCTTCGTCGTTGATTATTTTCATGAAAATCTCAATCACCCATTAATTTCTTTTTGTAGAACGTTTAGCCACGCTCAAAGAATTGCGTTACACTTCAAAGATTGCGTTACCTGGCGTGGGAAAACATTCAGGTGTTGAGATTCACCTCATACGTGACGCTAAAATTTCTTCACTGGGTTAATTTCGAAGAACAGAATATTACCTATTTAAAAATAAACTTATATTTTTTCCGAAAAAAAGATTCCGATAAATATACATCCTCTTCTTTCAATGAAAAAGCGTCGTTCCCTCTACCGTATTCTAGTAGATAACTTGCTTCGACTAGTTTCAGTTACATCGGCCAAAAGTGTTGTGTTGCCTTCAAATTCAGGAAAATAAAATCGTAAATTAATAACGGGGGTAATATAATTATAACAATGGCGACTTCGTCATCTGAAGTGACCCCAGATTGCCTGAAAATTTGATTTGATTTGAT